GTAAACAATTCTGCAGGGTGGATGGCACCTCCTCTGATGTGAGGGGAATAAATTGTGGAGTTCCCCAAGGCTCTTGTCTTGGTCCACTCTTGTTCCTGATTTACATCAATGATTTGCCTTTTTCCTTGCAAAAATCTCATGTCAGCATGTATGCTGATGACACGGCCATTTCCCTCTCTTCAAAAAGTATTGGTGACCTTCAAAATGACCTAAACTTAGATCTTTTGAAACTACAGGATTGGTTGCATGCAAATAAACTTTCCTTGAACGTAGTGAAAACGCAGTCACTTGTTATAGGCTCTGGTCCAAACATCCGTAAGATCGAAAGCCAGCCTGATGCTCCACCATCTTTTTCTTTTTCAATAGGTGATCAGAACATTGAAATGATCACCAACACAAGATACTTAGGTGTTCAGATAGACAGTAAGCTCAACTGGGACAAGCATATCGATACTATCAAGACCAAGGCTAATCGAGCCCTTGGACTTATTAAGTATTCTAAGAAATATCTTCCATCTGACATCCTCAACAAAATGTATAGAGGAATTGTTGAGCCCCATTTGAGCTACTGTTGTTCCGTTTGGGGCTGCTGTAATGAATCAAAGCTTGATGTGTTGCAAAAAATCCAAAATAGAGCTGCCAGAATTGTAACTAGCAGCCCATACGATGCGTCTGCTGCTCCGATAATTCAGAATCTTGGCTGGTTAACCATCAGAAATCTTGTAAGAAAGGAGACAACTTACAAATCTCTAAATATGCTTGCACCAGACTACTTGAGAAAATTATTCGAAAAATGTTCGGATGATAGAGAACGGTTTCTGCGTTCATCAGAAACTGATCTTAAGATACCGCTGCTAAAAACAATAAATGGCCGATAGGCTTTTTCTTATCGCGGTCCAAAACTGTGGAATAATCTAGAAAGGTCTACCAAATTGGCCCCCTCCCTGAAAACCTTCAAAGAACAACTAAAGTCGGGGACAACTTTTATTTCATCTTTACGTTCACTTTTTATAGCTTTAGTATTATTAAATATTGTAAATTAGGTTTGATTGGTAAATTTCTTTTGTTACTAGTATTTTAACATAGTTATTAGCTCTTATTTTAATCTTTTAAACAGGTCAGGTTGAAAAACATATGTATGAACCTTTAACCTGTATAAATATTATAAAATGAAAAAAATGAGGGAGCGGTCATAAAATATCAACTATATGGGGGTGGAGGATTTTCCAAAAATTTAACAAAGTAATTAATAGCCCATTCTATATTCCTATTTTATCTTTGTGGCCCAATAGCAAACTCAGAATATTTTTGCAAGCTTGCAGCCTATAAAACCCTAAAAGTAATGTTTGTGCTGGTAATTGAAGCTATTATATAGTTTTTCAAAATTCAATGTACTGTTATACTGTTGATTCAGATTGTTAAAAAACAAGGTTGCTTTTTGTGCTGATTCTGCCTCGTTGATTCTACCACTTTAATTGAACTATGGTTCAGAACATAAAGGGTTTGATCGCACTGCATGCCAAGCATTCCTCTCTTGATAGAAGGCTGGAATTTTCAAAGAGACAGAAATGCTTATCTCTGTAGAAATTTCGTGATAGATAGAGGGGGTTCGGTATGGAGCGGGTTCAGGCAGGATTCAGCGGAACCAGCCTGTGCAGCCGAGTCACTAGCCCGCCTCCAACTCATATAAAACTATTTACAACGTATATTTACCAGCATAGCGTGTTAAAGACCTTACTCGCGAACAGGGGCGCCTACACAGGGGGCTGGAGGGACAGCTGCCCTCTTTGAAGAGGGGCAGAGAAGACTAGAAGTGCCCTGAAATATAAGAAAACACTATAGGATAGTATCGATAATGACCACTTGATGTTAATATCTATTAAAAAATATTAGAAAGATGTTAACACCAGCACAAAAACGCAAAGGATAAAAAGTTTGTCTGTGACAAGGTCAACCACAAGAGAGAGAGCGACAAAGATAGTAGATGATAAACAAACGATGTGTTCCCTCATAAGTACTCCAGGAACCTAAGGAGGATAAATCGGTATAAAAACTTAGCGGACATCAAAATTTTACAACCAGTCCATTCATAACAGCCATGATTTTTTATAAAACCAAACATTGTGAATAGTGACAAGGCTATTTAATACCCATTTTTATGTATAGATAATTTTGTCGACATTTTCTTTATGTTTAGAATCTTTGGTGGTGTTATAGAGCTAAATTTAGGAATTTCACTTGGTTTTTTGTATACGATACGTAGGTATTTTGTATGTTATATAGATTATTAGGATATCCCCCTTGTGCACGCGAGAGATGATCCCAAGACTGAAACTTCAAAGAATGCCGGTTTCTTGCGAGCGGCTATACTTTTTTGAAAAAAAAACATTCTAGTCTAAAGTAGACTTTCCCAAAGTCTATTTTTTGTTAAATCCGTAAGGAATTCGTACTACTGCGAGAGCATATCTAAATTGCGGAGGAGACGATTCCACACCTACTCCCGATATCAGCGATACCTACTTCCAAATGGCCTCAAGGGAATGTGGAGGTGGAAAGATTCAATCAGCTATTTCGAAAAGCATTGAAACTGCTACAATTGAAGGAAAGATGTGGCAGCAAGAATAAAATCGTTTTTTGTTGCAATACCGCGCCATGCCACACAGTAGAGCCAAAGTATCTCCTGCGGAGTTACTGTACAACAGAGCAGTTCAAGGAATGTTACCTTCGCTGAAAAACACAACGTTATTAATGGACACAAAGAAGAATGAACTTTCAAGTCAGGCATATAACAAACTTTACGCAGACAAAATACGAAGTTAGGGGTCGGGAGCACAGGCGATTCCTTTGCTTAAAAAGATTGGGCGTGTGACATCTTGTTTTATTTGTACCTAACTGAAAGAAAGTTGTGTACTTTGAGTCGTCGATACGACCTTACCCTTTAAGGATCTTCTTCAGACTACGATGCAAATTAAATGGCGTTTTGACTTTGAATCTACGAGAATTGTGATTTAACGTAGCGCAGGAATGCTAATCTTTCTATTGCTTCTTTTTTGCAGATTTTATGACGATTGGCATATCAACAATTGAGCGCAAAAAGGACGGTAAACGATATAGCTATCTATCTAGGACGCTGAACAGTTTGATTTCGAAAATGCCAACAGCAGCAAAAATGGAAGTGGTCATTGTGATATTGTGTGCAAACAGAGATTCGGACGCTAACGAAAGAACCTACAAAGAAATTCAAAATACTTTCCACGAGCTCATTGTCAAAGGATTTCTACAAGTCATAGTCGCACCCGAGCGGTTCTATCGCAGTTTGGAAAACCTGCCAAAAACATTTAATGATTCTTCATTGCGAATGAAATGGCGGAGCAAGCAGTCGCTTGATTACGCTTTCTTGTTGTATTACTGCCATGGCCTAGGCGAATATCATCTCCAAATCGAGGACGATGTTGACATCGAGGCGGGGTACTACGAGAAGCTCAAAAGCGACATTGTTACAACCAAAGTACCATGGGCAATATATCAGTATTATAAAATGGGATTCATTGGAAAGCTCTTCAAGTCTCAATACTTGCAGTTAATTGCAAACATTTTTAGGATATATTACTTCGAAATGCCTTTGGACCTTTTATACATTCAGCCATTCATCCTTTCTAATCTTAAAAACAGGCAAAAAATTGCAAGTAAATTTTTGTTCCATCATATTGGGAAACAGTCTTCATCCCAAAATTCCGACATCTATTAAAGTACAGAAAAGTATTGCTAAATTTACTGATATTTACATTTAGGCCCCTAAAATGCTTTCAAAGTCGACTGACACACTTTTCAGCATCTTAACTCATGTACTAGGTTTATAGACTTTGCTTTTTTGTAATTTAATTTGCATAAAAGGCGTTCTCGTTTTGTAAACTATAGTCTTTTTCGCTTATGCGCCCGCCCAGTTTCTTTTGCCTTGAATATGCACATCTCGCTGTTCTTATTCGCTCCAATTCAAACTTTTTACCTCTTTAGTGATGATCATCTTAATTGATTTCATACGACTGTTTCGGATCTTGGACTATGGTCGTTTTTAGAAATTGACTGAAGAATGCAAACAAATAGAAGCTAGAAGGTCTAGGGGCAAAAATCAGTATTCTTACCCCCTTGCCCTTCCTCAAATATTTTTTCAAATTTTGAAATAAAATGCAGAAGATTTTCCGCTAAACCTGCTACTCCAAACAAAACTCAATAATTTTATATAAATTGTTTGAATGGCCTAAACACAAAACAAATAATCGAAAATCGATGCTTTTTGAAAATCTCCACCGCAGTCTTTTTTAATTTTCTAATTTCATTTCCAATATCCATGTTAAGTGTTTACGCAAGAAGAAACATGTTTATGGAAGCCCTAGCACATCATAACTCCATCATTCCTTTATCACTAATTGCAGAGAAAGTAACTTTAACACACGTAATAGTAATAAAAATCAATTACTGCACACGTGTCATTCTTCTCCACATTGCCCAACTTTGCTACATGTACGAGCATTCAATTGTCACTAGGTTTTGTCTTGAAACCGAATCAGCAAAAATAAGGAAACTTAATACTTCGCAAAAATTGAAGTTTCAATCTGTTTTTGCTCAATTTGGGTCTCAAAAGGTCAAATTTTTTGCTACCAATTGAATTTGATAGTAATAATGATTATAATAATATTGATAATAATGTAATATGTTATTATTTACAGGTTTACTTGGACAGCTAACGTAGGCTGTTATACATCAAAAACCCGTGTCCAACGTAAAGAAGTGAAAACTATTAACTTAGATTTTTAAACGGTTTCTTATAAAATGGTTTTGAAAAAAGCAAACATTTCACAACAAGCTCTTTTGCTTTTTTCAAAACATTTTAAAGTTTTGTACCACCAAGAAATTGTTTCTTATAAATTAAAATCAAAGCCATTACATCTTTGTTCTTGAATCTCACAACTAAATTTTCATTTTTCAGAACAGGTTGCTATCTATCTTTCATTTGTACACCTTGATAACTAACAGCTTTTTGAGCGGTTCTTATGCACCACATGCAGGGCCGTCGGGAGGCAAGCCTTGTTCAGAGGGTGTCGTCTACGAATTTACTTGATTAAAAATATTTACCTGAAATTCTTCAGTTGGAGACACGAACCTCTGCAATACATTTTGTCAACCTAACTGTGTGGTATAAAATTCGAAACTTCAATTTATATGAAAATAAGGGACTTTCCTAAGACTCTTGTCATATCTGTATGTCGGGACGGACAACAAAGAGTTACTACAGAAAATTTTTGAATTTTGATGCTTCCAGTTCCCTGGAAAATGCACTCTTTTAAGAACATTTTACTAAGCAAATTTGAAAATTCGTATGCTTGTTTGCATAATGACGCAATTATTTAATATTCAGACTCCAGCTTGCAAGAAAATCACTGTAAGAATTGTTCTCAAATGTTTTTTAAATGGCTTGTGAAAAATCAATTATCTTCAAAGTTCTACGAAAGTTTTGTTTTCAGACGAACTACTATGACCATTTATCCCCTCTCCCCTGCCCAGGGCTTATGATCAGTCAAGGTGCCAGGCCATAGACTCTAGGGGGAGGGGGAAAACAGAAACTGTCAGGCCACGCCTATTTACTGCTAGAAAATGCCCTTTTATCTGAAAAGAACGCCCATGACAAACTTTTGTTCCGAGAAGGCAAATTCAAAATCACAAAGGATGCGTTGCCTAAGTTTCCCCCCATTTTTTCACAAAACAATAGAGCTTTTTCAAAATCTTTTGTTATGGGCGTTAAATTTTCGCTTACCTCCCCCCCCCCCATATCTTCCAGCCTGTGTCGTAGCCCATGGACAAGTTAGTTTTATCTGATAGCAAATTTCTTAACTGGTTGATTGGATTTTGCGTACGAAGAGGTTAGGTGCACCCCAAAAGAAGTTCATTTTCAAAGCTGCTGTCAGTTATTGCCAGACAAGTGTACCATATCATATCCAAAAATTCACAAAGAACTGGTGGTATATATAGCAAAACTGTCACAAAGATTTTTCAAATGGAACTTATCCAAAGTGATGTTTTACGGAAAACTGTCATAGAGAATAGCTGTTCCCAATAAGTTATGGAGAAATAGATTCATTTCAGTCCGGACTACTACAACTACAGGGCTCTATAATGTTGATAACAGGCGCGGATCTAGACCGGTTGCACAGGTTTCAAAAAACCGGTCAAGTTTTAAGAACTATGTTTCTCTGTAAATCTTGAATTTTTGATCCAAAATTTCAATTGCAACAATTGCTGCATTTTTTCCTGACTCACCATGGTTCTTCTGTTTACATAATGAATTGAATTCCCACAAGGTTCCGACAAGAGTTCCCAGCTTCCTTATTCATCTTTTTTCCCAAAGTATCCGAGGAATTCAAAATCGAGGAAATCGGTCGCCACTCGAAGTGACAGTTTGGAGTATGCTATCTATGCGACAATATTGAAACCGGTGGCTATTGTTTTCTGAAAACCTGTGAAAACCAGTGCCCATATGTTCCCCTTATGCGAAAAAAACCGGTGACTAAAAAGCATATTTGCACCTAAAGCACCTAGACTTTCTTTCTCGGAAAAATTCATGAAAATTAGAATTGAAGTTTGCAAGAAGAGGATCAAAGGCCATGCTGAGCGGAGTAAAATTGTGACATTTTAGAAAGTGTGGGCAAATAAATCACTTTTAAAAGTTGCTAACCTCATTATTTGACCATAGCTCACCCGGATTTTGACAAATTTAACTAATTTTGCGTATATGGGAGTATTTTCTGGTGCTCTTTTCTTTTATATGGTCAAAATTCTAAAATTCTAAAAATAGCTTTTTGTGACGTCACATTTGTGACGTTGTAACGGGGTAAAGAACCCGAAACCAGTCAAAATTTTGGTTAGATCCTTGTCTGTGATGTATCAAATATGACATCGGGTCATGCATGAGAATTATTTATTTCTGCGTGTGGCTAAGATATGGTTATCGTCATGTTGTTGTAGGAATCTACGAATAATCCAATTCAATGTCTTGGCTCAATGAAAAAGGCGCCAAAACAGATTGTGTTCAAAGATGGCGGACGATCATCAGATCTGGACACCTCTCGTGGATAAAGATATTAAGGTTGCAATAAGACGAGACGGAGGTCAGAGGTACTGCAATTAAACTTCACGAATATCTTTAAATTTATCATGCAAGTTATCCCCAGTTTTTATTTATTGTGGATTGGCGGTAAGAGGCTAATTGCAATGTTAAAAATGATAGAACATGTTTGTAATTTTTTGAAGTTCATGTTATTGCCGCTTTGAGTTACGCGAAGGCTAGAAATGTGGATTTTACGTAACCGTAGCTTGAAGTATATTTCAAGACCACGATAAAACGATATTGGTTCTGTTGACACCTGTGCAAAACACAAACGACCTAAGCTTTGGGTTGGTTATCTCATTAGCTAATGTTTGTGTGCCGAATTAAAACCATATCCAAAACGAACAGGTTCACTTTCCCCCCTCTTTTTTGTCATGTTTCTTTGCATATTTGAAAGATACAGCCCAAATAGACCAACAATTCTGCCAATGGGATGTGTTGAAAAATGTTACTTCCAAAGTAAAGAATATCAATCCTTTTCTCTCTTGTTTATGAATAACTACAAGAAGCAAATTACATGTGGTACTTGATGAATTTTAGGACAAACCCAAATCAAATCAAAGTCCCATAATACCACACCCAGTCTCAAGAGGGCATCCTTGTTTTTGGAAATGAAAATCAGGTGTGCACAGGACAAACTCTGCAACCAGCTTGCAAAAACACGGTCCGCTATAGGATGCAATCCGTGAAATCCCTACATCATTTGTAGGCCATGACAGTTGTGTGCTAATCATTTTACATTGTCTTTGCAAATAAAGAAGAAGTTTTGACCCATTGGCCCAAGAATAATAATAATACTGCTATAACTACAACAAGCATAACGATGCTGCTATAACCACTCCAAGATTATTTTCGTCTGATGGAATGCGCCCTGGAGTTCAGTAAAGTAGTTTCACATTCAGCTGCATACATATACCAAACATAAAATATTATATAATGGTATATATATTTTCAACATTGAAATGCACAAAGATAAAAATGGCATTATCACCAAGCATCGTTTTTCAATAACTATTGCTATTCTTTATTTAGATGCTTTTCTAAAATATTCTTCAAAATGTGTAATAAAACTTTGGCCAATCCTTATAATAATAGAACTATGAATGGGGATTATTTGGAATAAACATCTAGTGCAGTAGTTGGCTATACTTCAGTTTTGCAGTTTGAAAATAACATTAGAAATGATTTAATGCCAAAACAGATTTGTCTTCTTTAAGGTGCTTTAGGGTACAAACCTTTTAGCCAATGATTTGTTATATAATGTTTGATATGCAAGTGTACTCCTAGCTTATGCAATGTTTTATTTTCCAGGCATGCAAAATTGAAAATTTTTGTTGGTGTTTGCCAGTCATCTTCTTTAACAAATAAAAAGGTAACTTTGTAAATGATCAATTTTCTACAAGGTTTCCATTTAGGGCAAGTTCAGGGGAGTGTTTCACTGTGCTTTTCTATGTAGGTGTATTCCTATTGTAATTGCAAAGTTGTTAATTTTTTATCAAAAGAGGAGTTTAAATGAATATGCTGCAATGATTATGTTGGCTTAAGGGTATCCAAAGTGTGGCATCAGAAAACATATATACTGTTTGTCTTTTGACTACATAACCTAAGAACCAACTAAATCTGCGTAATCAGTTCAGCCATTTAAAACAATCGAGCATCAAAACTGATTTGTTACCCATGTCATAGGTTTATTCTCCTATCACATCATATTTGCAGTCGTGATAGGAATATTATATGTATTTTTAAATTACCATATTTCCTCTTAAGAATGTTGCAGCGTTTATTACAAAATCCAACTTTTGAATGCAGCATTTAATAATGGGTGGCATTTAATACAAAATGAAAAGTTTGCCAAATGAAAAATGACAAGAAAAGTTCGATTAACAAAGATTAAAACAGACTTTAAATAATGTTTTCCTTTTCCCTAACACATTATAAAGATTGTGTTGAATTATTTTAAAAAGTTTACAAAAGATATAAGTGTCAAGGAATGTCAATGTCTCTCTCATCTCTATGACATAACAACTTTCATGCCTTTCCAAAAGTATGCGTATGAATTATTTGTTACTTGTTTGGCATGTTTCAATGAACGCATTTAAAAGGGGTGGGGCATTTATCAGAGGGTGTTGTATATCTGAGGGAGGCCTCTGTTACAAATGGTTGGCTGAAGGTGCGGCGCTTAATAGAGGGTGGCGTTTATAAGAGGGCAGCATTCATTAGAGAAAATATGGTACTTTATAAACCCATCTCTCAAATATTTATTTATCTTGAGTAGAAATGTTTTGAATGCTTCCGATAATATTCTTATTGGCTTAAAACATTTCTTTTTACAGGAACTCCACATAAGATTAACAGATGAAAGTGATCCATTTTTTCTGCAATTCCTTTATCTTGGTGAAGAAGATTTTCACAGGTAAGGTTACAAAGTTGGAAAGCATATATTCAGAGTTTTTGTCTCTCACTTGCAAATGGAGGTCAACACATATTTTGAAAAAAGAAGAAACAACTATTCTTTTAAATTCTGTCTGACAACAAAGTTACCAGTACATTATTTGCATATATGCATGCTGTACAGTGTCTGTTTTGTCACAATTGTCCCTGTTATCAGGTATGACAATAGCATGGACATACATTTCAATTGCTAAGTCTGAGCCCAGGAAGTTCCATTGGATAGTTCAGCATGGAATTTGGTTTTTGGGATTTTGGGTTTTTGGGATTTTGGGTTTTTGGGATAATTGGGTCAAATTAAACTGTAGACTGCAAAATACATAATCCAACCATTATCAGTAAAAGTTGAAATAAATTGATTTTATGATTTATGGGTCAGGATTATTCCATCTGTTCGTATTTGTGGTAGAAATCATATAAATTTTTTTCACCTCACCAGTGTTGAATATTTTTTTCAACAGTTTGAAATCTCAACAAGGATTACTGGTGGATTTCTCAGCATTCCCCCAAAAGTTTGTGGATTTGATTGACCTTTGCAGTAAAGAAGAGCAATCTCAAAATCCAAGGTAGAGTTTAGAATCACTAAGTTTGTTTGTTACCAGTTTGAAATCTGTTGTCTCATAGAGTATCAAATGATTGATGATGACCAAAATGGAACATGAATTTATCTCCAATATCGATTTCAAAAAAGTTAGCCAAAAATAGACTCAAGGTGTGCTGCAGAATTTTTTGTAAAGTCAGTTTTGAAATTGGTTTTTGATTAATTTGAGATTTTTGTAGTTGTTGTAGTTTGACCTAACTACAGTGCTCTCGATCTGTGCGAACTTTTGTTCAAAATCTATTTTATTTCCTTGCTATATTTTGAGCTCAAATTATATTCTTTATTATTCCTTTGTGAAACATTGCTTCCTTTCATTTAAGGCAGTTAGTTTAACATTTTCTAATCAACCTTTTTTCAGATTTTTACTGCAATTTAATATAACTGGGTCAAATTTCAATGGAAATGGACAATTGGATGTTGTTGAAACAAACCCATTCAAGCATCTCATTCATTTGTCATTAAAGTTTTTACCTGGAAATGACGAAGAGGTGAAAAAGTATCTTGCAAGCTGCATCAAAATTTTAAAGGTAAATTCTCTGTTTAATACAAACATTGGTGGTGCCCAAATGTCTTGTCACCAAACAATTTAATATCACTGTGACCATTTTCAATAAGATTATTTATGTAAACAAGAAAAAGAGAGGACAGAGAATTGAGCCTTGAGGAACGCCTGAAGAAACCATCTTCTATTTCGCGTTTCTACCATGAAGTAAAGCACGCTGTCTACGATTTTATAGAAAACTGCGCAGAAGACCAAGAAGCATTCCGGAAATTCCGCAGATTTCAAGTTTGTGAAGTAGCCCATCATGCCAACCTCTTTCAAATGCTTTTGACAGATCAAGGAATCAGCTTGAGTTTCTTTGCTGGGAACCTCATCGAATGCAACATAAATTTTATGCGTTATCAGTAAAAGTTGGTTGATAGAAGAATCCCCAGGAAAACCCGATTGGTGTAGTGTTAGCATTTGATTATTGCACAAATTTCGATAGATTTTGTCAAAAATTACTTTTTCAAAAATCTTTCCACAGATGGGCAATAGTGATATTGGGCGATGATTCTTTTCATTTTGCCTACTACCCTTTTTGTGAATTGGAAAGATATTTACTCTTTTCCAGCTGGAAGGGTAGACCCCATTCAAGGCATTTTTTAAAAATCAAAGACAATGGTTCGACAAGACAGTCATCGCAGATTTTTATCATGGCAACATAGATGTTACCGCATCCATGAGCTTTATTGCTATCCAATGAGCGAATTAACCGCAATATTTTCTCTTTATCAATGAGTATTTCTGCTAGAAAACAGGTGCTCTGTGGCCAAAAATTTGGCAATGTGCTGCCAGTTACAATTGCAGAGCATTGTTCAAAAAAATAGTCATTCAATAAAGTTGCTTTTCTTTGAATATTTGTCACATATAATCTACTTTCAAATACTGGTGGATTGTTACCAGCAAACTTTTCATTTATAAGTCTGTTCAAGATAGACCATTAGCATTTTTTCCCTGGATTTATATCAGAGAGCTTTTAACCAAGGCTTGAGAGATATTTTCTTGGCTGAAGTGATTAGTTTTGTAGTTTCGTTACGGGCTGCCCTTGCTCGTTCCCAGTCTTCTGTTTTTTCTACCACGTCGCTCAAAATTTTGATGGAGTCGATGCCTACATCTTATGGCAGTTTTAAGAGTGGGTGTTACCCAGGGTGGGTCTTTGTCATTGCATTTGATTTTCCGATTGGGAATATTTGCAGATAAGATTGAGAGAAGATTGTCCGTAAAAATGTTTGCCATTTCCTCGGATCCTTGCCCATCGAATTTAGACTCCCAATTGATATCATTAAGCAAGTCTCTGGTGGCACATGTGTTCGCTTTTTTATAATCCCAGACAGTCCTTTTGTAAGGGGGTGGAGGTGGTAGTGTAATGTTGATCTTACCATGGATAACCTGATGCTGACAATTATTGTCCAACGATGGGTGGACACAGGTCTCTACAAAAAGGTTCGGTTGATCAGTGACAATCAAATCAATACATGTCATGCTATTCCCTCTTATATTTGTTGGTTCCTCGATTAGCTGGTGGAGGTTATTTACATCAAGCACCTCATCAAGAACAGACCCCTCGAAACTTTCAATATCTTCCGACCACCACTGATTTGATCTACAATTAACATCACCCGTTATAGTCAACGAGTAAGGGTTCTCGTTCTGAATGCGAGTCACCTCAAGTTGTAGCATAAAACGTCGGAACAGATCAAAAACTCTTTGCTAGGGAATATATATACCCAGTTGTGGGTCGAAATAGGCCAATCAGAAACGCGAGCACATGACTGTTGAGGTTGCCCAATCAGTGCCGCTTGCCTATTGAGAATGTTACCAATGGAGTCCTAAGGTGAAAACGAACTCCTTCTGTCTTCGTTTGTATGTAAGTTGTCTAAAAGATGTTGACCGATGGCAGAATCACTTGATTTCTGTTTTAACAGTGTTTCTAGACCTACAAGATCGAGGAGGCTGTTCTCTTTGAGGGGCAGTTTTGTTTCTTATGTTGGAAGGAACATGTTGTTTTATCCTATCTCCCAATCCTTGGGTTGTGTATCCTACGTAACCAGAATCACTCTGGCACGAAAATTCATAAACAACGGCTTATGTTGATAGATTCTAAAATAGCTAGATACAACGAAGATCGGGATCGGGATTGTTTCGAAGCCATTTTTAAATTCTGCACCACGAAAGATTGTTTGAATATATTTGAGCGTTAGCGGACAGATAGATACTCTCATATTTGTCAAAGTTTGCCGATTTTAGTGTGAAACTAATTTCAATTTAAAAAGCCAAAATCCAGAGTTTTGCTGCTTTTAAGCTATAGTGCTCTAATGTTGATTTTGTAACACTTAGAGCAAATTTATATTATTTGTGCTTTTATATGTTTTTAACGTCAATAAATTTTTCGTTAATTTTGCACTTGCTTTTTTTGTCGATAATCATTCATAGTATCTAGATTGTAAAGTAGTTTATTTAAGTGTTTTGTTTTGTACTTATATTCTATTGTATATGATTGAACTGGTTTATAAATTTTTGAAGAATAACCTTCTTATTTTTTTTAATTCATTATTTGTTTTGTATATGATCAATCATTATTTTTAAAAGGCTTTTCTTAGTATTTTCTCCTTGATTAATTGGTGCCTTTTTAGATAAAGCAAATATTATGTGCTTTTTTAAATGTGCTTTTCATGTCAATAAATGCTTTGTATTTTTACAAAAAAAAGTTTTGAATTTCTTAATTTTATCTTTGATGTCTTTCTAGGACAGCAAAACAGAATTAGAAGACAAACTGAACGATTTGGAAAAAGAATATTCATCAAGTTATTCAAGTTTGGAGCATGTAATTATGTTTGTTTGTTTATTGTTTATTTTGATGGTTTTATAATTGAATGTTATCTGTCAAGGTTGCATGAAAATTATCAATAAAACTGTCTTGATGGTCTTGATGTAAGCACACATTTTTACTTGACGATTTGGGCTTCTGCTTTTGATAAAATAACTCCTTCATTTTAGAAACTTTACGAAAGGACGAACGAGCTTGAAGATCTAAAGTCGCAGTGGACGGTCAAATTAAATGAAGCATCTTCAAAACATATAGCTGAGTTGAGTTCGGCTAAAGAGCAGGAAATGAGAGTTTGTATTGCATTTGTTTTAAGAACTGTTCTTTTCAATGTTTTTCAAAATCTAGATAAATCTGTTGCAGATAATTTTTTGATAGGAGTGTATTCCTGTTTTCAGGTGCAAAACAGTTATGAAGAAAGGCTGAAATCAGGTCAGAAAGAATGGGAGAACAAGTTTAGCAGGACAGTGAGCAAGCTCGATGCAAAGATAGAAGAATTAGAAGCTGCTAACAAGGTAATCACTCCTTCTTGCTTTTCTGCGGATGCCTCTTTCTTATTTCCCTGGTGATGCCTCTTTCTTGTGCTTCTGGTGATGCCTCTTTTTTGGTTCCCTGGGGATGCCTCTTTCTTGTTTCTCTGGAGATGCCCCTTTCCACTGCTCTGGTGATGCCTCTTTCCACTACTCTGGTGAGGCATTTTCCACTGCTCTGGTGATGCCTCTTTCCACTGCTCTGGTGAGGCATTTTCCACTGCTCTGGTGATGCCTCTTTCCACTGCTCTGGTGATGCCTCTTTCCACTACTCTGGTGAGGCATTTTCCACTGCTCTGGTGATGCCTCTTTCCACTGCTCTGGTGATGCCTCTTCCCAATGCTCTGGTGATGCCTATATATAGGTTTGTTCTGTGCTTCACTGCTCTTTTGTTATTTCTTGCTTTCGAAGTAAGATCAGCTTTGCTCAAACTCTGCGTTCCATTGGTCTGATTTTGACGGTCTTGGTCAGTGAAAAGGTAACCTCATTTCGAATTTATGATGAGTAAAAGTGTTTATACTTATTGTTGATGACGTAACTTGTTTGTCCAATTTTGCTTGTATTTACCAGGACTTGCTAAGCAAGAAATACAAAGCAGAGTCGACTATTCATGAGCTGAAAAGCCGCAACTTTTCTTTAGAGGAGGTATGTCTCTTGCTTTCATAATTCCCTGTCTGCTTTGTCTAATGCATCCCGGCTGCAGAAAAGGAATACGTCTCAATATTATGAAAACGTCGCAAAAACATTGGTGATAAAGCAATCGCAGTTTTTTAAAGCAACCTGATTTCAAAGACCCACACAACTAGCTGTATAAAATCCAATTAAATGTTTCCTGAATCGAAAATTTCTCTACATCTGTAATCCTAAGCACAGCTGCTGCGAAAAACCACCCAGATGCATGCCGGGTAGCATGCAGATACAGTAAGGCAACCTTCTCTTCTTTTCTCTTTTGAAGCTAGGGCAAGTGCATTTTAGTAGAATAGATTTTGATCTAAAGGGGGAAGGTGCAAATTGTGTCAGTTCAGGATTGTAGTTTATCAAGCTATAAATTTATCTCTTTATAATTTTCTTTCATCTACAATGCCTGTCAAAGTGCTTGCAACACCCAACAATTTCCACATGTTTTTCTGGACATGTTTTCCACATGTTTTATTAGTTCTTTTTCCGAATATTTCTACTTCCGCGTCTCTCCCCTAAAACAATGTTGATAGTTAGTTGATACTTTAGGCAAATATCATACCAGTCACAGGAAAAACACACTTCCTAATTTCCTTCCTCGTTTTCTAGTAAACCAACATCGTCAAAAGGGGGGAGTGGATGGCTGAATTTGGCCGTGAAAACTGACGTTATTGCACCAAGACCTTTGGGGACATGGTTTATTTCTTTTAAGGGGCTTGGTATGTTACTTTTACTGGAAACACCTTGCAATGTAAAGACAGACAGACCAAATTCTCTGCGTGTGCATTGCTGTCAAATGCAGCGTAGTCGCGTGATGTGCTCATTAAATGAGGTGATTTTTGAAGCAGCCAACAATTGAAAGGGGCTTCTAAAAGGCTTTCTTAAGCCGTTCAAAGTGTTTTCAAACGTTGGCCGTGTTTCTTATGGCTGAAACTTTTATAAGAGTTTATTTTGCTGAACATTCTGTTTCTATTATACTCAAACCGTCTCATTTCAGAGTTCAGCTGCTGCTTCAAATTTGTTAACAATATTTTGAAGATTCTTAATTATTTTACAAAATCTGCACTCTCGCCCAGGAATGTCGTCGCTCAACCAAAGAGGTCCAGACGCTAAGGAGACAAAACTCTAGCCTCGATTCAGACAGACATGAGAGGGACAAGACTTTGAACCATCTCAGGACGAGGGTGGCCGTTTTAGAGCAAGAGTTAAAAGATAAGGAACAGGTTTGGTCCATTTAAACGACACATTGATCCATTCTTGTGACAAAAAGTGACTGTCACATTCTGCACTGAATAACATCGCCAAATGAATCATCATTTGAAATGAAACATGTTTTATCCGACAATGTTGGATGATCTTCTTATGCAGACATTAGTATCGCCCTTGTGGGTGTAAAATGCATCAATGGTGCAAGAGTGTAAAACATTCTATAGATGCTTTGTTGTTTGTTAAATACTTCGAATTCTCACCTAGTTGTTCATGTTAAAACCTGGCACAGCCTGCTAATGTGTTAATTAATTCGTTTTGCAATCGGAAGATTCAAACCTCCATCAGACTGACCACAAATTTATGTTGTCAATAAACCTAACAACTCTCTTATTTATATTTTTAGGTCATATCAAAATCCACAGAATTGCTGGAGACGTCAAACAGTCAACGAGTAATTCCTACTTGTCTTTCTGCCTTGCACCATTCTACCCACCCCCTGGTCATTTCTCTTTCCCTGTGACGTCATGATAAACCTATTTTAGAAATATTTTACTTTTTACGATATAAAATGAAAGAGTACTGCGAAAGCAAGATTCCCTGCGATATGGCCAATGAAAGATTTAAAGTTTGCTAGCCTATTACTGTTAGTTTGGATTGCTTCGCAAAGTTAAGAAGATACCAAATTACAATGGTTTGGCGAAGAAAGAGCAAGTGGCTATATCTCAGCCATTTTTTAAATGATTTTTCAAGTTATCAACACGTTTAATGTGGCGTTACCACTAACGAGTCCTATGGCACGTGCAACCTGATGCAAATGCTGTTCGATAATATTTGTATTGACTTCTTTTGTCTGTGTTTTCGAGCACTTGGCATTTGGTCTATGCAGCGAGAAGGCCAAATGAGAAGACGTGTTTGTACAAAATGCTAAATCAAATTAAAGATTAATCTCAATGGCTAGGTCATGTTATATATCTGAACTTCTTATGCATAATTCGATGTTTTAACCAGGTCATTAAAATTGATCTCCTGTCAAAGCCTTCATCAGCTTCTCAAAGATCATTTCTTTTGACAGGCAGCCAAGGATTGTTTATAAAAATCTTCTCAAATTCGCAAAGCCAATCAGCCACCTAACCGGGTGTTTCTTTCTATCTATCTGTCTGTCGATACGTACAGTGCTGGCATTGCATACAGTCTTTGTTAGCGTGTTGAAAGTCACAAAAAAGAAAAAAACTTCAAAATTTCAACAAGCTAATGGATTAACATGGTATGCTGAAACTGCCATGCCATTTCAATGCTAGTTTTTTCCTCTTTCATTGCTCATAATTCAGGACTCTTCTGGTAGAACATTTGTTTCCATAAAATTCTGTCTTTCACTTCTTTCTTATCGTCGTAACATATTCATTAAAACTTCACGTGTGGGTTGCTAGAGGGCGCACAGTAGAATTGCTTTTACAAATTAGAATTAGAATACAGAAGTCGGAATTTCTTGCAAACTTATTGATGTTCATGGTAGCCAAGTATTTTTAAAGAAAAGTTGCAGTTTGACCAGTCGGTGTCCTTCAACCTCTCACGTGACATAAGTTCCATTGTTGTGAAGTAGAATCGAATATTCTATCTTGTTACGACACCAAGCAACGTGATATTCATGTCGAAATATATCGAAACAGCAAACTGAAATGCAGCTCGAGACAACTGTAGTTTTTCTGTTGCAATAGTTTCCGCTTATTCATTTTACCATTTCGCGTGTTTTTGTTTGTATTTGAATTTCCCCTGGTTCAAATTTCGGTCCATTTTCTCTTACTTGAATGTCATAAAATTTCCCAATCAACAATTCGCACTGAATGGATGAACTTTCAAAGGGATTTATCTTTTAAAATAGTGCGCCAACCTTGACAAAACAAATGATTACTTCAATTGAAACTCTTGCGATTTCAAACATTTGCTCGTCCTTCTTAACTCGCTTAATCGGATTGTCTGAATCAGCGAGAACCCACAGACCTGATTCGTGCTTATGAATTCCTTGTATTTTAATTGGGAAACCTGGTGACCCCCGTCTTGGATTCCTTGTTTGTTTATAACTCTTCTTGGCTGGTTAATTAGCCTTTGGTCAGAGTCTGGGCGTAAAATTAGCCTCAGAGAATTGGCGAGGTAGGTTTTGGGTATAAGACGAGAATTTGATGCTACGATTGAGGAAAGCCAGAGAGGTCAACTCGCATAGCAAAATACTAACTAGGTCAATAAAATGACAAAATTGCATAAGCCAACTTTTGTTGTAGTCGATAAAGTAGATTAGCAAGTAACTAAAAAACGTATTGATTGTGCTTTTCAATAAGCAACTCTTTCTCATATCTTTTATATCATTGAATGTTTTTGTTTTTACATTTGTATCTTTCGCTTTCCTTTGCTTTTCTGTTTTCTTTAAAAAGTCTTTATAATTGTAGTTTTTGACATTTTAATTGGAAAATTTCTTTCTAGCTGATCATGGAGGAGGATCTGAGGGGAAAATCAAATCAAATAAGTAAATTGGATGCCACAATTAAATCAGTTTCCGATGAAGTTGTTAAGGTATTTACATCAGTTTGGAATTAGCGTCATTTTCAGAATAAAGAAACATTTTTACTGAGTAAAATTAGCAGTGTTTTATTCCCAGCCAAACAGTCCTGCCGTTATGAAAAAGATGTCGACTCGGCAAGTAAAATGAAATTCACGTTATGATGTTTGGAACGGGACAGTCCAGAGTTTTATGCGATCATCGAGTAGCTAAATTGAAATCATTTATCATGGAATAGCATTGCTGCATTCGAGATGTAGATATCTGAAACTTCGATTATTTTTCTTGCTGAAGACATGTAGAGACAATTAGATTTTATTTACCAACTCATTTTTAATTTTGCCTATTCTTGTCAGGAAGTAATTTCTAAACTTCGCTCGGCCTTTTCTCAAACCTTTTTTCAGAAGCCAAAGGCTATGATGAAACTTCATTTTATTTCTCAAGCCCTTACTTTTCCAGGGCAACGAGATAATTCAAAAACTGCAAAATGAAATTCGGAACCTAAAGTCCCAGGTATGTAGTAAACTTCTAAACGTAGAATTTGCTGCTTCCGATACTGGAATCGCTAACAAGTTGAAAATCAGAGAATACCGTTCTTGAGCTTCTGTAAAAGGAATAAGAAAAGATTTAAATATTAACGAGTCAATTTTTCCGATGGCTGTGTACAATTAGTATTTTTATTCGGCAGCTTTTTGAAAATTTCCCAATTTAAATGCTTTTTGTCATTTTTATTTTCAACATTGAAGGTGAAGCTGAAGAATATTGTGACAACGAAGCAAGAAAGAATAATCGAGGAGAAGGTTAGCGAATGCTTTTTCATTTTTATCTTTACCTTTTATCCTCAGCTTTAAATATTTCTCTTTATTCATACCGTGAAGTCTGTGCTCTCGCTGTTATAAAGAGAACATGCCGCCAATAAATGTCTTCAGAAGCATTGACAAATGAATGCCGGGAGATCAGATATTCTCCACCGGTATCATCTTCTTTTAGAACACTCTTCAAAATTATCTTTCCTCAGACAGCCAGTCGCATTTTAATCCTTTTATTTAAACAATTTCACTTCATTTTGACTCCTTCTGCATTTCTTTCAGACAATGCCTCTTATCAAGCAAACTTATTCAGGGGGTTGTGAAAATACCCTAAATGTCACCTTTATTTCAGGGTTCAAGAGGTCTCGAAGGTGTCCCATATTTTTCCTTATTTCAAAAGTTGTGGAAAATACCCCATTATAGCGTTATATGAAGGTTATTTTACCGTCGGTCCATCCAACTCAGCAGGTAACAGCGAATGGATATCAAAAATTTCAAATAAGTCTATTGGTCGGTTCAACTTTTTGGACCTCGGAATGCTTGCACCATTCCTCCTTTATTTTATCTTCGTTATAGCTCTACAGCAATAGATTCAATTTTTCAGGCACCGATTCAGGTTAAATCATAGACTATGGTTTGATGTTCACAGTCCTTCGCAGCTGTACCGCCCCTTAAATGAATTCGTGTTTTGATAGTGAAAAGATGAGTTTGCTGGCCAATAAACTAGCTGTGGTTGTTAAGCAGCGCCGTGGAGTTTGTATCTTCCTTTGGCTTGCTTTCCAATTGTATAAACGCGCTACATATTCAACATTTTCAAAAAACCTTAAAGCTTTTTCATTTTACATTTCTCTGTTTATGAAACTGATTTGTGGTCAGCATCGGAACTATTTAAAGACGTTATAAATCACAATCGGCTATAGTCCAAAACAGTCAATCATAGTGGATCATGCACATAAAATAAATGATAATTCTTTGAAGTGCCCCGATGGGAATCTCCTCCTCAGCCAATAATAACACCCCTATTCGCAATTCACATAACACTCAATTCTCGCCCATGTTTGAAATTTTTCCAAGTACCCGGAAGTAAAGTATGTTCTTAATGAAGTTTGTAAAGTCAGTAAGAAAGACGCGGTCTGTTGAGGCAATAGAAATGGAGGCCATATTAAATACCAGTTTGAGGTTGATGCAGCATTGCTTTGTAAAGGGGATTGCAGGCGAAGAAGGCCAGTGCATTTTATGTGCATCTGTTCAATATTTTCGAATCATCAACGGTTTCCTTTTAGATCGACAGATTGATTTTCAATTTTCACCAATTTTAATTGTTCAAACTTTCTTCTTTTTACATTGTTCAATATTAACGAATTTGGCTGTTCCGTTTCAATCATCTTTGTAGAGACCAAGTTCAACGGCAATTGCGTTGTTAATTTGTATCTTCCATTATTAGTTTTTTTAACTTATCATAACTTGTACTTAGGTTTCTGATGGGATATCGTGTTGAAATAAGAATTTAATAAAAGAAATGAATAAGAAATCTGGTACCTTGCCACCGACTGTTCTCTGTTCTATTGGATAAAAAATGTGGCTTTGCATAATTTAGGGTTTACGCGGATCAAAAATGCGAAAACTGGTTTGATTCATCAATGACGATTCGGTCTGTGGTATTTTATCCGGTTGACTTTTTAATCTCTTTTTCTACAAGGCTAATTACGTTTTGCTGCTTATTTTTATGACTTGGTTTTTTTGAGATACAAGTCTGATTTAAGCTGACCGTGTTTTACCAACCGGGAAATGAGACATATCCCTTGCCATGCAATGCTTAATAGTTAACGCGTCGCGTCCAACGTCACGTTTTGTCAAGACAACATCAACAATTATTTAAAGCTCATCGAAGTCTCTTTCGCATTCATGTGATTTTCATGAAAACGCGTTTGTTATTGAACGTCGCGTTTTGTACGCTATTGAATGCAAGAATTGTGCCTCCTTTATTTCGGCTAATGCTTTAGGCCCGTTCGCCAGAAGTAAAGCATTCCTTCCCTAATGAACGTACGTTATCTTTCTTCTGTTATTTTTTTCAGCTTTTTATGTTCATCGGTGTGGCTTGATAGCTAAGTAAAACAAACTGATGAAAACGCCAATTTAAACAACCATGTTTATTGCCCGCTTTGTATTCCAAATTCACCTCATTTGTATCCCCAGTTTCTATGCCCGGTATGTTGACGACATGTATGCCCTGTTTGTATACCCGGTCTTTTGACCGACATGTATGCCCTGTTTGTATACCCGGTATGTTGACCGACATGTATGCCCTGTTTGTATACCCGGTATGTTGACGACATGTATGCCCTGTTTGTATACCCGGTCTTTTGACCGACATGTATGCCCTGTTTGTATACCCGGTATGTTGACCGACATATATGCCCTGTTTGTATACCCGATATGTTGACCGACATGTATGCCCTGTTTGTATACCCGGTATGTTGACCGACATGTATGCCCTGTTTGTATACCCGGTCTGTTGACCGACATGTATGCCCTGTTTGTATACCCGGTATGTTGACCGACATGTATGCCCTGTTTGTATACCCGGTCTGTTGACCGACATGTATGCCCTGTTTGTATACCCGGTATGTTGACCGACATGTATGCCCTGTTTGTATACCCGGTATGTTGACCGACATGTATGCCCTGTTTGTATACCCGGTATGTTGACCGACATATATGCCCTGTTTGTATACCCGATATGTTGACCGACATGTATGCCCTGTTTGTATACCCGGTATGTTGACCGACATGTATGCCCTGTTTGTATACCCGGTCTGTTGACCGACATGTATGCCCTGTTTGTATACCCGGTATGTTGACCGACATGTATGCCCTGTTTGTATACCCGGTCTGTTGACCGACATGTATGCCCTGTTTGTATACCCGGTATGTTGACCGACATGTATGCCCTGTTTGTATACCCGGTCTGTTGACCGACATGTATGCCCTGTTTGTATACCCGGTATGTTGACTGAAATGCATGGCCTATTTCTATGACCTCTGTATATGCCGTAATGATATGCCAGATATGTCTGCCCTGTATACTGTATGCCCGGTCTGTATGCCTAGTGATTATGCTCTGTATGAAATGACGGTGATATATCTTTTCTGTTTAACCTACGTTTACTTCAAAAATCTTTTTTGCCTGAAGCTATGTTCCTGTTTTTCTATTTTAACAAAAGTTTTTAACGCACTATTGGCAAAGTATTTCTTCAAGTGGATCTTCCCTCCTGTTGTCTGCTTCCCCTGTGACTTTTAAAGATATTCTGTTAATAATGCGATTACAACCCAAATCCTTTGCCAACCTCTCGTTACTTCAACTTGTCAATATAAATGTATTGGTGGCTTTTGTGATATTGTAATAAGGAATTTGTCGATTGACATTGTATTATTTTTATCCGTCCACAGGCAAGATGTTTTCTTTTACTGCACCTTGGTTTGAATATATCTTCCCTCGCTATTTTATGCATTTCTAAACCTGGCTGGAAGGACCTTATACCGATCCTTGTAGGATTCCCGCCCGTCGCTGGATCCGACACGTATCTGACGTCACTATGACATGCCTATAACATTACTGGTTCAATGAAAACACGTATTGCCGCACACTTTAAGATTCATTATGCATAGATACGTGTATATGTCGTTCAGCTGTCTATCTATGAGGTTGAAAAAAGCTGATTCTCTGACGGACCCTTGCCTTCTTTTTCATCATACCCAGTGATACTGTAACGCTATGGGAGATCAGTGTGACGTGTTCCCGATTTGGACATGACTTTTTTCTTTCAAAGTTTTTCCAGGTCGCATTTTTATGGTTTTATCTAGTTTCATCTTCACTGAATGTTCGTTTTCATCCTTAGGAAGATATCCTTTCAAGTCAGAAAAAAGAGATCGCAGAAATAAACGAGAAGCTGGCACAAAAAACCAATGAGGTAGGCCGGTCCTTTTTTCTTCTCATCACATTGCTCTCCTCTCGTCAATAACACATTCAATTTTTATTTCTCGGTTTATCACCTATTTGAAATCGATTGAAATGCTGTTTGAATAATTTCAAGAAGCCTACCTATGTTAACCTAAAATCATTTCGTTTTTGCCAGGTTCAAAAATTGTTAGAAGAACTTGGGGATACGAAGCAAAAATTGGAAGACAGTCGAGAGCTTGCCAGGACCAATGAAAATGGTTTGTTTTTGCTTTTGTGTTGTCATCCAATAAGGCGCATGGTAAAACGCTCGCGGCACAGATCCAGGGTGATCCAGCGTTTTGAATACATCACGATCGCTAATGGTTGTTTATATCTGTTACATCATACTATAATTGTTGTTGCTAGAATCATAGTAGATAAAATCTAACACACTGTGCAATACCGTAGCAAAACCAGCTGCTCATTGGTCGCTTATTCAATCATGTTTGCGTACGTTTTCTCTACTATTGACATGTTTTCTCTAAGCCATAGATGTATATCAACATTCGCGAATATTCCTTAATTCACGCTTACACTCTGACAGCACTCTGTTCTTTTCATTTCAAAATATTTTGTCTGCGCCGTGTAATGTCGTTTGCGAGGATCCCATGTAACAACGGAGCTAAGCTCTGTTTTTAGTACGGCCTAAATGGCTAAATAAACAGTTTGAAACTCATCACAAAGACGTGCAATTTAGGCAGTTGCTAATCCGGCACCTACGTCACTAATGCCAGGGATACAGGCATCTTAAGACTTCCAATCTCGTTTCTGCGTGTCTAATCAGCCCTGCTGTTTTGATTTGAGTTTTTGCTTGACCTCGTTCATTCAAACCGCAACTCAAGCAGTCCTGCAGTTTCCACTCATTCACGCAATAAAATGGTTTCATTTGGTCAACTCAAAACTATCCATAATTGCCTCTGAGTTTATCAAGCCCAATAGCAGTTCATTACACTGTCCTGTGTGCATCTCTTGCATAAACACGCATTCACGATTCTGTTCGTTGAAAAAAGACTTTTGAAATTAACCATATTTTTGCCTTGAACGAGTGAACGCTAAGAGAAAAACCAATCATTCTTTCTAGTGCCGATGAAGTTGCTTAGCAACTATATGTAAATGCAACAACTCACGTTCTGACCTCGTTTTGGAAGTATTCTCAAAACAAAGGCAAGAAGTAACGGAAAGCTAGATAATTTTCGTCAAACCCTGCTAAGAATTTGAATATGTTTGTAACTGCAGGTTGAAAGTAATGTAAGAGAAAGAGTGACAAGTGCAATTGGTTCTTTGTCTTGACATGTCGACAACACTTACCAACGCCAGGAAAGAGAACAACCACGGCAAAAATTATTCCGGAAAGATAACAGCCACGCCTTTTTTGTAAATGCTGCAAAACCCCAACAAATTTTAATATGGCAAAATAGTTCTTAATATTTTTCAAAAATCGCGAGTGCGCCAAAACGTATGAACCGCTAATTTCAAGATGATTGCGCAAGCAAGCTTACCTTTTTATTAAGGTATTTTTTCATATATTTGTATGTTAATAAACGGTCCCTATTTATATAGGCAGAAAGAGGTAATCTTCTCTCTTGGATTGCTCAACCACCACGAGGATTATATGCCATTGAAAGAGTGCAAGGCAGAGCAACAACAACAATAATTAAAACAGTCAGCGATTAAAGACAGTTTTTGAGTTACAAGAACTATACGTGAAAATGGTAATTATTCAACGTGAATTGGGATTTTCCAGTTGATTTAATTTCCGCTTTTGCTTTGCAGTTATAAACTGGCTGAACAAACAACTGAACGATCAGATGCTAGGACCAGCACGATTTCCACCAAATGATTCCACCAGTCTTCCGCTCAACAGCACTGCTTCCAGAATTTCTTCAATCAAACAGGCCTTGGTAAGTGTGGAAAGGGCACCAATTTATCATAAATTTATCCACTCCTGTAGCGTTTTGTTTTACAGCCTTGTGACCCTGCGATTCTCGTATGTATCTTTAGATAATACCCAATAGCAGGCTGAGAAAAATCTGGTTTTCCTTTGCGGGGATTTCCCGTGTGGTTCATTCTCCCTAACCCAAAGTAACTTCCTTTCCAGCACCAAAGCACTCCGTCTTCTGTTCGTTTTTCAAGTGCTTCAGGACCAATAGTTGGGAGTTTCCAGAATCAAGTGCACAATCAGGTAAACATAAGCATCATAAATCTGGATTTGTTTATAATCTTCATAAACATCAAATATGGCTAAACATGCCATATATAGCTATTCCATAGCTATACGTCACATGTGCGACGAATCATGCCATATATAGCTCCAAGTACCATATTTACATCAGATTTCTTGGATATTACAAAACTATGAATTTATGATAATTTGTTATTCATTGTTTGTCCTATAACTTTACGAGTAACCAGTTATTTGCTGTTATAAACCACACTTCTTGCTGCCCATACGCTCAAGACACATCAAACTACTTTTTTTCAAAGGTGTTGTACCGACCCCCGTCCATCCGCAAGCCTCCAACATGGCAATCTCCACCGTCATCCGAGAGTTTGGGTGTTCCATCGGGGAATTTCGACAGAAGACCGCCGCTTAGGCAAAGAATGCCGGGGAACCAGTCAATAATGGAACAGGCTGAGCCTGCAGTTGATCTCAAGTATCTTCAAAGGCAACCGCAGCAGCAAGGGCTGCCCCGCGCTCATCACGCAGACAGTGCAGAAAATAACGAAAACAATGTCGAAATGAATGCTAGAAATGGCAAAACTGTCAAACCCTTGCTAGTTTCAACAAGAACGCGTAAAACAGAAGAAATGAAAACGAATGGCTTGCACATATCTTGACATAATTTAATTTCTTCAGCATAAAAGCAATTGTCCTTAAAAGTTTTTTGCAGTTGTATGCATTAATGCGATAAATCGATGGAGCTTTCTCAAATATTTGTCGAAGTGAAATCCTTCTTTGCCAATGGTTGGTTGATGTGCACCTTGGATAAAAGATTGTTTCGCATCTGTAAGCATGCTGACATTTGTCAACTTCTAGGTCGTTTTCACCGACTAATTTTGTTAATAATTTAACAATCCACTTTAAGGTTTTCCCTAGTTCAAAAATTACGAGTTTGTGCCTAATATTTCGGGCTGAGACCAATGATTTGTCTTCTTTTCAGAAAGACATGATCTCGATACAAGGTGTTGTTGAAAAACATCTTACAAGGTCGAAATACCAGTTAGAGTCTTGTATATGCTGATTCATTGCAAAATTTCCTGCATAACATAATAAACTTTAAGAATTTCAAAACCTTTTTATGTGTATCTTCTAGTTGTTTTAGACCTGCTGCTATGTAGGACGTGGGCTTCACCTATGTTTATCTTCTATTTGAACTAATGAGATGTATCTACTGATCACTGGATGTATCACTCTATGTACCCCATCGTTTGGTATTCAGTCTGGTTGGTGGGGCAGAATTTTTCACCGAGAAATCTAGGGAATATTGCCTAGCATTTTGCAATCACAAGCTAGGTAAGTTGAAATTGTTATCATCTCTTATGAGTCTATTGAAGTCTTGTTAATATTTATAAGTTTGGCTTAATGTCTGGTTTTGTTTTACGCTTTCTTTTGAGCGATCATGGCTGTGCATTGTTTGTCAGGCAAAAACAGAAGGCAACTCCAGGGGCGGCTCAAGTAAAAAATCTGAGTTCCAGGCCAAGGCTAGGGTCTTTCAGGCAATGTATTGATAATTGTGCCTAAGACAACATTACTATTCACATTTAAGCAGTCTGGTACCAGGGGGGGGGGGAGGGTTATCTGGTACTATCCACTCACTAAATCTAGATTATAGATTTCTTTCCGACAGAAACCAGTGCCTCTGTGAAAATGTCTGCAACCCCCTCCCTTTCTAAATACCCTCTTGTTTGTCTTGGATGCCACAGCAAAGTTTTCCCTTTTGTTTCACTCGCAATTTGTTGTTTTGCCTACGTAGATACCAGCCTATTTTTCAAAATATGATGTTCCGTCTGACCATAGGTCTCTCTTGCCATCAACGACTGCAATTTGAAATAAAGGTTGTTAATGCTCCTGTAAAATTAACCATACCGCCTGGTCTCGTCTCAAATGCCTAACAATCTGCTAGAATGCTGCGAGGGTCGTGAAAATAAGACATCTGCAGTCACCATTTCGAATTCAAAGTTTTGCAGTTCCACAACAGATCACAAACAATTGGTAACCAATCAACTACTGGCTATTGTACAGCTCTCTAACAAATATGATATCATTTCCGAGTTCCAGATGCTGTTTTGACATCCGTGTTCCAAACAAAAATTTCAGTGTTTCAATTCCTTCACTTCCGAGGCACAAAACGTTTATTTCCGAGTTCTAGGATTGACTGCTGTTGTCCTCCACAGCGTCTGGAAAATCGTTTCAAAATCACGACAGAGAAGAAGGAAGGAAAAGGGCGAACGAATCACATCAAACTGGCAATTTGAAGATTTTGAAGAGACTTCGATAAAACTTTTAATTTCTAGGTTTCACTTTTTTAGTCTAAATATTACTAATTTCAGGCACACTATTTTTAGCTATATGTTGGAAAACTGACTGAGTTCTGTGCACCATGGAATTCACTCTGGGTCCGCCTCTGAACTCTATCAATCAAACCAGCGCAGAGGTAAAAATGTAACAAGATGCCTTCTTACTGAAAACGCAATCACATTTTTCTATAGTTGTGACTAGACTTCTACTTTCCTTTAAATATAGGATTAAGATAGCAAAGAAGTGGTAAAAAGCCGGAAGATTTGTTATTGATAGAAAAGAATTGTTTTAAGTAAACTCGAATTTGCTCGAAAGAAATTCCAGGAAGGAGAAATTTTTTTAGCCTTTAATTAACTTGAAAGAAATGTGTCCTCCCCTTGGTAATTATTTGTAACCAGCTCATATGATAACCATTAAAGTTAGTTCTTCAAAGTTGAAGAAAACCTTTTTAGAAAATTTTTAACTAGTTTGTTTTGTGACGATTCCTTACAAGTCACTTCTTGAAGAGGCAAGTTCTGCGGCAGTCGTGGTGAGCAGTAGTTGAATACACGTGTTTCTATAAGGAACTAAATTCTGGGTAAGTGCTCAGTTTTTTTAAGTGTTTTTGCTTTATTGCAAAAAGTTTCATGTAGGTTTTTTAAAAAATTGCAAAAGACCAGAGCCAAAGAGCTACTTTTTTGATATTAAATAAAACGAAAATGGCGAGAAATGAGAGCCGATTTGTTATTAGCGTGAACAGATCAAAGCTTTAGCAAGAGACACAAAACTGTATACACGCTTTTTTCATCAGAACAACCCTTATAAGAAACAACAGGCTGGGGTTTACGAAAAAATAAAAGAAACAAGGCAGGCTGAAATTCAACAAAACACAAAAAATAAAAACCAGCAAAAATTGAAAAAGAATAGCAACAGAAAACTAGAATGCGATAAGCAAAATAGCATTAATTACTTTATCAAGCACATTTCATGTCCAAAAACTACTATGCGCAGGAAATTCCATTAAAAAAAATCAGAAAATGGAACGCCAGGCTGAAACTGGAGCCAAGTGTTCTTTAAAATAGCGTGTGACGTAGCAACACAATAGTATTAGGTCTTTCACAGCATTTATTTTTCTGTTCTGCTATCTTTGCACCAGTATGATATGATCCAGGGAAACGAACCAAAATGATATGACCCAATGTACTTCTTTGAATTTGAATTTGAAGCTTTGAATTCAGACATTTTGTTATTAGTATTATTTGGTGTTTTCATCGTTTTAATGTTAATCGATTTTAAGTGTGAACTGGCAAAATAAATTCCTGGATTGCAAGGCGCGGTTTCCTCCTACCTTCCTTCTGTTTGCGTAGCTTTCAGTGAGTAATTCACAATCCAGTTTTAGCCAATTGTGTAGTTTTAATTGCGTGGTCTATTATGGACCCTGCGTCATTGTTGTTGGTTAAAGACAAGAAAATCTACGCCAAAACAAATTGCCGTTTTTGTTAGGTAAGAACGTTTTATCATTTATTTGATTTTGGATGTTGACCGAAACTTGAAAGCGGAAAATATGTCACTCTTGGGTGTTTTGATAAACCTTTCGAAAGTTTAAGGCATTTCTTGAAATTGAATGCCACATGGATGTTCCCTTGTTTATATTCATTAAAGGTGTATAAATATCTAGTCTTGCATCACAATTCGATTTTGGAAAAGGGGATCATTTATCAAATCAAGCCTGTTTGTGATCGCTAAAGCAGGGAAAGCCGTATTTTGAAAAAGCATAAAAGTATTTGGTATGGGATGTTTGTTTTTAGCTTTACACAACATGTACACTCATTTTTTTATAAGAAACAGGTTGTAAGAAACGGTAGGCCCAATCTTTCGAAAATTGAGAAACAACCCAAATTGAAAAAGCTAATTAACTTTTATAATTTGCAATTTGATTTTCCGAGTTGACACTCGAAACAGTCTTGACATTGAACATCGCTGTTGCAACACTACACTTGACACTCTGAATGTGAGTGAACTATTTACTTTACCTTGGAAGCACGTTTAAAATATTCATTATATAAGAAATTTAAGAAACATGAGAGAAACTTTTGATAGCAAAATGGCCAAAAATTTGAGAAACTGCCTACCAGCACCGGACTTTAGTTTCTTATAAAAAAATACGTGTATACCAGTAAGAAATTATGAATAGAATGTACTAGAAGTGAGGTTCTATGGGTCCAGCGGACAGTAGGGTTTCAGGCCCCTTGCCCCAAATCGTCCCCCTTTCCATAGACATCCGGAATTAAAATGTTCCCATCATGTTTGCTTGCCTTGTTGCTTGGAATTTCAAAGGTAGCCTCGCGTCCTTGTGTCTCCTATTGGAGTCAATATTTGACCCTTTCCAATTCGATCAAGTTTACAAAATTCTTCAATGTGGTTACCGCGAGGACCAAACAGAGACCCTGCCTCAATCTTACTCACAGAGCACATAAGATTTCCTTTCCGTTTTCTTTCCGGTTCGTTAAACCATGCTGTTGTTTTTAAACCGCACACAAAAAAGAAAAATAAATTCGGTATTAACAAACCAAGATACAATATCTGTATGATGTTCAAACCTCGTAGAAGACAAAGGAATATTGTGGAAGTGACTGTTTGAATCGAACTAGGGGAGAAGCTGGTCGACTGTGGTCACAGAGAAAGCAGAGTGGAAGAATTACTGCAGCAGTATTCTCTTACTTACAAAAAAACTTTATTTATTATCAAGTGTCCATTGTGAACTCAACAAGGTATTTTGAAACTTACTTTTTTCTCGTTTTCTTTAAAGATTAACACAAGTTTCATTTAACAGAACATCTAGATATGAAAAATGGAGTTAAGGAACAACACTGTTTTATTATTTTGCCTTCGTATGACAATTTTACAGCGTATTTCCAAATGCCTGCTAATATATAGGACTAGCAGCCCACTTGTGTATCATTTCAGCTCTGAATTAGAATTTCGTTGTTTTTTGCAGATCGTTAACTCACTTTTTAATGGCTTTCATTTGAACAATTCTAGGCATTCGTGATCACCCTTCATCCAAAGGACAACCCTAAATGACAGTAACCGAATAAAGCTTTTCAATCTGTCAATGCTGAAAATGAATTACTTTGTTAATAATATGTTTTGAGTATGCTTTCAATCTGATTTATGAGGGCCATTTCGCAAAGCTAAACTTTTTCTCGTCATCTTGTATAGCCATCTTAAAACCACGCACCTAATCGCGACTGTGGTGAGATGCAACATTGGCCTTAACAAGATTCAAAGAGGGGCTAATATTGTTGCGTTTTTGTGATGGCTTGCCCACAGTCATTAAAGACAAGTATCCCTACATTACTAAAATCGCCCCAGTCCATTTGAAATTTAGCAAGTATCTCCGAGTTACACCGTTTCTTGGCGCTTTACCTCGAAGGCTGACCAGGGAAAGACCTTACTAATAAGACTTTTCCCATTCCATCTATATACATTCCATCTACATCTAATCACCCTTTCCCATCTATATACGGTCGAAACAAAGATGAAATAGAGTTGTTTGTGGCAGCCTTTAGTGCTTCAGTGGAGATGGTTCCAATCAAATCTATACATCAACAGCATGTGTAAAACTAAAGTTAGCGGCTGCAATGATTATTCTCAACTTTCCCGACAAAGCAATGATGTTGATTTTATGTGCAGAAACTGGATGGTATTGTTGATGGAAGGACATTACCATCAATGTCGTTTTATTGAAATAATAAACGCCGTTAAGAAAAACAAGGAAACTTACAGCGGCGAACATAGGTCCCGATGAAATGTTGTTGGTTATAGATTCCTTCAAAAGATTTCTACACGAGCTACAAAAAAGTGAAATTCTGTGCACGTGAAAATGATATTTCTCATTGCATCTCATCGTTGCCCCAACTGTAGAAACCACTGATTTTAGATGCTTTTCCTTTTCTTAAGTTTTCAAAAGTTTTTAAAATTGATTTCAGCCCAATATTATGGTCACACTTTATCATGACGTCAGAAATAAACAAATATTCCCAGGTGAACAGAAATGCAGGCGTTCGTCTGGCCCATTTAGTATTCAACAAGAAGAGGGTTCCTCTTAATACATTGTATTGGCAAGCCAGGGTGTTTTTCTTCATCTGGACATTGGCTAAAAGCTTTGCTTGTGTGTATGAAAAGCGTTATATGGTCATCAACTGCATTAGTTTTCCGGTAAAACTGGTACACCATGGGCAAGATATGGATGGTCCATTTTACATTTCATGAAATCCAACCCACCAACAATAACTGACCCCCATCACCAGGGACCGCGGAAGCAGGGTAGCTACGGGGAAACCCCCCCCCTCAAATTTCTAAAATATACTGAAAACCATACAAAAATTGCCCTGCTATTGGTTTTTAGCATGTTTAGCCCTCCAAAACGTTTTAGCAACCTGAATCTGCAATATGCTGCGCGGTCCTTGCTCATCTTTTGCCGAGTTTGTGTATCAAGGACCCTACTATCAATTCATATCATAATGCAAAATGAACAGGGTATCAAAGGAAAAGGAAACCCATTTAACCGTAAATTTACATTGCAAATGAAAGCTAAACCCTTTAAGGAAGGGTTCCTCCTTGAACCAACTGGGAGGCTATCTTCACCCTTGCTCATCGGGGATAGTAGCATTTCGTCTCCTTATTGGCAGAGATTTTTATTGAAAGATGAATAAATTTTTAGTGTTTCGTAGCGAAGGAGCGATCGGGGATGATTGTATAAAGTGTATGTGGGTATTGTTCAGCCAACTCATGGGAGGCCATGAATTTATGATTGAGTTCTTGAAAAGTATTTCAATCCAGTCATTCTTATCTGCCATTTCGCATGATCCAGAGTGTTTCGATAAAATTTGGGATGTCGCTGCGGTTGATTTGGACCAAGGAAAGACTCTTGTAGAGCTCCACGCTTATCATCTTCTGAAATGACAGACTAATCTATGCAAATTTACAGCGTTGGATTATCGCACGGCTCTCTTGAACTTTCCAGACTGGCTTCAGACGAATTTAGTAAAATATTGTAAGAAAAGCGCTTTAAAAAAGCGGATAATATGTCCGTCATGAAATTGTGAACGGATTGTGCTATCGATCATCTTTGTCGTCATTAATTGTAAATTGCTAGCACATTCACAATTGTTCTTTATATTTCTGTTTGTTTTGTGCATTGTGTATATGTTTGTTTATAAATTTATAAGAATGCCCTACGGGTCATCGTACATGGCAACCAGTAGGCGTTCTCTCTGATCTCCTGAAACCTTGAAACCCCCCAATGCGTCAAGACATTAAACCGGGGAAAACGTCTCATTGAGGAAACAGTACGTAGATATGAAACGAATCCGGTATCGTGTGAACAGGGCCTAAGGTTTCAAGGAGGCCAGCCTAGCTCTAAACACACCTGCCTACACCGAGCATCCAGTTGCATACCGTTCGATTGATTGGGAAATAAGGCATGGATTGGTATTCTAGCAGAAGCCCTTTTGGTAATGCAGTTTATTAACTATATCGGATTTTATCTGTGCAAAATGAAAAGCCAAACAGATTAACGAAAAAGCTACTTTGTTAAGTCAACGAATCGTGTACGCAGGGTCAACAAATTACTTAGGACCGCAAGGTTTTTGCGAAATGCCGCCTGTGTTTTATTAATTAAAAGATTCAATGCATGTTGGCCTAGGCGACCACCAACAGAACGACAATCTCAAAATTCTGCCGCACAAAGTTTGTTTCTGCTTTGTATGATGGTTTTTAATGGCAAGTGGGGTCAATACCATAACTGTGCATGGGACCCCCAAAAGGGTTTTAGAAATATTGGGAGTGTACAATACAGAAAGATGATCGCCAACCATTCCATTTTAAATACAGAAACGTTACAGTTAAAAATGGAATCTGACAGAATCTGAACGTATCCGAGTGAATCTGCGTGAATCTGAGTGAATCCGAGTGACTGAGTGAATCTGAGTGAATCAAAGTATCCAGGGAAGGAAAATATTGTTATGAAAGTAATTTGTCACCAATCCCTTAGGCCACAGTCTGAATACTTTAGATTGAGCTTTGATTAAAGGGATTTTCGGATTATTAATTCTTTAATCTCTTCGAATTGTTATTAGTTCGACTATTTTTAGTTGGTAGCACCAAAATTACCCTAGGTACCAGAGCCTCAAAACCGGCGATACGGTCAAAGACCAATGGGCGAAAAAACAATTTTTGAAGAGGTTGGAAGGAAAGAGGCTATATTACTCTCTTTCCAATCCACGCTTCAATGTATGTATTTCCCGAGACTAGATTTAAATTTCATTTTTGAGTGGTAATTGTGGAGACCCTGTCGCCTGGAGTACGCCAGGATAAAACGAGAGCAAGTATCTATTTGTGAAGTAGAAGCAAATAGCGAAGGTGCCTTGATAGAGCCCCAATTCCAGGAGATGTTGCAAAATAAATATAACAGTTGGCCTATGCTTTTAATTTAACACGATGGCGTAGATCTCCACAAATAGTGTCAGAAAATATTATTTTGATCCAGGCCTGTTACGATAATATATTTGCTGCAATCTCATCAATAATTCTTCGCTGAAACAGTACCGAAAATACTTTGCCTATTTTCATCTGATTATTTTCAATATTGACTGATTATTTATACTCTAAACTAGGGACTGATGTGGTGGGGGGGGGAGAGAGTTTTGAATCTATCGATACTTCGTCCCAGCCCCACATAATTTTCGCCACTGTTTTAATTCTACGTATATCTTGCTCGCACACTGTCCGCTGCATCTTTCTCTCCCCAGGACAACAATCAATTGTCCGCTGCATCTTTCTCTCCCCAGGACAACAATAAATCTTCGAGTCTAAAGGTCTGGAACGTCGCCAGATACCAAGCTTTTCCAAATGCAACCATCTTGAAAACGCATTTTTATTCAGATCTGAATAATCTGCAGATGATGTGCGAACTTTTGAGATTTTTCAAATCATCGTCCTAGATATTTTTTCCATGGGGTGGCACTTAACTTTGAAAAGAAAACCTGTCTGTGAAATAAATAATTTCTAGAAAACAAGCTCCCCTTATTTTAGCATCAAACCTAAAATCTCCTTTGAATAAGAAACCCCCAATCCAACATCTGTCTTTACAAATTAACAACTTGAATATTCTGCGGTCTTTTCAAACGATATTATCCTTGGTTCTTTAAGGAAGGTAATTACCCCCGTGATTGCGGACAATACCCAGTCTGATCTTGGTAATAAAACAGAATACTAATTATAGAGATTCTATTCTGTGTCATTGTGCATGGCTTACTTTCATCTCGTGTATTGCCATATCGCAGCATTGACTGTGATCGCAGCGAGTGTAATGGCAGTGCTTTGTCTGTTTCAGTTTGTACAAGTGACGCGCGGTCAAATCTGAAGAGAACATGGCCGCTCGCTGGAGATTTCTGCCAATTGTCATCCTGATTGTCGCTTGGTCGGCTCTTGTTGAGGGTAAGTGATGTTCGCGTGTTGTGGTAGAAGTTAACAAATTTGTATTATCCTAGCATGGCAGCACACATTTCTTCTCTTTAGGTTTGCCGTACCCTTTATTGCTTACAAAACCTTACTTCATCCAGTCGCTAAATTATCTGATTCACCTTTTTCACACGTAGTTACGTACACACGTGCACGCCCCCTTATATAATATTTCGTTCCATTTATACCTTCTTTGAACTTCAAAATAGGAGGCCAGAATAGTAGAGGGAGTTTGGTTATTATCTATTAGCAGTGCATCACGCTAAAAAACAGCGTACCATGACCTACCCCTGCCCTTTTTCATCGCCCCCAAGACCTCCTAGTTACCCAGCATCTTCTAGTCAACAACATTCCATTCTTTTTCTTCTTATAAAATTCACCTACATTCTTCGTGTACCAGATTTCAATTTTCCGCTCGTTTAATAAACAGCCGCCCATTGAATGTAATCATCGATCATAAATCGTGAGTCATTTGCCTCCTTGAGTCATTTTGAACTGCCTCCATCCATTCACAGCCTCCATCCATTCACAGCCTATTTTCGCGCTCTGATGGGTTGTTGCAGGCGGTAGTTGGCGATCACCCATCAAGATTCTGGCTTCGTTAACACCTTAGCTTTGGTCCGAAATATGTCAAAAATTGACCTCACCTTGCCCCGTGGTTATTCTATTTCCTTGCCTCGAATTCGATCCTTATTCTGCTTGCTTTATTTGTATTAACACTTATAGAGAGTCAAGACCCAATGAATTTTTAAACTTCAAGTATTGTTAATAATTATGTTTTTACAAATAAATAAAAACTATTTCTAATGCTAAAAAGCTCCCTGCAAGGGTTTAATCTCTTATTTAATTTTTTCGAAAATCTGAGGCTGGATTGTTCTTAATTTTTTCTTAATTAAATAGGGTGTAAGCAGTGTGAGTGCTAGCTTTTTTCGCTCTAGGGAGGTAGTCAGGCCTCCTTTGCCAACAAAGTGAGTGAGACAGATTTGAAAATTCACCGAAAAAGCACCCACACATCGATAAAAATCCTTGATTTTGAGAAAAAACGTTGTTCAAAATTGCATTTTGCAGAAGCTCAGCCTCATCTTATTCTAAATTTGTTCTTAACTTTTGACCAATTTTGAGGCTTTTGTTCTTACAAAATTGTTTTTACAAAGAAAAGAAGTGGCTCAGGGTGAAAATCGCTTCAGGATGCAAAAGTTTCTGTGATAAACAACCAAAATTTTTTTTTCCAAATGGAGCATGCAAACTGTTTACAGAATGGACAGTCGACGGGAAAAGGGCATTATTGGCAACGATAGATAACGGGGTGGGAAGGGGGGTGGGGGGTAAAAGGGATTCGGAAACAACAGGGACGGATTTAAGCAACAATGGTTGGGAATGGTGTGAGATACTAATTAGATTTTGGTACCACACCCATCAGGTTACTGGGAAATGATGAAAACACCTATTTTCACAATTTGGTGATTAACTTGAAGGTGAAAAGGATAACAACATAATTAATGGAAGTTCTTGGCGTTGTTTTGTCACTACTGACTACCAAAAAATGATTTTCACCGCCTGGTAGGAGGGGCAATTCTTTATTGCAAATAGCGTACAAGATTTTTCCCATTCCCAAACAAAAAGATTTCTGGGGATTTTCTGATAAAACAGTAGGATTTCCATCAAAGGTGTTCGAGATTTTTGGAATGATTTACCCTCGGACTGGCATCAATATTTACAGATGGAATAAAAAGAACACAGAAATATGGGGGGGGGGGTGTTTAAGTGATAAATTTAATGGAATTTTGGCTCGTCACCAACGTCCAAATGTTGCTTGGACTTGCATTTTCCGATCAGTTTGTTTTTCGTGTTGTGGTCTAGCTCCAGCTGCTTTCTCGTTTCGCACCTTTTGTATTAATATTCATTTGTAAACTGTTCTAAGGCAGAAAACCGGGTTATTCAAGAAAGAGTATTCTTGAGTAGACCTTCCTAGGCATGAAGCCAAGGGCGGGCACACGGGGCATTGTCCGCCCAACTAGAATTATTTGCCCCTTTGTACCCGTCCAAAAATTTTAGAAGGAACACATGTTTTTGTCTAAAAACTTAGAAACCGTGAAAACGGCGTATTCCTACATGAATGTCGAAAAAAGTCGGTCTCAACAAAGTCTGTACATCTGTGCATTCATGGTAAAAACCAATATCGACTGTGCACCAGTCCACACGATGCTATATCGAGTCCATCCAACTGCAGACATGCTTCAACCTCCGTTGAATGCTTGTTTTCGGCACTGAGCAAGGTACATAGATGCTCCCAACGAAGATGTCAAGCTGCAAAAAGAGACTCGAACTTCCTTCATTTTGAACGACAATCTTTGATGTCGCTGCAGTTCAGGGACGCCGGAACGAGCAAGGGGCAAGGGGAGCAGACTTGAGTAGAAGGGCATTTTAAAGATCACTCCCAGCTTCTACTAATTCCTTCCACTGACTGCCATTTTATTTCAACCTTTTGTAGATATCTTGAAATTGGCTAACTTTTGGAATAAAGATTTATTTTACAGGTTTTGAAAAATGTCGTCATGAATTAAGCACTGTAATCAGAATTTCATATGAATCTCTCTGATAATTACAATTTGCCGGCTTCAAGGGCACATTAATGAAAAGGGCATTCTGGCCCCCCTTGCCCCTCCTATCAAAGGGCAACAGGGGCGGTTAACCCCCCGCACCCCCTTCTCCGGCGTCTCTGCTGCAGTTTGATGAATTTTTTAATATGATAGGGCTCCGTTGCACCTATCATCATAGCTTACTTTCCATTTACAGTTAATTTTGGGATTTATTCTGTTAAATACTTAATAGTAAAAAAGTCTTCTCTTCAGATTTTTGCGTATCTAATCTCCAGTGAAGAAAGGTTACAAATACTCTACTTTTGAAGGCTCTTCAATATCATTGCTTATGTTTTATTGAAAACCATTTCTTAGGTTCTTGCCGTCAAATAACAAGCCGACCTTAACCCGGCATTTCCCGCCAGGGGCGTTGCTAAAGAAGAGCGCTTTCCCCCATTCTTTGTCCGCCGGCACATAATATTTTTCTCAAACTGTAGCATAATTATAATATTTTTGTAACAGTTGAAACGTGTTAAGAAGCAACTCACCTTTCAAAGTATGGAACTGAAAATGCTTCAAATTGAACTTTTAGAATTCTCAATATTGAAACAGAAACACATAAAGGCAGCATATAAAATCACTTATTTTATGACCACACCCAAAAAGAATGAGACACGCCCCTTTTTGGCAAAAAGCAATACGGTACCCTTCCAAAAAACGTTTTGGCTTTGCCCTGTTGCCCGCTCGCCGTTTAAGTGCTGGCTTTGTGCCTGGGCCTTTCAAAAAGGCCATTGTGTCCCTTTCGGGAGAAGTGGTTGCTGCTGAGAAAATGGCTGCTTGCGCCATCCGTGTGTATCTGTCTCAGCAATGATATCGATGGCTTTGACCGCCCTTAATGTCCCTCTCGGTTCTAATTTGGAGCTTTTTAATTATCCTTTGAAACGACCCGGGGTCATTTAAAAATGTTTCTCAGATTTAGGAAGCAAAACCAAACTCATCCAATTAGTAAAACACAGCCTAACCACTATTTTCTGCTCGCATTATTGGGTGCAGTGTCTAGTTTATGGAAAACCCCCAGAGAATCATGATCTCCGTTGTCTTTAAAATTCTCCTTCCAAGTTTTCCCCTGCCTGTTTCATTTCTTGTTTACGGATGTTTTGCTTATGAGCCTTAAATCGAAAGAACTTTTTCATTGTTGAGGGTCACTTGCTTTTCTTTGACCACTTCGCTAAGAATTTAAATCAATGAAACTTCGTGTATCGAAGGATAAGATAGAGATAAGATCATCGAAGAGCCTTACAGCAAATACCTATCTCGTATTATTAGCCATATTGATCAGTGTAGCAACTTCTCCTTGTGATTGAAGCACTTAATTGGGTCGGATTATGATACGATCGACGGTCGTGGCTCTCAAATCTCTTTTATTTCTTTTTTAAGCCGTAGAATAATCTTTGAAAGCCTCAAGAACTGCGGATGAACTGCTTTGTCTCAAACTTTGATGCTTCCCTGAGGCTTCCCCTCATATTTGGGTGTTAACTTAATTCCTATTGCAATTTTGGTCATTTGGTGATTCAAGGTTGTCGAATATAATCAAATTACTTTTATTTGCTTCTGTCTGGCTGAGTAATTGTTTTGAGTAGTTGCAAATTGGCTAGGCCGATGTGTGCAGGCCCGTGTGTCTTTGCAATTTAGGTTGCCAAATGCTTTGCCAGTTTTGATTGCAAAATGTTTGACTTCAAAATGATTGAAATTCGTTTGGTGTGAATAGAGGAAATAAGAAAGTATGAAAAGGGTGATGATTTTGTTTCTACATTTGTAGACAATGGTGAATCTGATGTACAATAATTCAGATCTGTCCGTCAATGAAAGTTCTGATTATTATGAAACACGTCGATTTGTTATTGTAAGGATAAAAAAGATTATCAACATTTGCAGCTGTTCATCAGATGTTTCTTAAGTACGCACAACATTTTTTTCATAAAAGATTTTGATTAATATTCAGACGAAGGAATGGACTTTTCAAACAGCCGCGCCCAAAAGAAAATTAGATGACTGAATTTTTAGTCTTTGATTTTTTCGTTGGCAAACAAATTGCATTTGCAATGAGTTAACCGCAATTACTTTTTTGCCTTCAAAGAAGCTTGAATTGTTTGTGCCAAAGTGCAATATCCTTGTAGCAGATGTTGTTTTCTCTATGTCTTGATTTTCATCCAAAATGTTTTTCCTTCGCGATTTATTTGAAGACCGTCTATTATTTAATTTCGTTATTTCAAAAATCTCTGGTTATTTCTCATCATCATACGGATCAAAATCGCAAAACTTCTAAACTGAACCGATTAAACCGAAATTGGATTAGCTATTGATACGCAGTCTGCTTGCTAAGTCATGATGTAATCTCGATTGCCTCGACTACAAACCAAAGCCACCTGACTGAGATCACTTTTGTCTGCGTTTAGGTTGCTCTTAGTTTCACCTGCAGAACATCACAAGCTACAGCCCGCTGTGAACTTTATTTCGCAGTTATTTTTGCCAACCACGCCCCCACCCCCCCCACACACACACACACACACACACGCACTTTCACTTCTCAACAAAGCAATATACACCTGACTCAACGTGACTCATTCCTATGTTCACTCTTCTAAAATTCTTATCTCATTTTTTCGAATCCCGTATCCTGTTTTGAGTATCAGCATCCAATTTGTCTGATAAGAATCTAAGATGGGATTTGAAATGATTCGGCGTAGCCACTCCTTCTTCAGCATTCTCTTTATGCAACGATTTGAATCTGCCTGAGATGCCAACTAAACGAAATCAGAGTTTTTATCTTCCATATTACTGCTTTACAAGTTTCAAGTTACATTTCAAGTAGTTGTTGTTCTTCGACTTTCACTTACTTTGCACATAATTTCTTATTTATTTAACCTTGAACCTTACTGCAAGCACAGCATGCTTGAAATTTCAAAGTATAAACTCGTTTTTTCTTCAAATAGCTAAATCTATGTACGGTGAAGAATGGGCGCCAAAATTTGCAGTTGCACGTGAATCTTTCATAGCCATGCTGCTTTCTTTTTCTGCGACTCTTCTGCCCTGTTATTGCGCTTATTCCATGCAATTTCTTCTGCCCTGTTATTGCGCTTATTCCATGCAATTTCTTCTGCCCTGTTATTGCGCTTATTCCTTCTTATTCCTTAAGAGCTCATTCTTCTCATTTGTACATTCATAATGCTAACTAGAATCTGCATTATTCTTAATTATGCACAATTATGTTAACTTATACATTGTTTTCCAGAATACGTCAATATGTTGCTGTATACTATTGTTTGTTTTCTTTGTAGGTTCGGTATATAAGAACGCCTCTCACTATTGGCCTCTTGACTATATTAGTGAAATGAAAGATTTGGTTACGCACAAAGAGGCCACTGTAACAGGAACTGATGGGGTTCAGTTGAACGGTAAGGGTGACGGATTCATGGAGATGCAAGTCGGCAAGGCAGCAATTCGCCTTGGAGAATACAATCACAAGTGCATGCTTTCATTAGCGAATTGCGACAATGGCTTGACGATAACGTTTTGGTTGCGCCTACTTGAAGCACCTGGAAGCTCAAATACTGTGGATTTGCTGAGTCTTAGATCAAGCACAGGCTTCTACGTTATCAGAGTCGCTTTGGAAAGCACCTCTAGTGAGCTCCAATGCAATTTTATTTCTATCATCATTTTCGCTGTTGTTGTTGTTTTTGTTTCATGAAAAATAAACTTCTTTTTCTTTCTTTTTCTTTTATTTTTAAACTACCCACTCTAGTTACCCGTCTTGATTATTGTTACACGAGCTTCCTTTTGAAAAGTCCTTTGGGCATGTTTCAAATCGTTTTGCCTTGCTTGATTTCTTTCCCGGAATGGTCTAGCAGCTGGCAACAACTTTATCTTCTCTTTTCAATGTTTTGTAATGAAATGGGCGTTGCGTTAGCTTTCAACAACCAATAGCAATTACCTGTATTTTGGCTTATCTATTTTGGCTTATCTATTCTGGCTTATCTATTTGGGTAAGAAGATTTTGTCTACAGTATGATGCTTTTTGTATGAGATTGAATCTTCTATTAGAAGTCTACTTTTGGTTTGTGTCCAAGTTTCCATAAATGCAAATCTTAAAAGCATGGCTTTGAAAGTAGGCAAGGATCTGCAATTTGTTGTAGCATCTTGCTAAACATTAGTTTAGCAGGTTGACAGCCTCGACATCACGCTTTGTCAATTTCGTCCTCAGTTTCACACGTGGTGACGTATTCTGCGACTGGTAGTCAAGCCCAATACAGAGCTCGTGTCAGCCTCGCTTTGAAGCAGTGGATGCATTCGAGCCTAATTTTTACTAAATCTGGGGATCTTCGTGTCGTGATAAACGGCAAAAAGATTTTACATTCGAAGAGAAAAGCTTATGTCGCCGAGAAAACAAAAATGGTGAACTTGATAATTGGTTCATGGTCGAAACTTGGAAGTTCTGAAGGGCCGAAGCTGCAATTTGACGAGATTGCGGTGTTTTTTCAAGAATTAGATGTAGCAGCTATCAGAAAAATTGTTTTGAAGGATTATGGTAAGTGTAAAAATTGGCGTTCTTTTAGAGTAGTTGTTAAAGCTTCTGCAATTCTTTGTCGTTTGTCTTTAGGGAATGCAAACAGTGATTAGCAAATGATGCAATTGCTCTTTTTTAAGTAATATCCGCAAGTTGTTATCTTTCATCATTGAATTCTCTTCATTTGGCATTTGTTACGTTCGTAGGCCAAATCTCCCTTGCTGCAAGTTGCCCCGGAAACAAAACTTCAGTGATAGTGGCCTGGGAACCACCCATTGATACTTACAGCCATGTTCTCAATTACGTCATCACCGCTAAGTCTGTAAGCGAGCACACGTATACTGTTCCTAAAGAGAAGACTACAGCTACGCTCACTGGCTTGGGTGAGTTCACGTGCATAAGAAATTATTGAGTGTTTCTCTCCGTTCTTAACAATCAGTACCCAAATTTTCTTAAAACCTTCTTAACAAAATTTAACTACTTTTACCTAAACTGCTTTTGACATTTAAGGCACTACGTGATTTTTTGAAGAAAGAGACTTTCGACCAGTTTGAGTTTGCTCGACCTTGCTAGAGTATGAGAATGATTACGAGGCACATTCGATTCGAGTGGCAGGCAGGGCATGTAGGGAATTGTTGGATGAAAGCCCAGAATGAATTGAAATTGACATGAAAAGATCAAATATAAATTAAATATTTCAATGTAGCTGTTTCTCTTCGTTATGGAGAATGATTTATGGAAATTGATGAACTTCAAATCCTTTTTGTTCGGGAAACGAAACCTTCAGCCCTTTGTTTCAAAGCAAAATCGTCTTAAATCAATCAGTGTTGCAGGGTCATAGCACATGCGCATCAACAGTATTCGCGCAGCTGTTCTGTCTGGGACCACACAACTTCCTACCAGGGCTTCAAACGATAATTCGCTCGTGTAATTACATGAGGTATATAAATTAGAGAAAAGGAGACACAAAGCTCTTCTGAAAAGAAAACGCCATTCCTACCTTAAAAATGCGAAAGAAGAGCTTTGGCTGCTTAAGAACGAATGTCCAAAACAATTTTGGAAAAAGCTTTCAATGACATACTCCAGTGAATCGTCAATAGATTTTTCAAACAAACAAATTTACACTTATTTTGATGAACTTCTTAATAAAAACACTCCTGTTTCTCCCCCTGAAAACCTGATACATTTTGCAGCCATTGGTGACTCCGATAACGACTTGTTTAATCTTATTGACTCTAAACTAAATCTAAATGTATGAATCAGCTAGTGAAAGAGTTTAACATTCTAAGGGAAAATCAAATTGCCTAAATAAAATCATATCGAACCTCCGATCATATTTTTACACTCCATGCCATAATTGAGAACACATTTTCTAGTAAGAAACTCTTTATCTACCCTTTGTGGATTTTAAGAAAGCTTTTGATTCTGTTGACTGCCAAAATCTCATTGATAAATTGATGTCTTCTGGTAAAATGTTACATGTGATTAAGTCCCTGTATACAAAAGTTAAGTCTTGTGTAAGGGGTCAAGACAGCGTAACTATTCTATTTTCATGCCATCCTGGTGTTAGGCAAAGTTTTTTATTGAGTTCATTGCTGTTCACCTTGTTTCTTAAAGATTTAGACTCAAAGATTAATGATGTTTCTACCGGTGTAAGATTAGGTGATATAAATATCTGCTCCCTTCGATATGCTGATATTCTGGTTTTATTGGCTAGTTCTGTTGAAGATCTGCAATCCCAGCTAAACGTGCTAAACCAGTATTGCATGTCTGCAAATATGGAGATAAATACTTTTAAAACTAAGGTAATGGTTGTCAGAAAAAATAAGAAAAAGTCCAAGGTGTGCAAATCTTGGGAATTCGGTGATTAAGAGATCAAAGAATGCAATCAGTACAAATACCTTGGTGTTTAAATCTTATGTTTCCTCCAGTGCTCATGTTGATATAATTAAGCAAAAAGCTAAAAAATCCTACTTTTTCCTCTCGTCCAAAAGCAATGAATGGGATGGTCTCAATCCAAGACTCTCTTTATTTTTATTTGACAGTACTATACTTCCTATCCTCAATTATACCACTGAAGTATGGGGATCTGGTATGCCTTGAAAAATTTCATCTTATGGCTTGCAAGTCAACCCTGGGTGTGAAAGGCTCTACAACGTCTCTTGGGGTTTATGCGGAGCTGGGTCGTTGTTCGTTGCTTGAACATAGACATATCAATATTTTAAAGTTTTACATTCGTTTGATTAATCTTGATTCTTCAAGATATGTATGTAAACAGAACTCTTAAAGTGCTAATAAATGATGCTGAGTCCGGTGTTTCAAATTGGGTCAGTATTTCCTGATGGTCCTTCATGACATACATGCAACCGATAATGATTCTACCGTGAAATCGAAAGTGTCTTCCCAGTTTAGGTCAAAAGTTACGGAAAATCTAAAGGAGCAAATTATTCTAAATAAAAAGCTCTGTACAAACGCATCTTTCAAAACTGTTTATAAGTTTGAGAATTACTTAGACTTGGTACCTAGCAAAAAGAAAAGAACTAACTTTGCAAATCTACGTCTCAGTTCTCACAATCGTGGGATCGAAACGATATGGGAAAAATCCTATTCCTAGGGCTGACAGAAATCGTCCCTATTGTCAATCTTCAAACATAACGGCTGTGGAGGACGAAATTCATCTCTTATTTGTTTGTCCCCTTTACGCGTCTGCTAGGAATTTTATGTTATCTGTGATTTATGCAAAATTTCCCAGAATCTCTTCCCTTGATCTTTATGATCAAGAAGATAGGAATTGTCTTATTTTAATAGCTAATTTTTTACCCCTGGCTTTCGAATCACAGGAATCTTTTGGGAAGTCCTATGTGTGCATATCTATGTAACGTTTACTGTATAGCTTATAATCATGTTCACATTTTCTTATCTTGTATTTCCGCCCACAATCTTTTTATATATAAAAAGGTAATGACCCTGAAACGGGGGCTAGTGCATGTCTGGAAGACGGGCATGATTCATCTCCCGAACACCTTTTTCAGGAGCTGACTTCCACTTTTTTATAGACCACTATCTTACAAAAAACGCATACTGTAACTTTAGAAACCGTTTTAAATTGAAATTGAATTGTCGATCATTGCCTATTGCCACCACCTTATGCAGCAATAAAAAAAGCGAACTGTGGTATTGCCTTTTGCCTTGCAGATGCAGATGTAGACTATCAGGTAGAATTGGTTGCTCGGACTGTTTCAGGACTCAACATAACAAGCAACAAAATAATTTGTTCTACAAATGAGCAGAAGCAGGCACCAGCCAAAGGTTTGCGAGAGAAGTTTGAAATGTTAATAGCACAACTGTAGTATCACCGAGGCTTTATTGAAACCTCGTTGCTGTTGTCATTGCTAAAAGTTCTAATACTAATACTGCTTTCTGCTTGCTGTATATTAGTTGTTAGTGAATGACGTAATCAGAAACTTACAAGCCAATCATTAGTAATATTGAACTGTCACGTGCAAGAATACCAATCGTTTCTTTTCTTCAATTATCCAGGAGGTTTGGTTGCCTTTGCCATCGACACGGACAAAATCCGGGTGCTGTGGAAAGTAGATGAAAGTTCTGTTGACAAGCCAGTTGCCTACGGGGTGCGTTTTGCCCTTTTTTCATTTTGTCCTTTGAAATTTCAGTACTTATTTACATTTTCTTCTAAATATGGTATCTTGGAACTCTGGTAAAGTGGTCCAAAAATTGTTAGTTAGATCCCCGTTTGACTTATTACCACTGTTTTATCCTTTTTAAATTTTGTACATCAAGAGTAACCATTTTTTGTCCTCTATTTTTGCTACTTATTTTTCCTTTTTAATTTTTAACGTCAAGAGTTTAGGTATTTTTGTTTGTTTGTTTAGTTAGATTGATTGCCACTAAAATGCTTCATCATAATGGTGACACCATAATACTTAAGTTTAGGGTGATTACTAAAACGTTCTTAAAACATCAAATTCATCGTATTTTAAAGTCAATTTTTATTGCTATCTGACTAAAGAGATCGGTCTTCTCTATAATTATCTGACAACATTAAAGCAGCCCCCAATAGCTATCAAAAGACAATGCAATCATATTTTGATTAAGAGAAGGCGATATTCCTTTTGTTTTATGTTAACCGTTTGTGTATTTTGCTCCAATATTCTGTATTTCTGAAATCTTAGCTATATCTTCAGTTAGATTACACTGAAACAACTCTAGCCACCTCTTTTTTGTAAACACTCAATATTTCAGAAAACATCTGGATAGATCAGATCTAGATTCAAACTGTAGTCAGGAAGCTTTCAAACTTTGATTTAATTTGGTGGTACTTCTGCTTTTGAATTTTCAAAACTGTATTTCAGTTTAATTAAACACTTGGTAGATTGGTAGACAGTTTTTAAAACAGTATTAAAATAAGCGAGCGATATCAAGTTAATAAGCGCTCAATTTTTAGGTGTCCGTCCAGATGAAAGGAGAGTCGGCAAAATATGTGTTGTTGTTCCAGAAAAATGCACTCAATCACACGATCTCAAACTTAAAGGAAAACAGAGAGTACCTTGTATCTGTAACGGTTTATACAAAGCTGGGGGATGCTAAGACTGAAAACAAGAGAGTCAAAACAAAACGTCATAGTGAGTGTTTTAGTCCTTTGTGTTGCTTTCCTGTTTGCTCGTCAGAACACTTTTCTATATAGAATTTTATCTCGATTTATTATTGCTGTGTGCATTTATAAAACGTTTTCACTCTCAGTCTACAAAGATGATCACACGGTTGATAAATAAGCAGATGGTCGTTCATTCTTTCTAATCTATTTCAGTTGTGCTGCCAACATGCCCAGCTCGCAATTTATCAGTAACCCAAGTCACGTGGGGCAGTGTGAGCGTTCGCTGGATGCCTCCAAAAAACTACAGCGACCCTGCCATGCTGTACGAAATTGAATGCAAAAGAAGCAATTGGAGTTTGATTAAAGAGGTCGTTGATGAACACGTGACTTTTGATAATCTTCAAGAAAACACGTGGTACAAAATCGAGGTGAAGGTGGGCGCGAAAGGAGTCGGTTTCTATCATGAGACTATCGCCGTGGATTTTAGAACCCAAGGTTTTTTACCATATCATCTTTTTGGAATACTTTGAAATTTGTCTGTTTCATTGTAACCTTCTACATTACAAAACTTGAACTTACTCTGTGAGCATTAAAACCCAATGTTATGTCAATCAATACGTTACTTGACTGTTGACCTACCTTTATTTTCAGTTCGCTTCCCACCCCCGTCGACTGTCAATGCAACTGCGCTAAAATGGAACACTGTGTTGTTAGAGTGGAGCCCTGTGCAAAGGACGGACCATTTGATATACCAGGTGGCTTACTACGAAGAGAAGAGGAAATCCAAAAGGAATTTTATTCAGACTGCGGAAACCTCTTTGCAGATATCAAACTTGCAAAGGAGCATGGGATACATTTTTACCGTCAAAATAGGAAATGGAATTGTGTTTGGCAAAAATAGTTCTAAAAATGTTTTCGTCACAACTCCAGGTAGATTTGAGATTGTTGATATTCTCTTTCATATGAATGACTATGATCGTGCTACAATTTGATAATATAACATAGCAAGGCAGCTTCAGTAGATCTATTTGTAGTTTTGAGGTTGCTTTTAGTGTCATCCTCTTCTGGTTGGTTGAATTTTTGAAATTCATTGCAGACCGTGATCAATGTATGGATGGAAGTCACACGTGTTCAGTGCTCGAGAGATGCATCAACATCAAAGATTCATACGAATGCGTCTGTAAATATGGCTACATCCGATCCGGAGAAACCTGCACACGTATGTGTCTTTAGATGCATATTTTTTGCATGAGGCATATCTCTTAATATTTTTCTTGTCTATGTTAGTGAATTAACCATGCTTGTTACCTCTTTCAGCAATGAAGAAAGGCGAACCAAGCTGTTTCACTGATTTTGCAAGAAATGTCACCTGGGGGTTGAGCAAACATGGTCAGTTTGCTGTAGCTGATTGTCCAAAAGGAACCGAGGGTAATTGATATGACTTAAATCAAATTCTTCAAGAGAACAATCATTGTTATTCTTACTGCTTGTGGTTTCATCCTAGCGAGTTTAAATGTGATTATTGGATCTTTTAGGTGTGGCTCGTAGATTTTGCAAGCGGTTAAATAACACCCACGCAGCGTGGCTTGTACCCGATCTCAGCAACTGTGTTTCTACTTGGCTTCGTCAGTTTTCTCATCAGGTGAACCATTTTTTGTATGATCAATGCTTCAAATTCTATTTTCATTCTTCTTTTTTGTCACCGCTATAATGTAATAACCAATTGCCTAAATTTTGCTACTTAGGCTCGAGTTTGAAATACTGATCAAATGAATCTTTATCAGAGTTAGTTTCACGAGGGATGTTGTAAAATTTGATTTGGTAGAGGTTTTACTTTTATCCGGATTATCTTTTCCCCTGTGGGTGGGTGGCAATTATGATGCTTATATTCTGGTAGTTGGTCCTTATGTGGCCCTTGTCGATGCATTTGGGAAATAAGGCAGTAAGAGGTCTGTATTTTGCGTTTCTACACGGAGTTGTTGGTCCCTTGGCGCTTATGAGGGTATTTAAACGCTGTTCATTTCTTCCGCACCCTCCCTCCTTATTTGGTATCTAGCAAAGTGTGTTTTCTTTTTCAAATCTTTTAAATCTATTTGTTCTCTTAGGGATTAGGGCTTATCTACATCACTGTGTTATTTAAAAGGTCCTGTTGATTTTTAGTTTAGGGTGGGTCTGGTATTTTATCCTGTCATAATTTGTCTTTCCCTCTCATACCTTATATCTAAGGTCGGACTGGTGCATCGGCTCCCTGGTGTGGAAAAGTGAACTTTTATTGTCCATTCCCTGCCCATAACTCAAAACTGCTTGCACTTGAGTTAATCAAGCTATATCTAAGGTTTAGAGTTTTTATTTTGGTCAGGTGGAGCAACTTGTGCGGATGCACCAACGGCCCAACGTTGCTCCCTGTGATGAGGGAATGTAGCCTCAATGTCTGATTTGATGAGGGATGTGGTAATGTTTTTTCTGAGAGAGCCATTTTTTAATCCAATTAAAAGATGATTTTTTCTCTTGAGTAAAAAATTAAATTTTCATGTCTTTAAATCTGAGAATGGTTGCTTTTTAGGTGGGTGGGGTAAAAGAAAGCGTAATTGAAAATTATAAAAGGAATATAATATTGAATTCTTATTATTATTCAAGTTTGATATTCTCGCTTAGGTGTCACAAAAAACACAGAGTTCTTCCAAGTTGATGATGTCGTTAAGCTCCGGGTACGCTCAGCAGAAGCAAGTTTCAGGGGGTGACATCCATGCTATGGTTGCGATGATGGGGGACATCATCAGCATCACAGACTCGAATTCATCCGATTCCTCTGGGCTGAATGAAATGGCACAAGTATGTAGCATTTCTTCTCAACCTTTAACCTTCAAAAATGATTCTTTATTGCCACAATTGTCTGTGAAACTGAAGCTACTTTTAAAGAAGAAATGTTTCCAATTCTTGTCCTATTCTTGCACTTACCTTAATATATTTTTAGAGCATGGTCGCGGTGACTGACGACCTCTTGTCGGTGGAGAAATCTGAAACGTGGAACGATCTTCCAAAGGTATGTTTTTCTTGATTTTAAGCAGAATTGAAGAAAGCCTGAGAGAGCTGAAAAAAGCAGAGTGTTTAAACATTATGGTCGCTTGTTCAGAAAGTTCAATTAGACCTAATTCCCTCCCTAGAAGTATCCTATATCCACCAGTCTTAGTATACATGGCAGGGAATGGGCAGAGAGGAGACTGAAGGTGCCCCTTGACAGTTCCCAAGAAATACTTTAAGCATCCACTGAAATATTTGGCTCTTATTTCACAGTAAATGGATGAGATTTAAAGCCCCCCCCCCTCCCCTCCTCAAACCTCTTGATAAATGATACGAGGGCCGTATCTTTTGCTTTGAAAGTGCGGCGTTTTATTGTAGAGTTGGATTAATGTTTAGATCTATGATTTTGGGGATGTCTAAAAACAGTAATATGTTGACGCTCATATATCATAAAATAAAAATAAACATCACTATAAAATCAATTAAAAGACGTTTCTTAGTTTGCCTGGATAAAAGAAATTTAGATTACTGCCCTAAAATTGAGTTTAATTTATGGGGTTTCTTACTTTATTATTGTAGCCTGAGTTCCACAGCCATTATTAATGAGTGTCATTGACTTGATACTTAATTTATACTTTGATCAATCTTATGTTCATTTACAGTTATTCGTTATCTTTCAGCTCCCTTACTATGTTTTTCATTTCTAAATTTTTCAGAAAAAGAAGGCAAGCAGTGCGTCCCGTATTTTGCAAAACTTTGAAAACTTGGCTCAGGTTTACAGCTCGTCACTGAGAAACAGAACCTTGAAAATTTCGAAACAAAATGCGGGTAAGTACATCTGTTTTCCTTGTTTCCTTTAGTTTCCATTAGTCACTTGTTCTCGTCCTTGCATTGGCCTAGAACACCATGTATGATAGTACTGCAAAGATTTTTAATTACAGCTTGATAGCGGAATCATCAATTTGAGTGTTGAAATGGTCCCAAGGAAAGCCAAGGGCTAAAAATGAGGCCATTTAGGCACTTTTGCGTTGTCATGCTACTTTGGTTCATTTTTATTGTGAAATATGTAACACATTTTCGCAAATATTGAATAACAAAAAGTGGATTGGAGTTATTTCTTATGATGCAAAAAGACTTTAAGATACAGCGTTAATTGTACCTAGCCTAGTGTTTTCGATCTAATGTTTTATACTTTTAAGAGTGTCACGATAAGCTTAAGAATGTTTCAAAACGTTGGCATTTTCCGTATATTTTTATTTACTTGTGTTCCATTCATTTTATCAACACTTAGTTGTGGAAGTAAAAAATCTGGTGGACACCTCTTCTCTAAAGTTCAGCGCATTATCTGACAATGGTGTCGAAGCTGAAGCCGGCCCTCGGAGCAGTATTGCTATCCCAGATTTTGAATTCAACTCAGAAGGTATGTTGGGTTTTTGCTATGTCTAAAATTTCAAAGTTAATCTTCTAATTTTGCAGCACAAAACTTCATCAAAATTAGTGTCTGTTAGTTTTGTTTATAATTTTTCTGTTGTCAACATAGAAATCGAAACGTCCTTATTTCATAATAGAAAGGTTTACAAGCTTCATTCTGTTTTCCGAGTGCCGTCGTATGTGGGAATTTCGCATACCTGCAGACCAGTGTCTACATTTCAAAGCTGGCAAATTAGTTTTAGAATTCTTAATAAGATGCTTATTTTAGCCTGCCCATTTTAGCCTGCCCATTTACGCATGCCCATTTTATCATACGAAAAAGAATGGTGCCGGATTTTAATCATTTCGCATTTGATGCAGATCTCAATGCTGTTTACTTTGGGTTCTTTCGTGGCATTCAGGGACTCCTTGGGACAGATTTGTATGTCATATTTCTCATTTTAATTATATGTTTTCATTCTCAAGTGGACGATTGCAATTTAAATGAAAAACATCTTGTAATTAGTCAATCGTTTGTTTTCCCTGTTTCATAAATAGCTGACTTTGTTAGCGCCGATTGTATTAAAAACTTCACATTTGGTTTTTTCAGACTTGTATCATCATGTTTAATTATTTCACATCAATTAAATAAGAATTCAAATTATTCCAAATCTAAATGAATAAACGTAATATGAATGACGTAGCCATTGCTGTTCTTTAGGGCTTCGTGTTAAATATCTTCTGCCATAAGGTAAAATACTTTTTTTTCAATAAGATAAAAATTTGTACCGAGCAATTTTTCTATTTGGTAAAAAAATTGTTTTTGAAGCCTGAAATTGGAGACTGTTTCATATTTTTCTCCAATTTCAGTGTAAATGTTTCCAAAGGCAAAAGTGATAGTGGTGACATTGGTGACAAAGTGTCCAATGTAATTGCTGCAACCGTTCTTGGAAGGAAAGGGATGGAATTTGAACGGCCAGTTGTCATTACGCTCAAGTTACCTTCTAAAAACGTTTGTAATCTTTATTGCACCTATTTCATTTCCATATCAGTTATGAATTTAGTTATATTCATCTTTCCTTTAAATATTTTGCGTTGATTAATTCATCAATCCCTGAAAAGTACTTTGTTCTTCAATTTATAAAAAGTCTTTCGTTTTACACGGCTACATAAACAGTCCGTGTCGTTGTCTGTCTACACTAAAACAATAAATTTTGATTTTTTAATAAAAAAGATATATTTTTTGTTTCTAACTTTACAACTTTCTGAGGGATTGACGGTCGCCATTGATTGGTCAAAACCTGGCAAGCAATGAAACGTGCCATCTGTTCTTATTACTTTCGATTCGAGTTTCAGTGTTTATCTGATGCTGAAATTTCTTCCGCTTTCTCGCATAGCTTTTGTGTAGTTAATTTGCGGCCTACCGCTTTATTCCAGGAAATCGCATCGAAAACCTTACAATGCGTCTTCTGGGATTTCGCCGGAAATAACACGGCTGGAGCGTGGTCACAAAGAGGCTGTAAGCTACACCGCAGTAACGGAAGCCACGCAACCTGTCATTGCTCTCATCTTACTAACTTCGCTGTTCTTATGTCGGTGACTTCGGCTCCAATGAAACAGGAGGTATATTCTTCGTCGATCTTCACCTAGACCTGTCTTTGTAGATTATTTAGTGGACTTTACGCAGCATGAACACTGTGTTTTTTAAACAATTTGTACACATTGTGTTACTAAGTCATTACCTTAAAGAAGCATTGAATTTAACTGTAGTTTTATGATAAAACCATACTAAGTTATACGTATAGCAAACGAGCTGGGTTTGCCCCCGGATAATCTTACCCAAGGAGATAAGATGCAGACCCAAATATTCCAGATTTGCCCCTGCTTAAAGTAACCCATCTCTTGAGTTGGTTTTCTAATAAGTGCAATGTGAATGCAATAATCGTAACCAGGCTCACTACTTGTCAACGCTCGTACTACAAATTTCTTAAAACTAACACGAGTTTAGTTTACACCGGGTTAATTCAAGCCGGGTTAATTGAAACCGGGTAAGTTGTAATCGAGCGTCAACTTTAGATTTGTTCTTATTTGTTTTGCTTTTAGAAAAGGGACGAAGACAGAATGGCCTTGATAACAACAATTTGCATTGGCATTTCGTTGGCTGCATTGTTCGTCTCTTTTCTAACATTCTGCACAATAAGGTAAGGCTTTCATTCCTATGAAATCTTTAGAGGAAGACTTTGAAGGAAGATTTTACCTCTTGTGAACAACAGCTTTTAATGCAAACAATTCTGATAAAGATTTTAAACACTTAGAGGCTTTACCATCCTCCTGATAGAGAACCAGCCCAAGGAAAAATATAACAAAAAATTGCAAGCCTAACGCTCATGGAGCTGTATTCTTTATCAAACAATATTCAGCCATGCCTTTTGATCCTCCACTTCAACTACACATTTGACGGCGCTGGCTAAATCTCATTACACTTGGTAAAGTTGGTATCCCTTGTGTGTTTCTTTGATCTTTGGTTTTAATTTTTAAAACCAAACAGCAATGATATGGACTGAAAGTTTCACGTTTCGTAAAAAACAGGCTCACGCAATTTCTATTTCTGTGATTCTGCATTCTTCGTAAGAATTTGAATCAATTCCGTCTTTTGAAATTTTCTGAGATGCAAACATTGATGTGATAACGATTTTCTGTTTTGCAGAAGCTTGCAGTCATACAGAAACACAACACATAAGAATCTTGTTATTGCTCTGTTCTTGGCACAATTGCTCTTCGTCTGTGGCATCGATAGAACTGCCCACCTCGTTAGTATTGTTTTTGATACTCTCACTTTCTTCATTGTTATTGCTGTTGTTGTTGTTGTTGTTATTGTTGTTATTTGAAATGCCATTGTTGTTGTTGAAATTCTCCACAGCAGCTCTCCGGGTAAATCTAGTTAAAAGTTCACAGAACGCTCTTGATCTCTCTCGCAACATGTTTCTTATAAAAAAACTTATCCTCATTGACCATTCTAAAAGCCCTGGATTAAGAACATATTTGACCCAAATACTGTTATATTTCTCTAGCTTACCTGCAGATTGATAGGCGTGGCACTTCATTATTTGTTCCTGGTTGCCTTCTCTTTGATGGGGATGGAAGGTGTTGTTCTGTATATGATGCTGGTAAGAGTTTACCAAAGGAACACGAGATATGGGAATTTGAAGCTCCTCCTTGCGTGCTGGGGTAAGTGATTATCATGCTTATAATTAATTGCCAGATCAGATGTCCTTTGCTGGCTCGTACTGTGGTCAATTTCATAATCTCAACCGTAATGATATAGGATGATGTTCTCTTGTCCTAGGGCACAATTCTCTTTAGGTCTTCTATAAACTTGTTCCTACAACTCATCTAATTCTTCCAAGAGGTTGTAAACTTTGGAACGCTTTACCCTCCTCTTATTTTCAAGGTCCTTATGCAACCTTGCTTCTTTTAAAAGCAGAATCGCCCCCTCAAATTACCAATTAAAAATGATAAAGATAAGTTTAGTCAAGGTGGCTGTGAAAATATTGTTTATTGTCGTGATTGCATTTGTAGGACTTCCTCTTGTCATAGTGGGTATCACTGCTGGCCTCGATTTCACTGCGTATGGAAACGAGAAATAGTAAGTACTGGTAGTGTATTCGTTTTTTAATTTTTTTTTGTTCACATTCGGCTGCCTTGAGAAAAATATTATCTGTTTTTGCAAGATTTTATCATCGTACATCGGAAATAACATTGTGTTGATGTTTATCTTCGATATAGTGAATAATTATGTAGAAATAAAGTATGAAAAATGAACAAAAATCTTTATTTTTGATACATTCGTTCTCTTTCACTGCTGTTGCAGTCTACGCGATGAGAAGCTTCACCTGCACTGATGTCAATTTATGAATCATTGTTCAGATATCCATAGTTAATGTTTACGATAATGAAAAATGAAATTGTTTCAGCTGTTGGATTAATGTAAAAAATGGATACATCTGGAGCTTTGCTGGTCCCGTCATCCTTGTCGTTGTTGTAAGTGAAGAGGCATTTATGATTGGATTCCTTGTGGCATGAGATTAATTGGAATTTTCATTTATGCCTATATGTCATTTATAAAGTATTATGTATTATGAATATGATATCCTTCACATAAAGCGAATTCTCTAGAGATAGTTTGAGATAGATTCTTTTCCACAATCTGTGGGCATGTTTTTAAGAAAAGCTCAAGTTCTGATGGATTCTTTTTATCGAACTTAGCAATGGGTTAGTTCAAAATAAATTACTAAAATTTGTAACTGATGTTAATTTAATTTGTATATTTGACGTAACTCGTTTGCCGTTATGAAAAAATCGGTATTTCTTTGTTTGAGCTCTGGATTTTTCACACTTGCTCTTTACATCTTATTCTTTTGACTTTTCAGTTCAATTGCATAATTATGGCGCTGGCAGTCAAGGTGATGAGGAAAAAATCAAAAAAGAGGGAAGAAAAAATTCAGGAGATTTGGTAATTTCATTCAGATTTCCGCTTTTTCACGAAACTTTGCAAATTTTTTGAAATTTTTATCATTCTTTGAAATTGCATTTGTTTGTTAAAAAAAACCTGGAGTATTTTGTTTGTTGTTTTATGATATATATGTGATTTTTATTTATGTTTTTTATCATTTATGTGATTGGGTTGGAAGATTTTCTGCCTTCCGATGGAACAAGGTTTTTTCTAAAAACCTCTAAATGCTGCTTGAATTGTTTTTTAGGTACTGGATAAAATGCTGTTCAATGCTAGTCTCGATTCTTGGGTTGTCATGGATACTTGGCATTTTCTACATCAGCCAGCGAAGTATCATCATGGCCTATATTTTTAGCATTCTAAATGCCCTGCAAGGATTGGCTCTGTTTATCTTCCTCTGTTTGCTGGACCAAAGGGTAATTCTTCATCGATTAAATTTCATTATGAAGACTGTAATTATTTTCATAATTCTTCATTGTAAAGAGCCTAATTATTCTTTCTCTTGCGTTAAATAGAACCTTTGGCACTAAGCAAAAACTGCAGGATTTCTATCGCATTTCCTCTTTGGATCTTTCTCTCTTGTCTTTTCTCTTATGTCACTCATTGTTCTTATACTATTGAAGGTCTCTAGCGTGCTGAACCCTAGCGCGTAAAGCCATGAACCAACCACTTGACTTTGGTCTGCATTAACTTTTAGGTGCAGGATGTCTACTGTCGCGTCCTTTGCTGCATTGAAAAGGGACATTTCTACTTGTATGCGTCGAGGTCAGTTTCTGGCACAAAATCAACTACGCCAGTGCGCCACTCAAGAGAGGTGAGGTTACAACAAGAAGCGAATCTTGTTATGATTTCATTTCATTGAAACTTTATGTTCGCTTATGTTCAACAATTAAGCATTAAGTATACTATTTCATTGGCTTTTTGGTATTCAACTTACTCTGCTGATTGCGAGCATTATTAAAAGCAGTGTGCATTTCATGATTTTAGTCCATGTACGATTTTATGCAAGACTGTAGGAGATAGCCTGTAGAAGTCAATGTCCACATAATAACTATTCTTGCATTTACAGTTAAGTGTTTCATCTTTATTTAGATCACCATGGGGTTCGTTAAAGCGGTACACAGAAGAGCGAAGGGTGAGCCTCTATTCAGTTTACAAGAATCAATTAATTTCTCAGCTCTAATCCCGCAAAGCAAGGATCTGCATTGATGTTTTTTTATTGTTCTATTTACCTAAGTCTTTCAGGCCTTCAATTCAGTTTGTATTCCTTGTTTGTGTCTAGTCGCTGAAGAAAACCAGGATTTCAATGGAGGCTCAGGAAGTGGAACTGAGGCTGGCGGACGAGGAGAACCAAAGTGTAGATGTCTAGGCCAATAACCCTTCGATGTCGGGGTCTTGCATGGGCGCAAAGAATTCATTTACCGTGTTTGCGTTGAAGATAAAGAACACTGATTATCCTAACCAGAATTGAATCCATGTTGGCAGGCGGTTCTGTTTACACGCCGTATCTTTACATTGCTTGTCATTTGTAAACGCGAGTAAACGTCTTTACCGAGCAGCCACGAGATATATATTTCAAAACGGATATTCAAACAGAACTATTGGCTAAATCGATGTAAATATATAGTCCAGGTCGTGTATTGCAAATAATTATGGTCTAAATATCAAATTAGATGTTCTTCAGTGGAGACATATTTTATTCAATCAGAAATTAAAACAAATTTATTGGCTTTGCCTTCGAGCACTTCTAACGCAATATTTTTTAAGTGAAAAGTTACATTAACCAAAATAGGCCTTGCGATTTTAACTGGAATAAATTTAACTTTAGGATTTAATTCGAATTTTGAGCAACGTCCAGGAAAAAACTCAGTGCCTATTAAGGTAAAGATTATGTTAACAAGGGAATGGGCTGTTGATGAGCGAAATGTTAGCGAGTTACAGTCAAAAAATTGTGTTTTATTGTTCTACAAGTTCTGATTTCTTCAAGCGGTTTTAACGTCTGGTAAAACAGAATATTTCTTGCAATTAGCTTTAGACCAGTTAATCTGGTTTCAAAGAGCCAATTTTCATTTTTTCGAGGGAGGGGGAAGGAGGGGGCATGGAATTGCAAAATTTCATTCTGCAAGAGGGAAAGCTTGCAGAATTGTATTTTTCGGTCTTTTCTTGTAATTTGGCTTTCGTTTAATTCACTAAACACAACGATTTTAATAACCTTAAATGTGCTTCGTCAAATTTATCATTTAATAAAAAAGCCTTGCCTAGCCTTTCCCAATCATAATTGAGTTATTACTTTAAAAGAAACCATGTAAAAAATTGCTGATCCTAAACTTTTTGTCCCAAAAATGATTTTGTAAAACGACTCTAAATTACTTTTATTGGTGATATTTATTTAGTTTCCAATTTGAGTCACTAACATTGAATTTGGTTAAACTGAGATAAAAAAATTGTTAGCTGTGCCTCAATCAAATCATTTTATTAATAAATATGAATTAGAGTGGGTATGAACATATTTGAAAGTACATTGACTAGATGCATGGTCTTATGTTGTTCTTCAAGGGATTGAAAGTGCCATATTCCTGGACCGTAGTGGCGATGGAGTGGGGGTGGGCTGTCCGTACTAATCTGTTGATGTCGGTGGTGTATGTTTGAAAACATTCATTACGTTATTTTGTGAGATAATACAGGCTTATATGATATGACAAGGCCTTTTGAGCCTATGATGTTATTCTTAGGAATTATTTCCACTTTTCCGCGCAGTTTTTGCATCGATCATTATTTCAATAAAGATTACAATTCAATTTTATTCGTCATCACAAAAAAACAAACAGAACAGTTTATTTCTGCGGGTAACAGTTTTCCTTGATCGTGCAGATGAGATTTTATTCATTTACTCACTATTTATTCATTATTCAACTAGCCTAGTAATATTTGACAAGCGTTTCCGTGATGGAAGATCAGCAGAATTCAGCGTCAAAATTTTTAAACGAATTTATAAAATTTGGGTAAATCTAATGCTTATGTTGCTTATTAAACATCTTATCACACTTTATATTAAGGAATTAGTAGAGCTGTAACTGATAGGGTAATTAGTAGAGGAGCCTTAAGCCCCTTGCCCAGCAAGTGAAATGCTTTTACTTTTTACTGAATTCTGTTCTGTTTGGTAACCTCTTGCGTTTTGTTTTGTTGCGAAGTATTTAGTTAATTATTACTTAAATCTTAAATTTAAAACTTAAATCAAATTCTTAAAAGAATTCCATTTCAGAAGGAGCCCACTTGACACAACATGGGTCGGGTGTCCCCAATTAAACGCACAAACATGACACTCCCTGGCATTGTCACAAGGTGACAAAGGTGAATTGTGGATACCCCCAAGGGGTTTAAGTGTACACTTTCCATAGAGAGCGCCTAGGAGCGAGCGACACAAGTTCCAAGAATTAGCAAACATGTCCTTTTTTCTCTTGGGACTAGAAACAAACATTGATGTTTTGTTTAAGAAAACGTGTTGTTTTTGGCATTAGAGAGACGACTCATTTCACGCCTTGAAAACTTAATCCCCCTTTTTCGAAGGAGTTTATTTAAGAACTTTTAGAAAAATGCCCCTTTGACTGTGACACATTGCCCCTTATAAACGGTGCCTCTTAAATACTGAAATGCGTTTGCTCGCTTCAAATACACAATATGTTTTTAACGCTTGAAAAAATGGCTGTTAGTTCCGTTAAAGATCTGTCTGAAAACTTTTATCACTTTTGCTGGAAGTGTGAAGTTGCATGAATCGCTTCGATGTAGCGTTCTCCTCGGGTTTTTTTTCAACATGCAGTAATAACCAACTTGTGTAGTGATAAATCTTAATTTTGCAATGATAAACTCCCTTTTTGTGCAGTGATAAAACTACAATTGAAAAATTAAGTATTGAAAGCATTGCAATATTAAAAACGAGAACATAACAATTACAATGATCAATATCTATGAAATATCTCAAGTTTGGTCTATATCTAGAAGCTATATAGTTTGCGCATCTAGAATTGTGATGAAATACATCGAAATACGTAATATGAAAACCAGCTTTTACACAAACTTTTTGTTAGAAACAATCATACAACCATTAAGTCTATTTCGTAGCAGCTTAGCTTGAAAACCCTTGTCCATTGAAAAGTTCTCGTATCACTAAAATCCTGGAGATTTATAAAAAGATGATGCTTGTCTTCAATTAAAATTTTTTCAGAAATTTTGCGTAAGAAAATCTGGAGTTCCTAAAACATTTGAAGCTACTGAAAGCAGCACATCTTCTGCAATGATTACACATTCTTTGTTTTTCTTTGTTTATGTTTCTCGATTACAGTCGGTTTTAGGTTGTCTCTCGTGTTGTTTATTAAAGAATGCCTGTGTAATTATTCCGTGGAAAGTATTACATATCGAAATGGCATCACAAAAAGAAGTACTGTCAACAATTCTCATATTTTCCATATAAGGTTCTAAAGAAAACTTTAAGCAACAATTTTTACCTGTTACAACACGTTACGAAAAATTAATCGAGAAGTATTTTAATCCCGATAAAAATCTGATCAGGTTTGGTATTTTTACAAAATCAATTAGCTTCGTCAAGGATAAATTATTTTTTGAGCTTCATGAAGTGTTCAGTTTGAGAACGTTAATTTAAGTTAACGTTATATCCTAAAGAATCTCGATTTTGACGAAAAATAAGATAACGATTTCTCGAAAATTTTCTGTAATGAATGGACCAAAATAACAAGGACTGTTTTGAATTTCGTAATAGAATGAAATGATGAAACACTAGAAATTCATTAAAGGGGTTCAAGCAGAAAGGTCCTTAAACACGGTTCCAACACGAGATCAAAAGGTCTTCTCCTTGCAAACAGACGTATTTTAAATAAGAAAGAGAATTTAAAAACCTATATCGTATAACTAATAAAATCATTGCTTATTTAAAAAATATCAATGCATTAGCATAAGAAAGAGCACAGCATTTCTGCCTGAAGCGAATAAAGCATGTCGAGCTCACAAAGTCAAGTTATAAGGACTCAGCATTTACTGTACAGAATTTCTTAATCACCATCTTTTTACCAAATGTTTAACCATGGCAAAATATGTTTGCAGAAGAGCGAGAAAATTAGTCCATACAAAAAAAACCCATTAGATGACAGAAAATTAAAAAACATAGCAGTGATCAGACTCAACTTTTAGAACCGTTTATGTTACGCTTTGGTATTCCTAAAAAAAAACTCTTTACACATTTGTTTTACAAAGGAAAATCTGTACAAACCCATGCCGAGGCATTTCTTTGTCTTGGATGCCTTTTCTAAACTAAAACTTTGAAATTTTTCACAAGAAAAATTCGGTATTTTCTTTTGCTTTTAAAATATTTTGAAATGAATTGAAAAACACATTGAATTGGATAAAAGATAAAAGGCCTATGTTTTAATTATCTATACTTCGGCCATGTTTTCTTCTGCTTCAATAAACCATGATGGAGAGATACAAGAGTTACACACGTGTGAAGAAGGACATTGTCGATATTTCTGAACAGGCATTTTCTATGTAAGAATACTTAAATTTTTGCAAAGGGTAAATATCTTTCAAAATTTAAGACTGTCGGCTTATAATTATTCCTAAGCGAAGCAACGGGTAATTTTGGTAAAAATCGTGAAAGAAAGTCCCTATTATTGCTTGTGTGTTTCTTTATAATTAGAACAATTAGGAATTGACATATATCTTCTTGACATAGAACAATTAGGAATTTGACTATTAACAAAATTTGATGAAAGCAGCTAAAACCTTTTGCATGAATGTTCCCTCTTGCCTTTTTCCTCAAAAAACTCACAAAGTTAAGAAAGCCAATCTGTCGACGAAAATCGAGCCGGGTTTTCGACGTTAATTAGTTCTTAAATTTCATCGATGTCGAGCCTCAATATTCATATAAATTCATCAATTTATCATTATCAAAAGAAATGTAATTCATGCCGGAAAAGAACAAAACTTCCTAGATAAGAAATTCTACTTGAAAACTACTTGAAAATAATTAAATCAATCATTCAATGTTTCATCAAGAAGAGAAACGAGAAACACAAGAACAACAGATTAAAAAAGACAAAGAACAAGAGTGAAAAATGGAAAGAAAACAATCAATTCTGGTCGTCAAAATAGAAGTGAAGGGTGCGGGCAGACTGGCAATAACTGCACCTATCTCATCTACCTGTATTTGTTGGCCCTGAGGTGCTATTCCATAAGCTACTGCAGTATAAATTATCTGACAAATACGGGGAAATGAAACCAGTGTGAACGTCCACGGAACCTACCATATGTCAAAATTGAGCACTTGATCTCTTCGTTATTGATCCCATGTTCAGTAATTTGTCTGACTTTGCAATTGGAATCAGCAGCGACCTGAAATTTAAACTATACATGGTGTGGTGGGGTTACTACAACCATTAAACTCCAACTGCTTGCACACCTTGTTGTCGTAGCATAGCTGCAGGAAATTTGTTTGAGCTGAAATCCTTCAAATTCAGGCAATGACCAAATAATTGTTACATAGGCGATACCGTATTAAGTACCGGGCCATTGATAAGGATATGACGCAGAAATACCACTTTCTGTCTTCAAACTACTTCTTATTTCTTACTTCTTACTCTCTCTAAATCCTTTACATCGAATTTAACTTCTGCAAGATATGATCAATCTTAGAACGAATGATTTAGGCCGATACAGATGATATATAATTTTCTGATCTTGATAACTAATATCGACCAATATCCATCAATCCAACTTATAAAAAACTTAGCAATCGAGGTAAAATAATCAAGTTAAATAACAACCGAAGAAGATCTCGATTTACCAAAAAACATCATAAAGGATGCAAGCGACCCTGTATTTACAGAATATCTGAGAACACAATTTTTGTGTATTTTCACAATTTTTGTGTTATTTTCACAGTCCTGGCAAAATATATGCGATGTTATCCAAAATGTTGGCCTGCAAAAAAAAATAAAACAGGATAAATCAAATCACATAAACATAAAACAGGAGAATAACATTTTCGAACAGGATAAATCAAATCACATAAATCGTTGTTTTATTTTCGATATTATGGAGTTTTCCAGTTCACAACTTTCAATCATATGACGCTGCTCAGGCCCGTCACGAATGAAATCAAAAAAGGGAAAATGGCCTCCAAACAGGATAAATCAAATCACATAAACATAAAACAGGAGAATAACATTTTCGAACAGGATAAATCAAATCACATAAATCGTTGTTTTATTTTCGATATTATGGAGTTTTCCAGTTCACAACTTTCAATCATATGACGCTGCTCAGGCCCGTCACGAATGAAATCAAAAAAGGGAAAATGGCCTCCAACAGATGTAATATAAAACAAACTAAACTTCATGTACGACAAAATGATAAAACAGACTACGTGAAATTATTAGCCATCATGACACTTCGCGTTGTTTTGCAGAATTGAGAATTTGATATCACTTGAAGAAACGACTGGGTACAGACAAATATCCATACACTAACTCAAAAACACACAAATAAAACAAAATGAGAAATTTATTGCCTTTTTCAACAAAAGTGTAGTTTCAAGAAAAAAGCTTCTTTTAATTTTAAACTTCAAATGCAAGTAACTATGGCTAATAATCATTGTTAAATCAAAATTAATTCTGTCGTATTTAATTTGGTTCATAAAAATTGAATACACTGGTCTTTCATGGGTCTTTTAGCGGAAGTGACATTATAAATGTTTCAGTAACATAAAAAATTAAGGAATTTTAAATACTTCGTTCAACAATTTAGAAAATATCTAGAAAAACTCAAGACAAAACCGCTGTTTTATAAAGCTTTATTAGACCAATCCTCGCAAAATTTGGACTCTTTACCCCTTAACCTCCCAAAAATCAGGGCTATATTAAGAATAAAGATGAAAGATAACAACACTGTTAATCCAGAAAGAAATTTATCGAATGATAATATTTACAAATATAATACAAGATACATACAAATAGCATTTGCTCATACCATGCAAAAATGTTACCAATAAAAACAACGAAATGTTTGTTTAATGACGGTTTTAACATTGCCAAATCTCAGTTTGGTGCCAGTTAAAGACTTTTCGCTGCTTCGTTGGCGTGACAGAGTCTTTTGAAAGAATAGCTTCTACACTGAAGTTACTAAATTTTCTCTTAGGGGGATTATTTGACATAGTATAAGGTGAAGTAGTTTTTGGCAAGGAACAAGGCAACAGATAGCCGCGAGGGTGCGTTTGCGGTGGAGGGGAGCCAACTTGCGGGCTAATGCTACACTCGTTTAGCAGAATGTCTCTAACAACTTCGATTTCTTCTCTGGCTCTTTTGAATCTTGTTCTTCTTCTTTTTAAGCTTCCGTGATTGAACATTCCTCTGCTCTGTGGGTCGATCGACCAATAGCTTCCCTTTCCGCGCATCAGTGGGTCCCGCGGCAGTTTCACGAAACAGTCATTAAGCGTCAAATTGTGCCGTACGGCATTCATCCATCCGCGACTCCGTGTCCTTCTGAAGTATTCAAAATTGTTTATAAGATAATCGTAAATTTCGGACAATGTTAAGCGTCCACTTCGCGAACTTTTGATTGCCATTGTAATGAGAGCGACGTAGGAGAATGGTGGCTTTTCCTGTCGCGCGTCTTTTTCCGATTCACCAAGAGAGCTGTAGCTTGTGTTGAGCGAGTCGGGCAAATCATCACTGCTTTGATCCAGGTCCGCGTCTTGACACCTCAGGTCCGGATGACGAATTTGTCCGGCTGCAGAAATGTCGTGCACAAAACTCCATTGACGAATGAATCTATTCGGCTGTTGCCTATCATCATGACACAAAGAAGCCATGTTGCAGAACCCTCTTTGCCGAACTCTGTCGTCAGATTAGACCAACTTGAGTAGTGGTATTTACAAGTGAGCCTCTCTTGGGTAACTGACTTGACGATGAGGTTTGCCTGCTACTTGTACTGGTATCCTATGACCCAGCTGTGTTACTGGTATCCTTACTTAACACCTTGCATTTAAAGCCACCCTATCCAACGCACATTGACGCCTGTTTAACACGGTATCTAGAATTCTCAAGGGTGTTGTAAAAACATGTCGCCAAGATGTTAAAGCTGTTGTTATTTGGATAAGATCAACGATTATAAGATCGTCATATAAACAAAGAGCCGAGGGAACAATGCCTGGCCCTTGGCAATTGTATTTGGATTCTTTGTGTAAACAAACTATTGAAATCGGTCTTGTTAGCGCGTCGTAATTCGCCGACGCCAGAACGCGAACGCTTAATCAGCCTAACGCAACGGCAATGGTATTTTTATAGAAAGGCTTGAGATTATAAATGATAATAACAAGACTGGCTTAGCATCGAAGTAATTATGCACTGGCAAGACAATTGCATGCCTGGACCCAGAAAAATACCAGCACTGAGCAGGATACGCAGATGATTTAAAACATTTAAAACCAGCAAACTGAAAAATGCACTAGGTTTAAATCTCGAAAAGAAAAAGTAGAAGGCGAGGGCATATGTTCTTCAATCCTCTGGATTTTCATTTTGAGAATTTTAAATGACGCCGACCAATTAGAAACAAACCGAAAACGGACAGATGACCAACATGTGCTCAATATGATTATTTTTATTAAGAACGTAGACAAAAAATGCTTATGTTGTTTTCTATGCAATTTTCACGAACTTCCTTTGTTCAAACGCGTAAAATATGATGTATAATAAAATAAATTTGTTTCCCATGATTAAAAATTGTTTTCATAATAAAATATATGTTTGGAGGAACTTAAAAAGTGCTTGCTGTAAAATATAGTTCGATCTTACAGAAAAAAGCTCCTTAACTGATAAATAAGTGTCGATCGTTTTATAAAACCTGATAGAAAAACTTTTCAAAAATCATTAAAAGATTGTTTCAACAAATCTACGTAGCCTTTAGCACACGGGCAAATCCTCGATGTTCGAAGGTGTAATAGGGGGTGTGGGGGGCGTGACACCCCCAAAGTTTGGAAAATCCCATTGTAGTTGGAAAAATTAAAAGTTCACTTGGAATTTTTTCTAACTATTATGACCAAATATGTGAATTTTATAGCTTAGGATTTTTGGACTTTCAATGTAAAAACCTTAGATCTTATTAAAATTGAAACTCTGGAGCAGGCACATCTACTAATCGTTTTTAATTGTGAAGCCCTGTCTCCACTGGATCTCAAATTTCACCATTGCATCGCCTGTTTCCTTTTACAGGGGTTAAGTTGAATAAGATTATTTTCAACAGGCAAGGTGAATTTCTGGATAAGAAGTTTAAATTTTACCATCAGTATTGATTGAGCCTTAAGTTTTGAAAAATCATTCCCTGTATCCATTGATCGGAACAATTGAAAGTGGGAATTTTTTAAGAAACAACGGGTAGCCAATTCAATTCAAAACATTACAAATTTTTTTCATTGATAGAAATTCTCAACGCTTCTTAACGGGTGTATGCTAAGCTCCCCCTGCACTTTGTAGACCTCCTTTGATATTTTTATAAATTGCTATGATAAAGGTGATGAGAAGCCACAAAACATTGATCAAAGAAGCGGCAGCAGAAGTATTTGATCAAAGCAAGTGTTTTATCTTACGAATCGGGCATATGCCCTCAGATCACCATTTTCAGTTCCAAAAGGCAAATGACACTTCGCCCTTTGAAAATTTTCAAAATTTTCTTCGATCAAGAACAAAAGATGAAATGGTAAATTCTTTGAAGCTTCTATATTGTTAAAAAGATACTTTATATAAAATTGATCTGCAGCAAATAGCTTTAAGATGGGCAAAGCAGAAAAAGAACAGAATTGCTGTTAATTGACTTGAAAGAATACTAATTTTTATCATTAAACATACCCAACATCTAGACTCGTATGGCTTTGATGTTGCTTTACATCTTACAAAAAGATTATATGTACGTTTTATGTTAATCAAAATTTAGAGACTTCTTTTATCTTCTTTAGTGCTTTTATGCTTAAGACTAATTTTTATAAGTAAAATTTTGGTAAGTATACAGAACCTAGAAATCTGGAATAAACTATAAGGCTATTTCCAAAAATCAATTTAGTAGGTACAGAAGATTAGCAGGTCGAAAGAAAAAATTCATCAGGTAAAGTTGGAATTTTCAACCTTCCACGACCTCCCAAAATTAGCCACTTGTTTACGTCCCTGGCTAGGCCCTGCACTAGGAAAGTTCCGAGAACCTTGGATTAATGAATTTTCTAAAAGGAACGACCGCAAATGTCCCTTTTGGACCTCGCCAAAGGAGCATGAACCCTGCATGTTAAAATGCTAATATAATTAAGAACCACACATTTTTTTCTACGGCTATTTGAAGTTTAAGACACAGCTTCTAGACCCTTGCTTCTAAAATCATCCTAAAACATTGTCTCGAAAATATCCAAAATGACTTATTTTCATAAGCATTTTCTCAAAGCTCATTTCCCTTTTGAACTTATTAAAAGTACAAAAATAAAAAAAGCAGTCGAGGGTAAGTGCTTGGATTGTTAAATCTGAATTTCAAATTACACGAAGCTTAAAATCTTTTACTAATGTGCTCGTAAGATCAGAAAAGGCCAAATTATGGAATTCATGGGATGTAAATAAAACAATGACCAACAGGTAGACGCCAATCGGAAAATTCTAGCACTAGAGTGGCAATCTTCACACTTTGGGCCGACAGGTCGTTTCACCCTGCTAAAGGGACACTTCAAAGGAACATCTCCGTAGAAATTTGATAGCTGCGCAACATACAGTTGGGACACTGTGCAGCCTGATGTTTAAAGAGAAATCGAAATCGAAATGAGAATGAATAGGAAGGCTCTCCTGGGATTATGTTGCATGAGTGGCATCTATTGACGAAAAACGAAACACCTGGTTGGATCAAACACTGTACAACTCTGTTCTGTAATTACATTCAAAAACATTTGTGTGACAAAGAAATAAGTGCTGAACACTTGCCATAAATGAAATTGAGCTAAAACTACAAATGTACACAGCAAAATATTTTCGCGAGTCAACATATTCCCTTCGATTTCCTGCGAAAAATAAACAGCAAGTCTAGTGGCAATCTTGGCTGATCCACCTTAATTCAGCGCTATCCAAATCCCAAAATTCACTTTGGTTTTCGATAAAAAGAACTTATGAAAATAGCAAGAAAATCTTTCTTTAAAAAAGGATAAGAAGAGTACATCAGCTCAAGGTTATCTTTGCGAATCCGTTTAAAACTGCAGAAGATCAAGGCCTAGTCTAGACAGAAAGAAACGGGCGGCACCATGCATTGTAATCGGCCTCATAATCTCATTTGAATAGACGGATGTTTGGCCTGGGATGAAAACGAGACCGACGGCACCAACTCTAGAACTAAGATTGTAAATACAAACATATGCACGATTACTCGTCTAAGTGCAAATCCGGATTTTCGCAGCTGAACAAAATACACTGGTGAAAAATTTGACTGAAGTGTGATTAGCAAAGGCCTGCGTCTTTGTCAATTATCTGGCTAACAAAATTTGCAAACATGGTAAAAACCTGATCAGATGTTTGTGCGATTTGCTTAGAAAAGGCTGATTCACGTTAAATTGTCTAAACACAGCTAATGAAATATTCAATCAAATCTTATTTAAAGAATTATTTCAATGATATATGATTTTAGCGTTGCGAAGAAAAATTGAAATTGACTACTGCAAAAGGAACTTACTGATTAAAAACAAGATTAGAAATTGATAAAATGACTCAAGCATACCTTCATATCAGATGGAATAACATCGAGTTCTGGAACGTTTGAAGTGAGAAAAAGCAAGGGTGCCATTGAGCAGAGGCACGAATCCAATAACACTGATAAGGAGCCATAAACTTTAAGATCGCTTGTCTGCGGGAAAAACGCGAGAAATGAATATGAAAAGTTAGATGGAGCTTTTTACTATTTGCTACATGGTTATGACCAAAGTTTCTTGCATGCAAAAAGATATACTAGTTCTTTATTTAAGAAAGATGCATATAAATTAAGGAAGATGCAAGCGATTTCTTTACATTACAAAAATGGACATTATTGGAAAAAGACTAAAAAGGGTCAAAATTATCTGTAGGTTGCGGAAAAATAGAGCATGCATACGTAAATCCATACGCATCCAGTTTCCAATTGTGGAACAGCTCTGAGTGACTAATAGGACAGCTATTTCAGTAAACATGAAGAAACATGTCATATGCTTTGTGCCTTTCTTCTTTTTATAAGTGGCCTTCAGGAAGATGACACAAATAATCCCATGCATACATTTTAAGCAGTTTCCAGAAAATGAGGAAAAACACTTAATTTTGATCCGATGTAAGTGCTGAATTGAAAAATTGCACACATTACCTTGTTGACAACCTGGAATTGAAACAAAGCAACCAATTAGCAAAATTTTAAGACAACGGTTTTAAAATTAGATAGAGGTGATCCAGAATACATAACTTAAATCATATCCAAAATACATTAATAGGCTGTCTTATGGTTCAAAAGACAACTGTCTTTTGTTCTAAAATAATGAGAAATGTGTTCTCATCTTATCAAAACAATAGACTCCTCCCCAAATACTCGACTGCCCCTGATGTTAACCCAGTCAAACAATCAAAAATTCCACTCAACATTATTAAAAATTCTTTTCCTTGGCTTGATTTCCTTTGATGTGAGATTAGGTGCTTGCAGGGATGGCAAGAGCAGTGGGGCTGAGGAAGTTCAAGCCCCCCAATAATTTCCAAAATGTACTTAAAACCATACAAGAAATCACCCTGCTCTTGTTTTAAGTATGATTAGCCCCCCAAAACGTTTTAGCCCCTTCAGTCTATAATATGCTTCATGACCCTTGGGTGTCTGTGCAGTAATCAAGATGCTGAGAGGCCACAATAAGAAGAACTCTTTACAAAGCCACGAATTGAAAAGCTTTTATTGGAAAAATTGATGAGTCGTTTTTTCCTCTATCATCTTACTTTCAGGCAAAGGACAGCAACAATCAGTTCAACAAGAGTGATTGTGTGGGCTTGATTGTGATCAAATTACGACCAAATGCTGGTCACAGTTTATCACAGTGATATAAAGGCCAAAACAAAAAAGCAAAAATGAATAAAGTTAATCTAATCTTCTTCAGTGTGCTCTTACTCTCCAATATTGCAACCAGTGCCTTGGAGAGTTTGCAGAAAGCAAATGGCAGGAAAAGACTAGAGAGAAAAAATTTACGGAAATAGCCAGCCTGTCAATCAGATTGTGACAGACATATTTAATTATGGACAAGTTGAGCTTGGGAGTCCCACAGTTATAGAAATTAACCACTTAATTGCTAACAGATAGGACAACAAATCAACTTAAACAGATGATGTAATGGTCAAAGATTGAAATATCAAACATTTTGGAAAGTCAAGTAGCATTGATAATCATCAAGATATAGATACAGAGTGTCTAGATTGTGTGTTTGGTAACAAGAATAATTCCTTCAGCAAAATAAAGTATAAAAATGAACAAACCTGACGCCTCAATGCACTTGCCACCAGCATAAGTGAGTCTCCCAACAGCTGCAAATGTGCAGCCATGTCCACTGGCTCTAAATTTGTCACACTGTACTTCTGTGGAGCAATTTGGTATTCTTTGGAAGACATTCTTGATCCACTATTTGGTGCCTTTTCTGGGCTGCTCTGTCCAGCTTGCATTGTTGTTTTCAGCTTCTTCAAGGTTTCCTTTCTGATGGATGCATTCACTTTTGCCCTGTGCTCTTCCAGCTGCTTTTTATAAATCTTGTATGAAAAAAGAAACGTGACTGTATGGAGAAAAGCAAAAAAAGAGACAGTTGCTTTAGATTAGTCTAATCATCATCAGGTACAATCTTCTAATCAGACAACTTAAAAAGCAGCATATGATACTTACATCCTTTTCTTTTTCAGGAGCTTCATTCCACATTTGTGCCAACTTTCTGCTGATTTGTGAAAATCCTGGTAAAAAATGACAGCAATAGTTGAAACTATTTCCATCAAAATTTGGCTTTTTGGTGTGATTTACAAATACGTTGTTTAGTATAAAATGGCATATTAAAAATGACTAAAACATTTCAATGACTCTCATCTTTAATAATGCTGATTTTTCAAGTGAATGATAGTGTAATGAGGCTTTCTTCATGTAACAAAATTTGTACCTCTCAACTTTGCAGTAACCCAAATTTTTTTACAATTATATCAATGAGCAAGTTTAAGAATAAAATCTAGAAAATGTGTTTCTGTTGTGTCTGTTATTCCTGATCATGACATACAAACAAAAATAGACTAGACTGTTTTTGGCTGACTGATTTTATAAACGCTTTATATCTAGCACAGGCAAAGTTGGCTTGAATATCCGAACCCAAAGTGACTCAGGTAGTTTTTCAGCTACAATGTTGGTGCAAGCCTCATTATGGTATACTTTGATAGCATAACATCTTGGTAAAATTTATATACCAAAAAGGTTTATTCAATTAAAAAGAAGGAAAGGGGGTCAACCAAAGTCAAGAATATCTTAACCATACTTAACAGCAAATTTCTCAAAAAGTGTGAAAAAAGCAGTATTGAAAATTGGAAGAAAAGTTGACCTTGATCATATCTGGCACATTTGGCAATGCCATCCTATATTTCAAAAGTTCTGGCAAATATAAACTTACCCATCTCTGGGTTCTCTGTTACAACTTTTTGTCTGTATTTTCGGCAATAAAGTAAATATGCTGTCAATGTTTGTGTCTTTCTTTCCTTCTTCTTCTTCTTAACTGGAGACGCCATATTCTGTGCATCTCCTCCACCGTCTTTTGGCTTCTTTTTTCCATCCGATCTTGGTGTCTGTTTTTGCTTTGCTGGTTTCTTCTTTTTCTTTGACATAACATCTAGTGGACCACTATCTTGAACAACTTTTAAAACTGAATCTTGATCAACAGCTAGTGGTTTCTGAGAAACTTTTTCACTGTGGCCTAACCCTTTATTTTTCACTTTAGGAGTTATCACATTGGCTTTAGTCAAATCATTCTTCTGATTCTTTTTTGGTTTAGTCTGGGGCAGATTTCCGGCTTCTTTAATTTCTGAAGGTTCTACTTTAACCAGTGCACCATTTTTGTCCCAAAACTCAGTCTGAATGCGTACTAAAATTTTCTCACCTTTCTTTTTCTTATAAATCTTCCTCTTTTTTACAATAAAGTCATCCTTGCTTTCAACTGTCACTTCCTTTGGTTCATCATTTACAGAAGACAAACCTTTCTTTTTCTTCTTGTGACTTCTGTGTTTCTTTTTCTTTTCTGATATGGTATCATTCTGCCAATCAGTGCTATAACATTCTTGCAATGTTTCATTTGGTATCTGGAATGCATCAGGCTCGTTTGGTTCGGTTTTAATTACTACATCATTCACATATTGCTGGCTATTTAGCAATGCATCTGTTCCTTCCATTGGAAAACTCTGAATCCCATCATTCACAGGCTCAGCATCATGATGATGGTGTTTGTGTTTCTTTTTGTGTTTTTTAATTTTAGATGGACTGGCCAGTCCTCCAACCTTCAGTATGATATGACCATCTGGTCTTTCTGTTGTGCTACTTGAAAAATCCTTTGCACTATTCCCAATGTTTGCCTCATCATTGGGATTACTAGGATGTAAATCTCCTTCTGGTTTCATCTGGTCAAATATAGGGGCATGGACATTGCCCTGGTCAAAATCTAGCTCTAAGTTTTGAGGTTTCTTCCTACTTCCATATTTTCTTTCACTTGCATATGAAGATTTTGCAACTTCAGAAGCTTCTTCACTTTGAGCTGGCTTTGCTCTCTTGGCAGCTGGATAATCATAAGACTCTTGCTTCAATGCTTGGAGAGCTTCCATTAGAATTGACTGATCAATGTTCTCTTCAAAATTTCTTTTCTTCTGAGATAATTCATCTTGCTCCACACATGCAAGAGGAAGAGATGCTGGACCAGGCTCATCTTCTACCTTTCTTTTCCGGTTTGTCCTGTCCTTTTTGGACTTAAAATCAACCTTCACCTTCAATTTTGACATGTCCTTGTTTGATGAACTTGGCTTCTTTAGTTCAGTTTTTCTTTCTGGTGTTTCATCTTTTGAAGGTTTTCTCTTATTGCTAGACTTAGCAGAAGTAATGGCTGGAGATTTTTCAACCTGGACCAATTGCTTACCTTTTTTCTGCTTTGGCACTTCTGCAATCGGCTCGGTTGCCAATAAATTTTGGTTTTGATTTGGAAAGGATTGAAATCCAGAATCGATTAAATCAAAGCTTTTCTTTGGAACAGGAGTTCGCGATGACTTTCTCGGTGCTGATGTATCTGAATCAGTGTCATCACTTGGTTCGCGTTTAACTTCCACCATCTCTCTTAGCTTTGAAGGATCAAATTGTGTGGTTTTCTTCATATTAGTCGAATTTTTAGTTCTCCATTTATCTTCATCAAATGAGTCCACCAAATCAAATGTTTTTTTTGGCACTGGCGTCCTAGAAGATTTTCGCACACACTCATCGCTTTCCTCCATTTTCACCTGAGCGAAATGATGCCACTCCGGAAAGTCAGTCTCCTTTCCTTTATCCGTTTCTTCGATAAAACTTTGATAACTTTTTCTTGTTTCTCTCTTATGTCCTTCAACGAAATCAAATGTTTTCTTCTTTCTTTTACGGTTATCCATGATGGGGCTTCTTCTCCTGAGGCATGTGAAATGCGTTCTCTACTTCGCCTAGTTCGCCAGCAGTGAACAACATATTCAAAAAACACCTTTTTGTGGCAGCCTCTTATTGACAGCGACCAAAACCAAAACACAGAATAGAAGTCTAAATTCAGTGACCCGAGAAACCTTTTTGCTTTCATGTCAAGATAGAAAGAATATATTTACATGTCAACCTTAACACACAAAAATTTGTGTTTGTTGATATAATTTTTATGTAATTTAACTGGCCAGGCCCCAAGTGATTAAAAAATTATTCCTCTTTTTCGTTTGCATCTTTTCCTCCTTCTTGTGTTTCTCTGCTGTTCTATTTATGTTTGGCTACAAGGACATGTGGTATCCAGGGACGCCGGAACGACCAAGGGGCAAGGGGGCAGGCTTGAGTAAAAGGGCATTTTAAAGATAACTCCCAGCTTCTACCAATTCCTTCTACTGACTGCCATTTTATTTCAATCTTCTGTAGATATCTTGAAATTGGCTAATTTTTGGAATAAAGATTTATTTTACAGGTTTTGAAAAATGTCGTCATGAATTAAGCACTGTAATCAGAATTTCATATGAATCTCTCTGACTATTACAATTGGCCGGCTTCAAGGGCACATTAATAACAAGACACTCTGGTCCCCTCCTATCAAAGGACAACAGGGACGGTTGACTCCCCGTGCCCCCCTTCTCCCGTACAATATAAGAAGAGAGATTCTGCCGCCAATTATATTTTTATGCTCTCTAATGGTGGCACATGAAATGAAATAAAACTCCTCTCCTTTCGTAATACTTTGAATGTTAAACTTTATCAAAATATTACAGAAATCTGCGCTGGTGTGAATAATAAATGTTTGCTTATGCTGCCTTCACACTGGCACAGTCAAACCAGCTACATTTATACTAGGTTTTATTTCAACCAATCAAACGCGTCCGATTTGTTGGATAGACCAATTAGAAGGGCCCACTCAATAATCTGACTTATTTTAAGCTGGTTTAACTCGCTAAAGTGAATGGGCATTAGACTTTGATAAATACTGTCAAAATTTGAATGACTTGACTACTTTTCTGCAACAAATTCAAACATAACTTTAAATTTTCTGTCCTCATGTGGTCCTTATGAATAATGAAGCATATTATAAGACCTAGATGAAGAAACGTAATCAATACAATTTTTGTAAATTATGCGAAAGTTTGTTCAAAAGTGCTTAAAAACGTTATGAATATGATTTTATTTGAAATGTTATCAGAAAAAAGAACTTCCAAGTTCTATATGCCAATTCTTTTATGCCTTCGAGCATTAACATGTGCGAATCGCTCAATGAGTTCAATCTTATCAATTGATTTGGCTTCTGAATCTTCTATGGACAGTATTGCCAAGTTATCGAGTCTTTCTTGAGTTATCTTTGACCTTAAGTACGTTTTAATCAATTTAAGTTTTGAAAATGATCTCTCAGCTTTGGCAACCGTAACTAGGATTGTTACAAACAGAGTTAGTAATTTGTACACTTCTGGAAAGGATGAACTCACTCTGCTTTCCAGCATCAAATTAACAATTTCAAGAACTGACTCTTTGTCTGCAATATCTTTCTTGGACTCCTTTGCAAATAACCGCCATTCGGTTTCCAAATTTCCTGTAAAATCATCTGGATAAGCTGCACTGCAATTACAGCTTTTGTGGTGAAAATCTGAACAGACAACTCATACTTTGCCAGTGATTTGGGGTAAAGAAACCTGAAAAGGTTGGTTACCAAACTTTGCCCATTAAATCGCAATCGAAGCTGCATAAGAGCTGTATCGACTGTTTTGTAGAAAACCTTGACCTTAAACCTTTTTTTCTGGATCACTTAACGCATCATCTCGAGATAGTTCATCAAAGAAACCCTTGGCTTTGCGGTTTCTCTTTTGGGTAAATTCAAGAGACGAGCACCAAGAACTGGCAAGTGCAGAAGCTGTCATCCTCACTGACTCCGAAGAGTTCCGAAGTAGCTCTATGTCTGAAATTGAGCAGTTTAGAAGCCCAGACGCAACTGAAAGATCCAACTTACGCAACTGAAATTCGTTCGATGTATAATTTATAGCACGCAATATTCTTTCCCACATGACTATAAACAGAACAAATTCGAAACTATCCATCTTTTCTTTAGGGCCTTTTGCACCAACCCTTTCCTTTTTCTTTTCTGACGTGAGAATTAAGCGAGTTAAAACTTTAATTTTGTGAGGGTATTATGTCGGGAAGCCTAATTTACATGCATATGCATCATCTTATATCATTATTGTGTTTGCTCAAAAATCATATCCCATCCTGCCCCCACTTTAATGTTGCTGTGAATGCTTTTAAGAAACATTTGTTTTTATTCAAAAACCCGCTTTTCGAAAAGTCTTTCGGGGGCCCTTAGTTTTGTGTTTAAAGGTGCACACCGTGCGTTACGCCACTGTCTCAAGTTAAGATGGTAAAGATGAGCTAGGTATATCGGCAAAGAGAGAGGACCCTTCTATTGTTTTAAAGGAAGTGGCAAGAAAATTAAGAACAGAATTATGACGCTAGGTATAACGACCTTGTTCAAGAGAGACTATGCAGCCTGCAAAGACACGAGAAAGTTTCGGGAAGAAGACAGAATACGCAATTAAACGTTTGGCTTAGGTTCCTAAGGCTTAGATTTTTGCGAGTAAGGAGAGTATTGTTAAGGTATTTGATGGGGGAAATGGGGGATTTAGTAGGGTGGTTGCTCTGCACAATAGACCCAAGGTCACTGAGCTTCAAGAGAGTGGTTCAACAGAAATGAAATATGAACAATTTTTTTTGCAGTACAGAATTTGAAAATGGCTTTGAAAAAAGCAAACATTTTACGACATACTAAAAGCTTTTTCGTCTGACACTCCTCAGAGCATAAAACGTCAGAATAATACGATGGAACACGATGGAAAATATATACCCAGTTGTGGATCGAAATAGGCCAATCAGAAAAACGCAAGCACAAGACCGGTATAGTTGTCCAATCAGTGCCGCGAGCCTAAATAAAAATTACCAATGGAGTCCAAAACATCTAGCAGTTTCTCCTGCCCGACAAGCAATCAAAGCCATTATACACTTTTGAGCCATTTTTTAAGGAACCAACTCAGTTACAATGAAGACATATTACATAAATATACTCCACGAAATAACTACTTTACAATTCAAATTACTACACTCAGGATAAAGCAATGGAATATAAATAAAAATTTTGTGGAATTAAGATTTAAGACCACAAGCGTAGTACAGGTAGCCACTATCATGGCCGTGGAGAGACAGCTCGGGCCCCGGAGTCATTCACAAAACTGGACCCTTGAGAAAGTTTCCTGTGGCCTCGCCCTTCAGTCTCCCGGAGAATAAGGAGAGCGCATTTTTTAGGTACATTTATTTAAACACTTTTTAAAGGGCCTCTCCAGCCAAAAAATAAATATTTTTTTTATTGACTAAAAAGTTAGCATCTGGTGCGTGTATTATGGCAAAGTCGTTGTTTTTGACGACAAAAGCCGAATCAGTTTTGAGACATTCTGACGTCACAATGTGCGGCTCTCGTTTGCCATGAATTTCGTATATCTTCCATCGAATCGTGAAGGAGTCATGGTCACGCGTTGATAACGGCATCTAAATCTAGAGCAGGAGCTTTTAGGATCGAAAATTATTAAATGTTTACAATCATTCTAAGTTTGCGGGTCGGAATGTGTCCATGCTGTGTCACGACCTTGTTTTGATCACCTGTGTAGGCCCATAAAGCTACGGCTTCCTGTTCCAGCTCTTCCCTCGCGTATAATTAAGCGAAATTGACACTTCAGTTGTTCTCCAGAAACGATGAACAACTAAAGGCTTCAGAATTGATATCTGAAATGCTCAAACTAAAAGCCGATGGAACAGAACTGAGAGTACTATCACTTGCAGTGTTTAATTTGCGAATCACCGTCGTTCGATTCGGTTTGAGGCGAGACTAACGAAATACACTGTGACGTCAAAATTGCGTAACAGTGTCACCAAACCGAAAAATTTTTGTCGGTTAATTCAATTCAATTATCGAAATGCAAGAGCTTATATCTCACAAACTGTGAAAAATATCGACAAACAAATAACGAATTCGTGATCAGCAGGTTCAACTCCTTTAGATTAGCCAATAAAATGCAAGTGCAAAATTTGGCTGGAGAGGCCCTTTAAGGATATTTACAAGAATATGCAAAAACATTTTACATGAATCAAGGACATGTAGAAATTTCTCTGCGATAAACCTACAGGCGTTAATTCCGTATAAGTAGCTGAAATAGTAGCTTTTTGCATTACAAATAGATCTTATTACTTTATTACGGGCTTCATCGTTTCGAGCTTACGATAGGACTTAAAACTAACCTTACCTGCAAATCGAATATTACCTGTTAATAGTGAGATTTTCATTTGCAGTTTTTAGTTTTAATAAAAATGAAAGTTTCCAGAACACCCCAGTTGAAATTGCACTGATTGCATTAAAAGGTCAGTATGACTTTGTTCGATAATGGTCTCTCCAGAGATGTCATTGAGAGAGAATAACATTGTAATATGTATAACATATAAACTGTATCAAAGGTAAAAAGTACCGTGCTTCTTAAAGTTCAGTCCTGTCCATCGAGGCTGTTTTCTTGATTTTGGAGGTCCTTAAAGAAAGTGTCCTTGATCTTGTGCCTGGAACAGTTTACGTTCTTAGTAGATTTCACTTCAGAGTGTAGGCCGTTTCAGATTTTAGGTCCTAGGTAAGAGAGACCATTTGTTTACAGCGAGCAATATCATTTACCACACATTTTCGAACATTCATTTTTTCCATTTGACGTCATTCCGGGAATTTGGATCTTTGATGTAACAAGGAGGGTCGCGAGATATACGCAGTAATGCAAATTTGTTAACAGTGTTTCTAGCGTGAAATTGTTTTCCATAAACCTGTCTACTCAGAAAACCATAGGCCTTCCAAAAAAAACTTTCAAGACCCAAGATAATTGCGTTGTTTTTCATTTTTTCATTTGTGCCGAATGCTACCAAATCCACCCTCTCCCCAAGGGCAGCGTCGATGGTCTAGAGAAATATCTCAAAAGTCACAAAAAGTACTCCCTAATCCTTTTCTTTATTTTTATTGCAAAGCAAGATTGTTGCGAAGGGGGAGCATAATGGCTAAATTTGCCTTCGGACTCTCGTTTCCAGACTTTTGGCGGGGATTGTTTTACCAATAGAATCAAATTTTTACTATTTGTTACTATTTGGCAATAATTCAGGTATTTTGACATTGTGTTGTCAAGTTGCATTCCCATGAATATGTAGTTGAGATGTCCTTGTTGATACGCTCGACTGCTGTCAATATGCGACAAACGGTGAATTGATAAATATAAAGGATGAGCAAAATCCATGATAGAATATAGGCAAAGAAGAGACACGTTCATCTATTACACAGAGAACAACGTAAGACTATCTGATACAAGATAAAAAAGTCGAGAAACTGAGCAGCAGTAAAATTACAGCTAAATGGCAGCGAGAGGGTGCAAATTGGATTGAATTAAAATGATCGGGTTAGGGTACAGATTGAATTAGAGTTTACATAGATTCACGAAAGCTATTCTATATTTTCTGGTTTTTCATCTCTTATTTCACTGCAACGCTATTAACAACCGAATTCTGAAGAAGTGCAGAGATTGAAACTGTGATCTCGATTCATAACTGTGATCTCGATTCATAACTGTGATCTCGATTCATAACTGTGATCTCGATTCATAACTGTGATCTCGATTCATAACTGTTCATAAATAGACGTATTTGGTTCCGATTCTATATACGAGTATCATGACGATATAAGGACAATAGTATTACTTATAAAACTTTAGCAAGAAAAATCCAGCATGAACAATGATAGACCGCGAACAATCTATTTAGCCTTAGCTGAATGTCTTATATGACTGAATGTCTTGTATATATGCATCAGATCTATTTACAATCCCGAGTCTCCTAAAAATCTAGAAAAAGTGTATTCACAGTTCATTAAATTTGTTGTTCTTGGCGGGCGTCCCTGTTTACACAAGACTAGTGCGCACACACTAGTGCGCACACACTACTGCGTCTTTTTATTGAGATTGGAAGCGATTTCCTCCAGCCACCATTCACTTATATCGCTGTCATCTGAATAATGTCCACCCTGCTTTGGCGCAGAATGGTCCTCACTTTTTTGCCTTGATGTCTTGCGAATGTGTTCCAATGATGCAGGATTTGCTTTTGGAGAGACCCGCTTCTCAATGCCAACCCTTGGTACAATCAACGAGGAACCGACTGAAGTCATCGAAGCACTCAAGTCGTCCGCCTCGCTTACGTCACTATCATAGCTGATCGTCGACACAGCAGACGAAACTGTAAAAACAATTAACAGCAGATGAAAACAATGAACTTGACAACTTAGCCATTTACTGGATAGCATGAGAAGGTTGGTACACTGTACATGGCTTTAAGCTCACTGAATTTTCCTGAATTGAGACAAAAACACATTTTTACCTGGAAAAATATGATCTCAAAGATGGCGATTAAAGACAAAAGAAATCTAGCAGGCTGTGTTTAAATCAATTTAAACAACAGAAACAGCAGAGAGTGTATTTAGTACATCCCCATGTCAACAAGGGAGTACATCACAACTAGGCTGAAGAAAAATTTCAACTGAAATATAAATTGGAATGCCAATTCTCTTCACTCAAACAAAGTTAATCACTAAAGCCCCTAACTTTACCACGATTTCTAGCCAGCATGAAGAGATGAACAAAACAGTGTTTGGGTTCCCTTTTGGCAAGGGAATTTTGCGATATTTTGCTACCAAAACCGCTTGGCAAGGGCCTTTATTAGCTTACAATTAATAGATAAGAGTAGAGAATGAAATAGCATACCTGATTGCTTGGCATGTAGTCGTCCATTGTTCTTTCTATTCTTTAGCTTCTCTTGCCACATTCTCAAGCACCACAGCCCAATCGTCTGCGCAGCAACCTCCTCCGTAATAGCACGTAGTTGATCCTCCCTCGCAAGTCTTTCCTCCAACTGCAAATTTCTTGACAACTTAACGCGAGGATCGTTGTATGCCAAAACTAGCAACAAGTCATGATAGGAAACATCCTTGCCACCACAAACTCGGTCAATTTCTGCGCACATGCGCTTGTACAGAAATCGGTCATTGGTAACACTGAATTTGAGCTTTGCGATGCTTAGGCCTAAAGCCAGTTTAGCTCTTTTCGGGGTCAGTTTGCCAGCACAGTCCCTATCGATAATGTTCCAAACTTCTTGAAAGGCTTTTAGATCTGTATCTGACATTAACATGTCTTCATCGGCCGAGGAGAAAAGCGAAAAATTCTCAATGACAACGGCAATGAATAAATTCAAGAAGATGTACGTTATTATTATGTAATAGCTAAAGAAAAACAGCTGCGCAAAGAACTCATTTCCACAGTCTGTTTCCCAGAAGTTGTCATTTTCATTCAACGAGCACTTTGGCGGTTTCACCATGCAGTCATGCATGAGTAGGTTCCAGTCTTCACCCGTGGTGATTCTGAACAACAGCAACATTGCTGAAAAGCTTGTTCGGAAACTCGCGTGCCGATTGAGATGAAGTCCAAATCGGACTGAGCCGAACATTATCACACCAACGAGCGCATAGCACATCATCAAAACAAATAAAACTGATATTGTGTAGAAGCTTTTGAACAAACTCATGGTTAATGTCAGCATAATCATTTTCAGGAAGTTGATTTTGCCAACCAGTGTGAATAAGCGGAGAATAATCAGTGCGACTCCACCGCGAAGTGTTGTTGGTTGAAAGCTGACATGCCAGTAGGAAATTATCTGAAAGATGGACCAGACTACACCAAGAAGCGTAAAAATTGCATCAAATCGGTTTCGCCAGCTAAGCCAGTAGCCAGTCAAGCCATACGCTTGCAGTTTTATTATCAGATCAATCAGGTAGACGTATGTGAACACGATTGCAATGCCAGTAAACGAAGCATGGCTACCGTCGTTGTCGTCATTTTTGAAATTCTTTAAACTGGTTGGGTACCAATTCACAGACATCAATGTACAACCATTTAGCAAAACAATGAAGATATACGTGAAGCGGTAAAACTTTTTTTGCAAAAAGTCATAAACACGCGCCTTTTTCTCGCTGTTCTCAGGCCGTGGTGGCACGTGTATAGGCTGTGACAGCTTCAATCTCTTCTTCAAATCTTGCCACCTTCGCTGGTCCACAGTGAGCAGGGCTGTTCCTTTGTTTTCATTGAAATTGCTCACAACTACACCAATGAATAAAGTTAGTCCGATAAGGCCAGCAAGAAACACATAGGCATGGAGGTATAAGCTGGCAGAATGCCCAATTTGCTTGCCCATAATGTCGCGAACGACAGTCCACCCTTCTAAAGACAAAACCTCAAATAAAGCAAGAAAAGCATCCGGAAAGGTTTCAAAATTAAAGTTGCGCGGGTTTTGCCAGACACATGGGACTGTCACGGAGACTTCTTGGCCACTAAGGCCTCTTGTGCTAGACGGAGCTGCAAGAGTCACATTGCACAGTCCAGTGCACTTATCTCTTGTTTTAATCGATGCTTCTGTGCACCGGCCTAAACGGCCTTGGAACATTTGAACACCGTAATTAGCAAATACAAACATGAGCAAAAGCTGCAACACAGCAACTTTGAGAATGTCTTTGTAACCTCGTACGAAAATTTGAACAACATTTCGTAAAGGTGGCGAAAGTGTTATAATTCTAAGAGGTCTTAATGCACGCAGTACAAGTAAAATTTGGGCCATAGAGGTTGGCCTAATATGTCCCGGGTGCCAGCAGATGTAAACGAGGCCGACGATGTATATGAATACATGCAAAACTCCCCCAAAGTCTTTTGTCAATGCGGTTGGGGTTAGGAAAAACCCATCGGCAAGAATCTTCAGACCAATTTCAATTGTAGTTGTGATGACAAAAATGTACTCGACATACTTTGTGAGTGGGTACTGAAATGTTCTTTGCTGAGGTGTTTCTAGCATCATCACATAGCAGGAAAGGTGAGTCAGTAGCATCATAAACCAATCCAAATAGGCTTGGGATCCAAGGTATATTCTAAACCTATTTAAGCTGAAAGCACTAAATAGCCTCGTCTCAGCTTTGTCTGAAAACGCCACATACCTCGCATGGACGATCTTGCGGATTATAACCCGGATTCTGTTGTCATATGGCAGAAAGAACAAAGACTTGTCAAAGTATGGGTAGTTCTCTCGAAGGTTCTGCACTTGCCTCTCTTTTCTACGCTGGGCTTCACGCAACCTTAAGCGCACCACATCAAGGTTCTTTTCACTGGCTTTTTCAGCTGAAATAAAGCTCAAGTGGTTCGAAGAGACAATGTTGCCTTTCACTGCTATAGCAAGGTTTGCGGAATGGGTACGGCCAAGAACGGCTCTTGAGGGTCCTGCGGGACTGGCTTCTGTTGACTGCTGTTGATTGGAAACTTTTCGCCTAATTGCAGAGCCACCACCGCCACGGGGTGCAATCCTTCCGCGATGCAGGCTGGAGTCAAAGTCACCTTTCTTCTCGTGTGACCACTTTATTAAGGCAGAGACACTGGATTGTTTTCTAAGTGTTTTGTTTGTGTACAGAGATGGAGGCTCGCTTGACATGCTGACAAGATTGATTCCGAGTTCTCTTGCAGAAGCACCTTGCTCGGCTATTAATGAAGGCATCGTCTGCGCATGATCAAAGTCTAAATCACCACGAACTACATCAACGTTTGAATCAACTTGCAAGTAGTTTGTCATGAAGCTCTCTCTTACTTTTGGAATACTGCAGCCAATCTTTTCCATTTTGACAATTTTGGGCCTTGCTTTCAGGTTCTCAAATACCCTCAGTCTGAGAGGCAATTTCTGGTTCAAGTCAGCGACTTCACGCAGTTGGTGTTGCTTGATAATTTTGACTTCTTCGTCAAGCTCAAGATTATCCAAGATCAAAGCTACAAAAACACTAATAAGAATAAGCGTTGCTAGCACGTGGTAGAGAATAAAAAACAAGAAAATCAAAATTGCGTATTCTTGGCCTCCCTTTTCCAGCATGGTATGCAGGACATCATTCCACGCTTCTTGCATAAGAACTTGAAACATAGCACGAGTTGCTGCTGGAAACGTTTTGAAGGAAATATCATCGACAGTTAGAGGATTGCCGGTAATTTTGATGTTACAAAACAACTGCAAGCTCACACCGGCAGCCACCAGTAAAAATATCATTGTAAACAACAGCAAGCTTCCCAATTTTTTGCCACTTCCAAGAATGCGCTTTAGAAATGATGCAAGACTTGGTGACGCCAAAATCAAGCGAAAAGGACGCAATACTTTGAACAATGCATATGTCTCCAAGCCTTCCCGTCTCAAACAAAGTGGCGCAAGAAATGCTGAGCTTCCAACTGCCAAAAAAGTCTCAAAACGATGGGGGACACAGTTAAAGTATACTTTAGGCCCATAACCAATAAGTTTGAGAAGAACCTCGAGATCAAACAGCAATGTGAATGCAATCTGTGTGAAAATGCGGTCTTGGTCTGTCAAATATCCTTGAAGCAGGGCGTCACAAACGATACACAGCAAAAAGAAATAGCGGAACACACGTGACTTGACAATGCGCCTTAGTGTGTATCTGATGACGTCGGTTTTTTCGAATTGATCTCCCTGAATGAGTTGCAATCCGGAATCCGTCTTGCGGTGAACAAAAATCTTTGAGGAATCTTTAGTAATGTTCTTGGATGGCGTACTGTAAAACCTGTGAACTTGGCTACGCAAGTCTGCAAACACTTCGGTTACTATGGCAATAAAAATGTTTTTTGCCAACCAAGCAATGAAGATGATGAGAATTAAGAAGTAGACGACCGCAGCTAAGTCATTTTGACTGTCCATTGCATCGTACATGACTCGGGTCCAGCCCTCCTGCGACTGAGCTTCATAGACAGTAAGCAATCCGACGGCAGTATGCTTGAAATAGGTGTTCATGTGGTAAAACCCAGTGCCTTTGAACTCCTTACAAGCGAAACCCTCTGGACATTTGTAGCCTGAGTCATGAGAATGGACATTGCATCTGGAGGCTGGGATCATAAAATCTTGGTAAGTAACTTTCTCTGTGTTTACAGTGCTTTTGACGCAGTACCCCGATAAAGAGCCAAATATTTGCACCCCTATAATTGCAGCTAGTGTCATAGCATAACCGGCAAATAACAAAACGTTCCGTATTTGTCTCAGAGGCTTTTTTGAAACACTTTTTGGAATTCCAACATGAAGCAAATTCTTGCCAACTCTAAACAGCAACAATGGCCTAGGACAGCGCAAACCAGACACACTCTTGTACCAATCCGTTTTAAAGGGGTTTATCACGTCAGCCATCTCTAGGGCATGAAAAATGAGCGAAATCCAAATAAACAGCACCATCGTAAACTCAAAAATACGACCTGGGCTGCGAAGATAAGACTTCTTTTGGCGAAAAAAGCCTTTTTCTGTGATTTTTAAGCAACATTCTGCAGTCAGGACAAGCACAGCTGCAAGATCTAGGCCAAACGTTATCTTCAAGAGTCTTGGCTGACTTTTAATGTTATATGGTGTGTTTAGGGACACAGATGTAAAACTTGTAATACACGTCAACGTTATCAATGCTTTAAACCACAGTCTTCGGCGGAACTCAAACCCACTTCTAGTCGCATGAAACTCGACCAATGACAGCCGGCGTAGCAGCGATGCATGCACATCATTGGTTCTCGGCCCAGAGTCCTGATCATCAACTTCAAAGCTAAGGGAATCCCCACTTATTGGCGATTTGCTGGTTTGGGGCAAATGTCTTATTTCATTGTTTGCCTCATTTTGAGGCACCGAAAGTGTAGCCATGCTATCGGAATCTTTTCTAAAAAGAGAGAGAGGAAAATTTCATTTGGAAACGTTTCCTTTATAGATTTCAGCGTCGGGTCGAAGTTTTCTTATAATCTACAGCAAAACATCATTTTATTAGGTTATTTACATATTTGAATAAAGCATTTTATAAATGTCTTATTTTTAAAGAAAATGCTGATTTGAACAGATAAGCCCGAAATGGAAAACGTTCTGCCACATTTTTTCATCGTACAACACGTCATAAAGATGGCTGCTGGCAGAAAAAAATATTAAGATTTAAGCTTAATTTTTCTGGAACGCATGACGCCTGTAAATGCAATTCTATTTGTGAAGTTGAGCCCCCAAAACCGCAATATGTTCTGCGAACCCTGTACTAGACGACACAGAATTTGAACAAATAATTCAAAAAACTTTGGCAAGGTTCGTTTTGAAGAACCTAGGGCCGCAAGAAGGTGTGATGTTTTCTGTTTGTAATGTGGAAAAATTTGTGGCTGCCTCTAAACATCCATGTTAAGTCTCAAAAGGAAAACATGAATATGTTCGACTGATAGATAATGACATGGGAAAGTTAATTTCGATTTCAAATACCGATTTTGTAATAGATTCAAGGTATTAAGGCTCTTCTGGCACAAAACCCGATTTCGGCTGTATGCGTTTGCCTTTGGTATGGCTCGGACCGGTTTGTGTCTACCGACTGTGACAAGTAATTTGACTCTGATAATCTACAATCTAAATTGACCGTTACTTTGGGATTAGTTTGTCTATTTAATAATGCATTCATACTTAGTTGCTGCGAATTCAAATATCTCTCACTTCCATAGGTTGGCCTTCAGGCAGTGCGATGCTATAATTTGTTGAAGATTAACACAATATTCCGCCTTCATTGCTTGAAGAAACCCCACGCATTGGTGACCAAAATTCTTAATTTATTGATTAAATATGCCATTGCCTAGAAAATGGCATTCTTCCTATTTGATTCAAGGTATATTGATGAAACTTCAAACATCGTAATAGCTGATGAGCAGAGCCAGGAATATCTGGATTTGAAAAAAACCCATGTTTACTGAAAGAGTGACATAAATTGAGGCCCGAACAATGCTTTAACCTATAAAAATGCAATAAAAATATAAAATATATTTATGGCTTCAATTTAAAGATTTACCGAGAAAATAATCATTCTTTTATTAAACATCGAGGAAATTAGATCAACAATGCAATCATCCAATCAATAGACAAAGATCCAAGCAATACCTGAAAAAACCGAAATTCTGAGTTTGTTTCAATATGTGATGCCAAAATTACATTTCAATCCATACTAAAACAGCCATTATTTATTGTCAATAAGAAGTGGACAATCTATTTTTTTACTTTCATATCATGCACTCCCTTCCTAAAAGTATTCTGACATAAATTGCATCAGTACAGGGTCAAGTTAATGAAAACAAAAGAAAAAATTGTATTTATAGAATGACAACAGAAAACACCTCAGAACTTCAGCCACTCACAGAACATAGTATAAATTGCACATATTTTCAAATTCAAGGCCATTGGTAAGTTCACTTGTGATCTTGCTTTGAGTATTTGGTGGGGAATCCATTTAGAAAATTAACAGGATGGAGTTTGCAAAGAATTTATGTTTGGAAATTACCAATGAAATGGCCAGGAATATTTGCCCAAATGTCAAAGATTTTATCAATTAACTGTTGCTCAGTCTTTTGAAATTTTGATTTGTTCTTTTCTTTATATGAAAACAAGAAAAGCTATAGCGCTTTAAATTATATTCAGATTGGGACTTTGGGAAGCCCTGGAAGCGTTAGGATTCTGTCGGCAGGAAAACATTTGCTTGTATCCTTAGCTATGGGACATGGAGCATTGTCTTGTTGAAAAGCTTATTTATATAGCAATAGCTTCCTTTGCAGTTTGTGAAAGGTTTTCCTTGAGGATGGCAACATAAAATGCAGCTTTGACAGAAGACCCCAAAAGAATGACACCATTAGGCGTAATGCAACCAGGCCTTGCCGTTTCAGGCGAGCGATACCTCGCGCTCACAACCTGAGGAGAGCTATGAATTGCTCTCCTAAACAGAACATGAAGGAAGAATCGCTCCCCTAAAATTTCCTATTCAGAGAATTATGAAAACGCACAAGGGTTAATTGGTTTATTTTTGTAACAGCGATTTCTGCTTTTTTTGCAACTAACTTTTTGCTTGTTGGGCGGTTTTTGTTATGATAGGCATAAACTTCTATCTATTTGGAAAAAGATAGTTAACCAAAAGGTACGTTTGTAGCGATTAGAACTTTTCAATCTTAAGAAAACAGGAATATTTTTGGAAGGAAAGTCGAAGAAATTGGTAGGAATTGTAGATTGGGGATATAATAAGACAGCAGGTCCCTTCCAGCAATAGAAACAAAACTATCCCTCAAAGAGAACAGGGTACTCTGTCTTGCAGATCAAAAACGACAACCAAAACATGGAATTCCACTATCCAGCAGCATTTACTGAAAAACCCAGATTGGGTGAAAACTATAACGGCGACATGTTTTGCATTATTGGCAAAGCCTGATCATCGTTCCATCTAGCAGTTTGTAAATCTATCTACTATATAAACATGACCAACCGCTTTTGTTTAGACATAAGTGAGTTCGTTTTCACCTTAGGACTCCGTTGGTAATTGGACAACCTCAACAGTCATGTGCTCACGTTTTCTGATTGGCCTATTTCGATCCAAAACTGGGTATTTCAGCGTAGAGTTTTCCATCTATGTCCTGACGTTTTATTCTCTGAAGAGTGCTAGACGTGTAACTTCAGCTTGTTTTAAATTTTTTTTTTCAAAGCCATTTTCAAATTCTGTGCAACAATAAGATTGTTTTGCAAGAGAATTGTTGTTTTTGTGTTGTGCCAGCTTTACATGAAACTGAAAAAGTCTGTTCTTTCAAATACTTCAAGTAAAGGGGGTGCCTAAGTCACGGTTAAAGCAAATACAAATTGAAAGAAGTAAAACAGCATACTCCTGACTGAGGCTATTAAAGGCAACCGACAGATACTAAAGGGGCTTATTAAATCATCTGTCGATTGTGCTTCAAGTATATTCTATGTGTTACTGATTTAGCTCGCCTCAGCAAATGAGGGGAGAGATTCCAGCTCACCTATAAAAATACAAAGGGGCAGGCCTGATGCAGCCCCAGGCCACTGCTGAATTTTCTCCCTGTTACTTGGAATTTATTTAAAGGAATATTTATTAAATGGCTTTGAAAAAAGCAAACATTTAGTAAACTAAAGCTTTTCGTCAGACACTCTTCAGAGTTTAAAACGTCAGAACATAGATTGAAAACTCTACGCTAAGAAATATAAATACCCAGTTGTGGATCGAAATAGGCCAATCTGAATCCCCAAAGAGAACAGCCACCTCGGTCTTGCAAATCCAAAATTACTACTAAAACCTGCGATTCTGCTATCGGGCAGCATTTGCTAGAAAACCCAGATTGTGCAAAAAACTATAATGGCGACATGTTTCGGATTATTGGTAAAGCCCGATCGTCGTTCCACCTAGCAGTTTTAGAATCTATCTACATAAGCATGTGTTTCTGATTGGCCTATTTCGATCCACAACTGGGTATATATATTTCTTAGCGTAGAGTTTTTGATCTATGTTCTGACGTTTTAAACTCTGAAGAGTGTCAGACGAAAAGCTTTAGTTTACTAAATGTTTGCTTTTTTCAAAGCCATTTACAAGTTTTGTACCACCAAAAGATTGTTTGGAATATTTATTATTTTCTTTTTTAGTTGTTTTCTGGATTCAGAGGTCTCCAGAATCATTTTTTAAACCAAATTGACAGTCAAATGAGAAGGCATCATAGCTTTAGTCAATGACTAGTCATTCCTTCTTGACTATGGCTAAGTTTTGCTGGTGAGTGTGTTTATTGGTTGATAAATTAGGATGCAGTTTCCTATTTCGCTTTTTGATCCAAAATGCCCTACAATGTTTTGAAAGGATATTGGTCACAAAACTTCATGGTTACTTGAATTGGTATCTCAAGTTCTTTAAAGTTGATGTGCATAGCTTCTTCACAGCCCCTGCTACAATTATTTTGTTCTCCTCAGAACTTTTTTGGACCAGAAATCTCAACTTAAACCATTTTTGCAGTAAACCATTTTTGCAGTAAACCAGTAAACCACTTTTGCATACAGTTTGCAGACTCTATGGGCAGTAGACTTCATGTAACCAACTTGTTTTGCAATTTCATTATATGAACGACCTACATGGCCGAAGACTTTATGACCTTCTCAGAACAAAATTCAAGTAATACATTTGTTTGATTATTTTCAGACACTACTGTCTTATTTTCTTGCCAAATGTTAATTATACTTCTCACTTACATTCAAGTTACATAAGAATTAGGCAAATTTTACCCAATTGCGCAAAAACTTTTGGGAGGGGAAATGTATATACATGTTATAATCAGTAAAGGGTGTCACATGAACAGCAATTTGCAGCCATGATGTTAGCAATGGGTTGGGTCAAGGAATCTGATATGCAAAGATTGCAGTAGAGCATGGCAGGACCAAGTGTTCAAAAATCTGTATCAGCTTGTCCATAGGGTAGACAATTTCGAGCTGCCTTTTGCCTTTGTGCCCCCTTAGTCCTCATTTAGAGTGACATGTTAGAAAGATTTTGTGTCAGTCTCAACTAATATTAATCTCCATATCAAAATAAAGAGATTTTTGAACAATAATGCATAACAAAGCCTAAGCATACATAAACTATCTGCATGATTTCATGCCTACTTTCCATGTAAAATAGGAAACAACAGGTTCACTTGCACAACATCTCATTCGAAGTTGACAGCCAGATGGCTTTAAAAATGTTAGTGCAGCCCTGCTTGGTACTTTTTGAGCTTGAAATGGAAGTGGGTCTAGAGTACTACATACGAGACGCAAATTTCATAAATCATAGGGTGATTGCATAGCACTTAGTTGTCCCCTCAAATTGGAAGCAGAAGGGAATGGAAGCAGCCCCCTATAAACATCGCCACATTATCACCATATTAATCTTTTCTTAGAGAAATGGTGCAGGTAGTATCATATGGGATTGATCATAAATTGTTTTCATAGAACATTGAATCAGAACTGCCTCATTTTGACTGCGAAATTTTCATTCAACTATCAACAGTGCCTTGGCCTTGGGCGAACCGGTTCTTATCTAAGCAAATAAGCTGTCAAGAGGCAAACTCTATATACAAAACGATTATTAAGAAGACTTTATTATTTTAAAGCATAATCTTACCTTGGAACGAAAGCGCAAATTTATATATGCTCTTTCCAGCGAAAATTTGGGTTCCGGTTGGTGAACATCTGCCTTCTGATGGCTGGAAATGAGCGATTCATACCTTTCATTTCCAATGGCGCGCAATTCCTTACATTACCGAACAACTAAAAGCAGAGACTTCCGAATTAGACTTGAGAACTTGCCTTTATCAAAGCAGAATTAGCAACCTGATATTAAAAAGTTGCAATGCTCCAACCTTCCTGTTGTTTTTCCAAAACTAATTACTAACCTCGTTTTCACAAAACCAAACGGACACGAGACACGAAAACTAAAATAAACATCAAGGGAACAAACAAAACGGAGATAAACGATAACAGCAAATAATTTAATAGTTGTATTTAAATCAAAAGTACTGGGCCTATGTTTTTCAAAAACGTTTAGTCCTCCATTTAATGGGCTGAATTTAAAATTCTCGTCTTTAGAAATTGTTTCATATGAAGGATGTTGTAGTGAGTTCATGAGATCAGCAGAACTTAAAAGATAAATTTAAAAAGAACAGATTAGGGTGTTCACTTTTTAGTTTTTTTGTTGTCTATAAAAATGCTGAAATTTCAAATTAATGAAATTTCCTTGTTTGATTGAAATATTAGAAATCAAGTGATAGGGTCTATTATTGCCAACAAGAAAATGTTGCATACTGGGCTAGATTGACCTAGCAGGGAAAAATATCCAGCTTTAATTAGATGCTGCTTCTTGAACGCAGATTCAAATGTGACTGTAAAAAGTTCAACACAACTTCACCCATTATATGAGCTGCACATGAACGTCACATTGTAAGAGATATGGCTGAGACTGTCATTGCTTTTATGGTTGGTTGTGACAAAAGTTTTCTCTGAATCAGAAAGAATTTAGCAGCTCCCTGTCCCCTGTTTGGGAATTTGTTTTTTATGACCGAAAGTCAAGGTAAAGCTCTTTTAAAATGGTGAGCAAAGGCTATCATGTTTGTTTCTCATATTTTTATGATAAAATTTGTGAAGGAATTGCTGCTATTGTCCCACTCCCTAGACTGTGATTGGGCCAATACCCTTGACTGTGTCACTTGAATATATAAGCAAGAGGATAAAACTTGTGAAACAAAACTAGACACCATCAGCATAATTTGTAATGAAATATGCAATGTATTTTTTCAAAATTATACAATATTTGTTTAATTATTGTCAATGGTTCTTTTATTTACAGCATTATTGTACTTATTTTACAATACACAACTAAAATATATCTAAATTGTAACAAGCATTGGATATATTTTAGTAAACAATGATATCCAGGCACTCAATTTACAAAAAATACATTATTAAAACTAGTTGATATTAATCTTCGAACCTCATCATTTATGTCAACCAAACTAGCATTCTTTTGATTAAGAATTACAAAGAACTCTCTTTTGTCTGACCTTCTTCCAACAATCCAACAATCTGCCAAGTTCTTCATAATCATTTCTCTATCTCCAGGCATTTTATCAAGATCACTGTGAATATCAACAATCAGCTTCATCATATCTGGTGTAACGCTAGTTACCTGAGACGCCCTTTTGCTATGAATACTAGTCTTCACAGCTAGATTCATCTTGTTGAAGTACAAGAACCTATATTGTTGATCACTCTGGCTAGCTGGCATTTTTAATATGTGCTCCATTATCTTGTGTGAAAGATGTGTCATCTGGGCTCCAAGAAAGGTTTGCAACTTTAAGTAGAACTCTACTGTCAGAGGGGGATCAGTCGAAGCCAACATGCAAATAACGGCACTCATTGCCTTAAAGACAATAAGGTAATACTCTTTTAGTTCACCATTGGTCCATATAAACAATCTTGGTGATCTCTTGGCTGTACTTGTCAGCTGATCTGTTTGATCAACTGATGCAGTAAGAAATTTACCTACGTTTTGCGTATTTGACTGCATTGAGACCTTGGCATCAACCTCATTTTCCATTGTAGCAGGAAACAAACTAGTTGTCAAGTACTTGAATAGGATTCTCATATCTTCTTGTTCTATTGTCGTCCAAAGAAGCTGATCATTGTATAGAAAACAGCTGTGTGAAATGCAGGGAAACGTTGTCTCGACAAGATTACAAAAGCATTGTACACGGAGAAAAACACTTTGGTCGACTGGTAAAAATGTTAGTCCGTGATAAATATCAAGGATATCAAACTGGGAGAAATTGAGTGTTTGTAAGTAGCGCGAATAGAAATACTTCAGTTTTTCCTTCAGGCTCTCAAGACCTGATTTCTTCAAAATTCTCGTGAATGGTCCGTTAAAAAGCCTGAACATGGCGTAGGCCTGTTTGAGAACTTCCTGCAGCACTTTGTCCTGCACTTCTTCTTCAAAATATTCCACAGCTCGCTTTCCATCTTTTAGTATTCTTTGATTATATGGGATCTTTACAGTCATGGCCATAAAAAATCGACCTTCCGGATTCAAGAAAACTTGCCTGGATTTCTGGGTGTGAAGAACTTCGCAAGGCGTTGTCGGATTAAATGTCTTTGTGAATTGGATCAAGGCTTCGCACAATCCGACTTGCTTTATCTGCGAGTCAATATCTTCCTCTTGTGGTATGTATAACATCGTTTTCTCCCCTTCTGTTCCCTCCCGAGTACCATAGCTGTCATTGTAAATAAAGAAACTCAATAATCCACAACTACGGATCCCTGACGCCATTTTCGATAAATCTGATATGTTGCAAGAGGAATCAAAGAGAGGCTATAAAAAATATCCGTCTGACCAAATTTTGGCCCTGCCCTTTGTACTGCCTCTAAAGTCCCTGTTAAATGTAGTCTGTCTCCTATTGCGCTCAATTTTATTTTCACGGGAGTGAAATGCACGTACCGTTGAGCTTGATCGATTTAAACCAATAAGAGAAAACTTTGATTCAAGAGCTTTTCAATCAAATGGCCGTGTGACGCTGTGGCTAGAACAAATTTTTCCCTGTTTGGTTTGTGCGAAAGAAATGTCAACCGCGAAATGGAAATGCTTCCATTATCATCATTCAATTCCAGTTATAAAATTGTCTTGATATTTTCGATAGCTTTTTGCTCGCAGTTTCAAATGTCGTCCACTACCGCAGCCAGGCCAGCCAAAGCGAGCAGCGCAGGGGCGGATTCAGGGTGTCGCACAGGTCGCACGGAAGACCGTCAGATTTTCAGAATTTAGTTTTAGTCTTCAGTCATTGAAATAAGGCAATCGTGTTTACCGCAATCTTTTTTTTTCCTCCTTAAAGATAATCCATTATGCTCTCTTTACACAATAAACACAGGACCGAACTTGGTCGATCTCACATACCATGCTACGATCTAATTCAATATAGAAGAAATTCAAAGACCATCCTAGACACTAAAAAATTTGGTTTTTAGGCATGTCGCCCGTGCCGCACAAATATGCAGGGCTCTTTGTTATGCAAATATTTTACTAAATCTCTCCAATCAAAATTCAAGTTATCACATATTTGTGCGGCACGAAAAGTCTGTAAACACTATGTTAGATTACTGCGCCGCACAACTGCTGGCAAGAGAAGAAAGTGGAAGAGGTTGTAAGTTGTGAAAGGGAGGAGTCCCAATTTTCTTTATCTATACAGAAGAGGTGCACAGGAAGTGTACACTTCTGAATCTCAATATTTGAAAATTTGGAAAACCTTTTAAAGGGAAAAATGTTTGACTGAACAATTTGAACGTTTCAGGGCCCCAGTCCTAATTGCTCTGGTTCGGGGGGGGGGCTGGGCCCCCATCATGGCTCCGCCCTTGACCATTAGGGAGGCCCTATAGACCGCCTGCTGGGCAGTGTTAATGTGCGACCGTCAACTTTTATTCTGTATCCGCCCATGGAGCAGCGTAATCCGTTGTTCATTAGACCTATTGTTCAAATTAGCCAATCATTGAGGGGACAGACTGCCTTTAATGAAAGGGAACACCGAAATTACTTTCTGAATATGTAAAATCATCTTTATCTTAATCACAGAACCAAAGCACAAAGTATGCCAATCTTTTTGCGTGTCTGTATTAGTTTTATTGGCTCATCAAAGGGCAAACACTCTTTAGCATACACCGCTATCAGTGGGACAACACAACGCTAAAAACAATCTTGGTCGTGCAGCCAGAAACCTCCTTTCATGGTTTGCCATTTTATCGTGTCTACAACACGGCTAAATGTTTTTGAATAAAGCGATTTCAAAATCTTCATGAAGATATCCTAAATAGGGCACAATCCATTTTTTTCTCACCACGTGTCAGACATTACATATTGTTTTAGTTTTATATCTTAATAATTTTCATTTTTACGACAGTCTTAATTCAGTTTTACGACACTTCATTGCTAGAAGAAGGAGGTTTCACGAGCTAACTCTGAATAATAATAGAGCCTTATTCTTTTGGACCCTTACTCTTTCTGATGTTTTATGCTCTGAGGAGTGTCAGACGAAAAAGCTTTTAGCCAATATGTCGTAAAATGTTTGCTTCTTTCAAAGCCATTTTTAATAATTATAGAGTAATATCAACAAGATAATTTATTCAAACAAGATAATATATTTGTATGTGTTTTAGATACCAGGGTAGCTTTTACTATGCAACTTGTACCGTTGACGTTCCCGGCTTATCACCAAGGTTACCAAATACTCTTTCTCTTTCAATTACAAGAGAATAAGATCCAAGGGCATCTCCTGAGTTGACTAACCGTAACAAACAGAACTGCAAAATAGTTCTGAATAAAAGCAAAAGATTAAAAATTTCGAACAACATCTTATGCAAAAGAAAATCGGTTGCGATTAGCAAAGACTTGAACCGAATGCAAAAGAAACAAACAAGGTTGCCATGTTTATATCAGGACAAAATCCCGAGGACAGAATCGCATTGCATGCTTTAGCTTGGGTGCAAATTGACAAACGATTAAATTACAAACAAGTGGCTAAAAAATTCAAAATTGTCCACTGCATCAGATTTTACATGAAAATAAAGCTATGTGTTCAAGAAACGTTTCGAAATTCAATTACTGGATTGCTTTCCTAGGAAGGGCAGCAATCACAATATGAAAAATTTGCTTATAATCATGTTTGCAAGTCCTTTATATACAATGTCAACGAGACTACAATTTCAATAAAATTACACATTTGTTAATTCAATGAATATCAACAAAAACTATTTGGATATAAAAAGCTGAAAAAATGAAGGCAAATTCAACGGCATTCTGTAAATGTCAAGTCTGCCATGGTCGAGCATGAATTCGGTAGAAGTATGTTCCAACTGGCAACTTGAATCTGTTCTGCACCTACGAAAGGCAACATGAAACATAACATAAGCTATAACATATAAAAGATCAAATGACGTATGATTTAGAAAATACTTTATATAATGGAAAACGAATGTTATTGCAGTCTTCGGTAGAAAAGAACACAAGAAAGCAAGGAATTACTTTTTTGGCAACACAGTAATCTTGATCAGTTATATATGCAAGGAGCCATTCCCTGAAATGAAAACAAAACACCAAGGATAAGATGAGAATCCAATCAGCAATGCCATAACAACTACGGCATTGAGCAGGAGCATTCGTTACAGCCTATATGTTTGGCGTAGAGCGTTTGAAGATCGATTGCATATGGATACAATGTGTGTTATATATATAAACATACAAAGTAATATAACAAGCCTACTAAAACAAGGACACATATAATCGTAAACAGGCTAGGAAATCGTCGACGACAGCCTCTTTTGCACCCCTATAAATCCTGGAAAAAGTTTACGTAACGCGCAACTATCGTCGAATTTCGAATGTTAAGCACAGATTAAGGGGAAACGAAAACAAAAATGAAAGAACAAGTAAGAAATGCTTCGAATACCAAATTAAGACTTCACTGTACACATAATTGTTATTGAATACAAAAAGCGTTAACGTTTTTCCTTGAATAAAAGTCCAGTTTTCTAGGTATAGACACAAGATGCCCACGCGAATTTAATACGAATTCGACTGCACTCTGTAAAGTTTATAGCAACATCACTTTTGCGCAGAAACAACACCAGCTCTTAAAAGTAAAGGTGTGCTTGAAGAGTATAAAAAATGTACAGAAGGAGCATTTCTAGAGTAAAACAAAAGCTGTCTCCACGAAATATGAATTGTCCAGCCGATACACGATTTCTTTGACCTATGGTGAGGCAGAAAGATAAACGATGCATAAAAACATTATGAAAGTTGAATTATAAAAATTATAATATAAAAATAAACATTATAAAAAATTGAAAACATACCTCAGCTGAGAAGGATCGTCTACAACGGAATATAAACGAGGTTCAGTAACGAATTATGAAATATGAGCGAGGTTCAGTTGCGGGATTATGGTTGGTTTAGTAACGAAATACTAATTTATTCAAAAAGAAAACATTCACGCTGGCATTTCATATTAAGAAATATCTAACATTACTGAACATGAAATATATCAACGTCGAAAAACAATAAGAAAAAAAATTGGCTGAACAAGGACAAAGCGTCTTCACTTTATCAACTTCTGGAAGGCAAACAACTCATGACACAAAAGATCGAAGGAGAACAGCGAATTTACATCATTCAGATATAACTGAATAAAACGACTTGCAGAAATAGCCAAATAAGAATATATGGATGAAAGACTTCATCTGATTGTGACCAAAATAAAAAGAAGATTTAAGTCAACATGGGAAACCAACAAAGTGAGATTGGTTTACATATTTTGTGATAGAGCCAAATGCCGCGAGCAATTTGAAACAAGAAATTCGTATGAGCTGAAGCAGTAATGAAGGAGAGAGCAGTAAAAAAATCATAGGAAACCTGTGGTTAGTTTGAGAAGACTCTTTGAATCGGGATGAAGGAAGTACTTGGTGTCTTCGGTAGTAAGTACAACGTAATTGGATCTTTGCTCATCATAACACAGAATAACAAGGTCGTCCACTTTGAACCTAGGTTTGAGAAAAAGTAGCTATTAAAACAACAGTTGTGGCAGAACCTAGCTTTTAAAAAGGTATATTACAGTAGAAAAAGCATTTGTGCCATAAGTAATTACTAGAAGGTCGGCTGGGAGCACGCTAACAAACAATTTTTCACGTAAGAACGCCCCAGAACAAAAACAAATAAGTTTATTCCGCTGCAAAAACGAAAATAGCAGGCATTCAATGTCAGATTGCCATCATATGCAGATAAATAGTTTATGATTTTGTTGCTGCAAGAAAAAAAAGAACGTGAAAGTACGGTGCATTTGTGGCTACATACTGGCGAAAGCAGATTTTTTCTTGCTTGTCTGAATCGGGTGAATGCAGCAGAAACACTTGCAGTTTGTTCTGTGAAGCAAAAACGAATCGTTATGTGTTATTGCAGATTCAGGATCATCGCAAAATAAATTAAACTTATTGATATAAACGAAAGAAATTTGCTGAATATTCGGGAGTAATTATAAAAAGTCATCTACGTACATACAGACCATAGAATCTTGGAACTGACCCCAAGCACGCTATATCCCAGAACCTCGTCCAAGGTTTATAACCAGGATACCACTTGATACATAGCCACGAGACCACGTGACAAATATTACTATTTAAAACTTAATTATCACGTTATAGAGATAATTTCGATATGTAGGGATAACTTCACGTTCTAGTCACAGAAAGTACCTTACTGGCTATCTTTTCGTACTTAACAAAAACATTGAAATGTGTATTGAAAAGCTAAGATATATTCTTTATAGCTAGTTAAAGGAGTATTGTACATGTATTGCATTTCTCAGAGATAAATATCGGATAGTTGGATTGGCTGGTTGGGCAAAGAGAAGCAATTTTGAGCTAAGTTCTCAAAAAGTTGGTTAATAACTTCCGACATTTTGACAGCCTAAAAGGCATGCACAAGCCGCATGAACCACTGTGTGTTCCTGCATTTGATTGATCTAACGAAATACACCTTGCAAATTTAGACAAAGATAACTTACTACTTTCTCTTTCAAAGAAATGACTTCTTTATCTCGATCCTGAACCATCTGAAAAGATTCAGTTCATTAGAACCCCGTTTAAACGATGCTACATTTCACCCAAATTCACTCAACATCCATCAAATATATCTCGCACACAAATGTAGATATGTTCAAACTTTCCAGCATTTTGCTTAACAGTTTACCAATAATTTCTGGTTGCACTTCAATCAGAATTAAACAGAGCAGATGGCCTAGCATTTCCCCACGATGACCCATCTCGTATGTTCAGTTTCCTGAATACAACTTCACCTGACCTTGCCTTCTAGGTAGATAAGGTGTCAATTGAGTTTACAAAACCTCGTTCTTGTTCTTCCTACTTCATTTCCACTGTAACATTATTCTTTCTAAACTTTTAAAGCCAGGCAATTTGATTCCGTTCCGGAATAGCAACAAACAACGATAGAAAACAGCGAGAAAATGGGCACCAAAAATAATGCTACGGGATTCGTTTGCGCGCAGCCAGCAATGTTGGCTGAGTTGTTCAAATGAACTAGGGCACAACTTTATGTTTAGATAAAACAACAATTCACTCAGTATTGCATTAAGGACCCAGCATTTTGAACTAGTGCAAATTACACAAACATTTGAAAGACCCAGCATGGAGTTTAAATGACCGAATGTTGGGTGAAATGAAGGATCATTTAAACGGGGCTTAAAATTCTCACTTTTGTTAACAACTTTTTGAAATTGAGGATATTTGTTTTGCTTCGAGGCACTCTGTCTCCTATTGTTTTCAATACTTTATTCTGATATAAAATCCATATTCAGTTGAGGGTTGACGAATAACAATCGATTGTTGTCAATCAAAGACCACGTCGGCTGTTTCAAACCTCATGATCATATCAGCCAATCGCTGAAGAGACGAGCTGTCTTTAAAGCTGTTTCGGCCAAATGACTTTACAGATAAAATTTCAGCGCTTTACTTACATTGTACTGAAGCAAATCTGTGATTAAACTGAAAGAAAAAGACATAAAGTGGCAAATGCTGGATGGAAGATTACCTTTCTGAGTTGCAAAAGTTCATCATCAGGATCAGATTCACCTTTGATGGAACAGACAAGTTATCAAAAAGGAGTGAAAGTGTTCAAAACATACTTCTTTGAATCCCAAAGACAGGTTCACTAGCTGGGTTTCTTTAAAATCTAAGAGCCCCTGTTTAATCTGTACCGGCTAGGTCAGTGCTTAATTTGGAATAGCAAGGGAATTCTTGTAACGAATATGATGTTTGGGTTGAAATGATGAATATAATTACTAAATTTAGAAATAGCTGTCGATGACAACCTGAAGCTACAAGGCACGAGATCAAGGTTGGAAGCAAACGAAACCTGCAAACAATAAGTTCCCCTTGGCGTTACGGAAGTTTTTACTTTGATGGAGACTGCATCTACGAAAATGGAAACGTCACAAAAGTAATCTCATTCCAGAATAATAAGCAAATTGAAAACGGCAAAAGAGAGTTTCTGTGAAGAGAATCCAGAATTCCGTCTTGTAGTCAGGCTGCAAAATGGGGCCTCGTTCGGAATTCGGTAAAACTGTAATGCGCTTCATAGTTTGAGCTAAGGAAAAGGCCTGCACATTACCTTTCGTGTTCTGTTCATCTTTCAGTTTTTGGTTTTCCTAATCGAAAGGAATGAAATAAAACTTTATTTAATACGTTTAATGGAGGAAAAAAAGTATTAATAAGTTAGAAAAAACACGAAAAATCTTGAAACATCTGGAAATATGGATGCGTACCGCTTCGAGATCTTTTAATTTTTGCAGGAGTTTCTCCCATTCTAAAGCATCGATGCCTTCTCTGAAAGAAAAAAGAAATGGCTTGAATAGATCATCCTGGTGTGAGCAGTGAGTAGTGATGGAAAGATACGTAGAAACATAGATAGATGCAAATATTTACAAACACAGCATATATTGTACAAATGTTTTCTTATCATACTCTGTTTTTACTTATACTAAACTCCAAATGGAAAAATGCCTAACCTGAATATATCAAATCAAAACCAGAACACGTTTTTCCAAAATATGGGGATGTAATAAAATTATCGAAAACTGTTCAAAAATAAAAATAATGTCCACTCAATAGACATTGTATTGAGAGTTTGAAATAAACCAGGCAAGAAGTGAAAAAGCAAACACACAACGAAGATAAATCTTACTCAATTGAAGATGTTTTTGACAAAGACTGTTGTTTTTCGAATTCTTCAGCAAACTTCTGCTTTTCAACCTCACATGATAAGATAATTGACGATTTTTCTTTTTCTAATTCGGCTTTCAATTCCAATTTTTCTTTTTCAGCGTCTTCTTTAAGGGTATTTCGTTGTCTTTTGAAATCTTCAACCAGTTTCAAAGTCTCTGAACAAGATTTTTCTTTTAAGAAAGTCTTTTCCTTTTCAAAATTTTCAAATAAAGCAGATTTTTCCTTTTCAAATTCATTTTTTAGATCTATTAACTTAACATTACACATTTTATCGCATTTTTCCATTTCAATTTCAATCTGCCTTTCAAAATTTCCTCTTTCTTCTTCTAATATTCTCGACCATTCTTTATTTTCCCTGTCTCTTTCCAACTGACATTTTCGAACTGTTTCTTCAAAATAACTTTTCCTTTCTAAAAACTGCTTATTTAGCTCATCGTTCCGCAGTTCTAGATCTTTATATTTCGAACTAATTTCTTTATTGGCACTTTTATACCAAAGATTTTCATCTTCTAATGTTTTAAGTTGTTCATCTTTTTGTATCATTTCACTTTTTTGCATCTCAATTTCTTCTTTCAAAACTTTCAGAAGGCTCTCGTGCTCCTCCTTCGCTGCGTTCAATGCAAGATTCAAAGCTTTCTCGTGTTCTTCCTTTGCTGTACCTATTGAGAGCTGTAAATTCTTTTCATGTTCTTCCTTCGCAGCGTTCAATGCTGCTCGCAGGGCATTTTCATGTTTGTCCTTCGCAGCGTTTAATGCGACATTCAGTGCCTTTTCATGTTCCTCCTTCTCAGCGTTCATTGCCGCTGTCAGTGTCTTTTCATGTTCCTCCTTCGCAATGTTCACAGCCAGCTCTAAAGCTTTCGCATTTTCATGACCCAATGATAAATTCAAAGTCTGTGCTTTTTCAAGAGCCTTTGTAGTGTCTTCTTCAAAATCTATTTTATCTTTTATAAGAGACTCTATTGTTTCCCTAAAATCTTCCTCCTTTTTCTTCCATTCTTTCGTCATATCTTCAATTTTGTTCATTTCGAGATCTCTTTGGTGATTCAAAGTCTTGCTTTGTTCTTTTGCTTCATCCAAGTCCATTTTCAATTGTTCTATTGTCTTTTCGTATTCCTTCTCAATGTGTGCAATTAAAACTTTCTTTTCCTCCTCCCTTATTTCCTCCTGCCTCCTTCTTGATTGACTGTGTTCATCTTTTAACTCAGCAATAGATTTACCTTTTCCTACTAGCTCCCCCAAAATCTTCACATCATTTCTACAGCACTGTTTTTCATGAGGGAACAAATAATCTGAAGTTTCCATTTTCTCTCGTGACTGCTCAAGCTTATATGAAACAATAGACAATAATTTTGCTATAGCGATCTCTAGTTCCCTCGTCGGAGCGGTACTCTTTATGTTTTCCAAAAGCATAAAAATTTCCCTAGCACCATCTAAAACATGAATGCAATCCATATGCACAGCACTTCTATCATCATCCATGACGGGACAATCAACGGATTGCTCAGTTTTATCTCTTACGTTCTTGTCATCTTCTCGGTCATGTGTACCATCGACAAACTCCTGGCTTCTGTATAACCAGTCCTCCTTGGGGATCTTAGTGGATGCCTCTTCAATCAAATATTCCTTGGTTTGTCTCTCAAGCACTTGTCTCTCAGGCACATGTCTCTCTGTGACCTCCGACAGTTCCAACACACCCACGGTCTCTTCTGGATACTCCGACGCCCCGTCATCTAAGCCTTCTGCTGATCTAAACAAAGAATCGCTAATTTCTGAGCTCTGACTACTCTGTAGGCCTTCCAGTTCACTTGGAAGAGTCTTAAGCGACGATGGCTCGAAATCCCCAACGGGAATCTCCATTCCAATATCATCTAACTTCCAATCAATTTGCTTTTGTGCGATATCAATAGGCATATCCTCTTGGGATATCTCTTTATGCAACTGACTGACTGTCATCTTAGAAATTCCGTGATTCCCCGTCAGTTCCCTTAATCGCAAGGTCTCTACAAGTTTTGGGTTTGAATTCGGGTCACACAGTTTAGTTAGATTGGTCTGCGACAATCTTTCGCGAACGCACAAGCTTTCCTCAAGGGAATCGCCCAAACTGAGCTCCACCAGCAACTCAGGAACTTTACTTTGCAATAAACGAATGTCATTCACATCAATATCAGGAAGCATTTCGTCGAATATGCTTGGCGGAGACTCCTGAAAATGAAGCGCAACTTTAAAGCATATGATACAAATATGATTAAGCATATGCTAAGTAAATCTTATTGTGTATATATGCAAAAAAGTGTACTATTTTAGTACATATGCAAATATTTTGATATAAGCCAATGAGGTGAAAAATGGCGTGCAAAGACAGTAAAACGAATTGAAACAGCATTGATCTAAACAGTTACAAACTTGAACTGTATAGAGGCAGATTAGGTAAGCAACTGCAAGTAAACGTGGACATGTAAGGTAAGCAGTGAATGCATCAACAACAGACTTACAGCGAATTGAGACGGAATGTCTTCGAGACCACTGAACAAGCTGTGCAAAAAGTGATTCCCTGTTGAAATGATTAAACACCGTCAGCAAAATTCAGTTAGTTAATTCAGCAAAATTCAGATATCTGGGAGTGACGCACTGCGGGGGTGCACGGTAGATCGCTCGCCTCGGGGGTGCACGGTAGATCGCTCGCCTCGCTGAAGGAGTAAGAAGGGGATTGCAAACATGATTTATATTGTTCAAAATTGGTCCCAAAGGTTAGCAGCGAACAAAAAGATCTGCCTTCAAGTACTTGTCTATTGACAAAAAACATGAACTAAGTTAATTTACTTACTCGGGAATGAAATACCAATGCAACATAAAGGGCATAAAGCTCCTTCAGAAAAACTGCCATAGACATCAGAAAGGTCAGTCATGAGGCTACGTTCCCACATCATCGAGAGCGAGTTGGGCCGTTGGTGCATCGGCGCCAATCGCTCAACCTACGATATAGGGGTTACTAAGGGAAGTTACACAATAACCCCCAAACATGATTGATAATTGGGAGGGAATGGACAGGAAAAGCCTCTTTTCCCCACTAATAGCCGATGCACCAGTCCTACCTAATAGCATCAGAAAACTCTAAGAAGCATAAAAGATGCCTAAAGGTATGAGAGGTTTTAACGATGCCATAAAAGAAACTCAACATGCAAAGTTATACTGAAAAGGCGTTTAGCATAAAGAAACAAATTGAGGGAGGGAGGGCTGGGAAAATACAATAAGACAGCCTAGTTGTATTGTGGCTTCACCAAGGAAGATGAGACCCACGCTATGCCAAAACCTTAAATACCCCTAGATTAACCAAGGAAATGAAAACGCCACGAAACACACATCTTACCCTAGTTATATAATCAAATTCACAGGAGGCCGAAAGACTCCCCGCATTGCCCATAAACTAGTAGAGCAGATACAAGAAAAACGCGAGGAAGCGTGGCACAAGAAAACATAACGAAATAGTATTAACAACAATCTCATGCGATTTAGTTAACGCTCAAAAGCCCCTCGTGAAATTAACTCTGATTAAATTTCATTTAATCATCATTTAAAAAGTAAATGGCACTTTTGATCAATGTTTCGAACTGAATGTTACTACCAACGAACTGATGATTGACTCAAATAGCTAGGTTTTGGGTTGGCGCCTTAAACAGCCAAGTTTTTACTGTTCTTGCATTCTGCAAATGTATGGGTCAGAAATTTGTAACACTATGGTTTGCTAACTCTAATGTTTCAAAAATCTTCTCTGCATTACAAACCCTTTAAAAAAGCATTGGGCACTCACCAAAGACCTTCGCAAAGTTGTCTCTCTTCTCGATCTCTTCTGACCGCGTCCCTGAAGAGCTCAATGAGACATTTCTTCCCCACTTTTGTAAAAAGAATAAAACAACAACTGTATTAATTTCATAAATTCCTGATTAAATTTTCAAGTGAATTTTTGTTATGATGATCACAATCTACCCATTTTGCGCAAACCAAATAGGCCATGCCAACAGATAAAACTGCAATCTCTTTCGATTTTGATCAACATAGCTAATAAATAAAAAATTGTGAAGAAATGTCTACACTGGCATAAAAAGCTGTAGAACAAAAAATAAATGTCTTAGCTCTTTTAAAGCTAGAAAAACGCTTTTCTTGGATATATTCAGTGATTTTTACATACTTGTGCTACTACATGTGTTTGACGTATTACAAGGATTAGATACACCCTTATTAGACAAAGAGGGGCAAAATTTCCAAAAACTAACTTGGCATCCCCACTGGTGGAAAAAACGTTCACGCAAACTTTATTTTGTGTAAGCAAGAAAATTCACTTTGGCTAAAAGAAATCTTGGTCCGTTACCTCGAGAAACTGTGCTGAGAAGCTCTTTCTGCGCAGAATTTCCAAAACTGCTAACACATACATCCTTGGAGCCTCAAAAACTTGCTCTAGCACCTCCAGTCTAAAACAAATGGCCAAAATCAACAATAATCTTTAAAGGACCATAAACAATAATCTTTAAAGGGCCATAAACAATAATCTTCAAAGGGCCATAAATAATAATCTTTAAAGGGCTATAAACAATAATCTTTAAAGGGCCATAAATAATAATCTTTAAAGGGCCATAAATAAAAATCTTTAAAGGGCCATAAATAATAATCTTCAAAGTGCCATAAATAATAATCTTGAAAGGGCCATAAATAATTATCTTTAAAGGGCCATCAATAATAATCTGTAAAAGGCCATAAATAATAATCTTTAAAGGGCTATGAATAATAATCTTTAAATGGCCATAAATAACAATCTTTAAAGGGCCATAAATAATTATCTTTAAAGGGCCATCAATAATAATCTGTAAAAGGCCATAAATAATAATCTTTATAGGGCCATTAATAATAATCTTTAAATGGCCATAAATAAAAATCTTTAAAGGGCCATGAATAACAATCTTGAAAGGGCCATAAATAAAAATCTTTAAAGGGCCATGAATAATAATCTTTAAAGGGCCATAAATAATCATCTTTAAAGGGCCATCAATAATAATCTGTAAAAGGCCATAAATAATAATCTTTAAAGGGCTATGAATAATAATCTTTAAATGGCCATAAATAACAATCTTTAAAGGGCCATAAATAATTATCTTTAATGGGCCATCAATAATAATCTGTAAAAGGCCATAAATAATAATCTTTATAGGGTCATGAATAATAATCTTTAAATGGCCATAAATAAAAATCTTTAAAGGGCCATGAATAACAATCTTGAAAGGGCCATAAATAAAAATCTTTAAAGGGCCATGAATAATAATCTTTAAAGGGCCATAAATAATCATCTTTAAAGGGCCATAAATAATAATTTTTAAAGGGCCATAAATAATAATCTTTAAAGGGCCATAAATAATAATCTTTAAAGGGCCATAAATAATAATCTTTAAAGGGCCATAAATAATAATCTTTAAAGGGCCATAAATAATAATCTTTAAAGGACCATAAACAATAATCTTTAAAGGACCATAAACAAAAATCTTTTAAGGGCCATAAATAATAATCTTTAAAGGGCCATAAACAATAATCTTTAAAGGGCCATAAATAATCATCTTTAAAGGGCCATAAATAATAATCTTTAAAGGGCCATAAATAATAATCTTTAAAGGGCCATAAACAATAATCTTTAAAGGACCATAAACAAAAATCTTTAAAGGGCCATAAATAATCATCTTTAAAGGGCCATAAACAATAATCTTCAAAGGGCCATAAATAATCATCTTTAAATGGCCATAAATAATAATCTTCAAAGTGCCATAAATAACTATCTTTAAAGGGCCATAAATAATCATCTTTAAAGGGCCATAAATAATCATCTTTAAAGGGCCATATATAATAATCTTTAAAGGGCCATAAATAATCATCTTTAAAGGGCCATGAACAATCATCTTTATAGGGCCATAAACAATAATCTTCAAAGGGCCATAAATAATAATCTTTAAAGGGCCATAAATAATCATCTTTAAAGGGCCATAAATAATAATCTTCAAAGTGCCATAAATAATAATCTTTAAAGGGCCATAAATAATAATCTTTAAAGGGCCATAAATAATCATCTTTAAAGGGCCATAAACAATCATCTTTAAAGGGCCATAAACAATAATCTGTAAAAGGCCATAAATAATAATCTTTAAAGGGCCATAAATAATAATCTTTAAAGGGCCATAAATAATAATCTTCAAAGTGCCATAAATAAAAATCTTGAAAGATCAGAAATCAGAAAATATAATCTTGTGTTTGCGTTTTTCTGCTTGGCCTATTTAGATCCACAACTGGGTATATATTTTCCATCGTGCTCTTTCAGACTCTTATTCTGCTGTTTTATGTTCTGAGGAGTGTCAGACGAAAAAGCTTTCAGCAAATATGTTACAAGACGTTTGCTTTTTACAAAGCCATTGTAAAAATAAAATCAATTGAGATCTTTACATCTGATCAAACGCACCTTCGGTTCATTTTTCTTAGACTCTCGTGGAAAACCAACAGTTTGCTATCATAGTTGCAAATCGAATGCTCCACGAACATGACCCATCTGAAAAGCAAAGCTACAGTTACAACAGAATCATGTGCAATGCAACAATGAATTCAGCGATAAGGCATGCAAACTGTATGTGCAATTCACTTGGCATTCCTAGAATAGACTACGAGAAGACCAGCCGGTGTACCTACCTTAGTCGTGCATGCAGATTGGTAGACAACTCGTCTTTCGCTCTAGTACACAACGTACAAATATCCCTAAAGAGAAACAAAATCATTATATATATATTTTGCAACAGAATACCAATAATAATAAAAACATTTACAGTTATATTGCCGAATGTTGTTTGATTTATCAATACTATATTGTTCAATATAATAATTTACATGATTCCTTTTCATTAAATGAGTTTTTCGAGTGAGTAATCAAAGACACTCGCAATTCGATTCAGTTTAAGTGGCTATACAGAGCTGTGATTAGAAAGAAAATTAAAATGATAGCAGCCCTAATGGCGCGCCGCATTCAGTACTTGAAGAGCAATTGTTGGTTGCAGAAAATCTGTCAAGCAGATTCACCGAAGTTAAGACAAACGTGAACAGATTCTAATGAAGCAGAAAAAGGAGAGAAATTTATATACAAAACAATAGCTGCGAGAAGATCGCTAGTGACGAAAATTCTGGCAGAAACGAGTTATGTTCATTTGCCATTTATGAAAAACGAAAGGCAGTGATAACCAAAATGATTAGACTTAAGAAATTTAGAAGGTCATTTATCGGCCGCAAAAGGAAATTTATTACCTCAACTGTCGCTGATTTTTTGCCATCACAATCAGCTGTTTTCGATGGCTGATACACAGGTCAGGAAGAACAGATGCGTCACCAATATACTCCGCTCTTTTTTGGTTTTGCTTGAATCCCTTTAGTAGAATAAGGAAATACCATGAATATTTTTAAATCTTGCCCTTCAATAAAGGTGCACAAAGATGCGGAAAATCAACAAGGTACCAATCAGATAAGAAATGGCACCGAAAGGCGGATACTTGACTGAAGTAAACATTTTTGCCTGACCATCTTCAGGGAAAGTTTTTATTTCATCATTATTATTGTCGATAAAGATAATGTTGTTCTCCCAGGATATCGTATTAAAAATTTCAGCTCCTTATTTTTAGCTTTTGCTTGAATAAAAATAGCCTGGAAAGGTCCCCGACATTTCGGGGAATATTATTCAAACACTTCAGAGCCGAAAAGTGAAAACCTTCCGATGTATATTCTAAACCGTACCATAGAGTGTGATAAGCCATGCAGTTCCTTGCTCTGTAATATGAATTCGTGACTCTTTGCTGGTACACATTTGTTGGTATTTCTGGCAAAAAAGTCTACGGATATCTGTACTCAGGCGTAGATAAAAAAATGCGAGAGGAGGAATTTTACGTTCAGCACGATACCCTGGTTCATATTGTAGGAAGAGTCAAGGGAAAAGAAATCTTTGGCTTACATGCTAGATTTCCACTATATCGTACCGTTTTGTAGTACAAAAGAGACAATTAAGCGACAAAAAACCTACTTGAGCCATGTCTGCCTGCTCTTGAACGAGCTGCTGTGCAACTAATAACCTTTGCTGTAAGCTTGATAACCTGTCGTCCAATCCTTTTATTTCTTTCATGCCTTTATTTTCACTACATTCTGTAACATGAAATTCAGGGTAATCATGTGAACAAACAAATGTTGTCTTGTGATCACATTAGGCTTGAAACTCGGAGTTGCAACTGAAAATTTTCCTGTTCTATTCACAAAATGTGTGTACAGCTCTGTCAATACAGCATCAAGCACATTATGACAGAGCGGTAAACAGTAATTTCGATAACAGACGAACAAAGATATGCATCAAACTTATTTAACAAATGCAACAGCCAAATCTTATCTATTTAACAAGCAAAAAACTTAATGATTAATTTATTCAAAAGAAAAGCATGATATATGCAACAAACGAAAAGATAGCAAAACGAACCTAAAACCTTGTGTGCTTCATTCATCAATGTCTCCAAGATTTGGGTATCAAACTAAAAAAGGAATAAACTTGTTATGACAAAATAAATATTATTGTTTTTTAAGAATATAGGATATGTTCATCTGGTTTTTATTGAGTTTCAGTTTGGAAAATCAGCAATGCTGCTGAAGTGCAACCCTTTTTTAAAATTCCAAATGAAATAAAAACAACTACCCAACAATGTTTTTAGAGCAACACAAAGTTATGATTCAGTTCAAATTACCTGGTACAAAATCTCCTTGCATTGCCCTACCAGTGTCTCTAATGATGTATTTTGCTCCTATAAAAGAAAGCTTTCAACAATCATCAACATTGCTGAGATATTCACGACACAATACCAGACTTGATGTATAACAAAACTGTAGAATACCATAAAGAGATATCAATGAAAGTAGTCAAAGTCTCCAGTAAAATGTAGTCAAGGACTTGCCTTACTGTTTATCCAATCAAGCAGGCAAAGTTCTTTTGAAGCAAAAATTGCTGAACTTTTTGTTAAGCAAGACAGCACAGGAATTCTGCTTAAGAGTGATATGACGTCATCAAACCTAGAAACAGAAGCAACCACTGGGTATATCACTTGAAATGGTCATTGTAATCATGGTCATGGCGATCACAATGATTCAATGATATATCAACAATTATTTACAATCAATCGACAATTACAATCAATTAATAACAAGAATTGTTTATTTTAAAACTCACTTGTCAAGCATATCAAGGTATTGCTCACGAGTTGACAAAAATTTGTGATACTGATCTTGGAACACTTTGGCATGTTTGTTCAATGCCCTAGAAGAAAAATGCATCAATCTTACAAATACAAATACAAGAGATAATGACAAAATGAAACAACTAGAATAACTTTTCTACAATTTTTAACTTCAAGCACAAAGTTACCTGGTGATATTTTCCAAATTTGAAACTACAGCTTGCCAGCCTTGTTGCTGTAGTTGCTGATTTGCAATAAACTTTTCACAGGTTTGGCCAAGTTCCCTTGCAGACAAATGAAATTCCTTGAAAACAAACACCAGATATCAGAAAGACATGCAAAGTTTTCTTGTGGGTGTTCACATGTGAATGGAGTAGTTAAAAACACAATCAAAAGAAACTTTAGTTTCAATCAGGACAGGCAAGATCCAAATTTACAAGAAAAACTTAACGCGATGAAATTCCAAGGAATTGGAATCTGTTTTCTCAAAAGACTGGCATCAATGATTTGATTTAACAAATTCTAAATCAGACTGAAAAAGCCACCGAATGCTACATTCCAGATGTTCAGAAAGTAAACAGAGCACAAAATTAGGGTTGTATTTACATAATGAAAACATTAGCTTCCGAACGTTTTCCAAAAAAAACTCACAGATGCAAGTGATGCACGTGCCACTAAGGTTTCAATGCTTGGGGGCAACTGAAGGCATTTTTCAACTTGCTGCTCTAGTGAAAGCTCTAGGATGAAAAGAAGTGAGGAGAAAAATTTCAAACCAGTACTAGAGCACATTCCAGTCAAAGCAAAATAAATCCTTAACAAAAATCACAAAAATTATAAAATTTTCAGTTATTCATACCTGAAACTACAGGCGATGGAGATATTGGAGGCTGTGGACTCTCAATGGCAGACTTGCTGAATAGGAAAATGGGATTTGTTTCCTAAAAGACAATAGAAGATTGGTTGGTGAGTTATTTTGTCAAGAAAAACTCAACCAGGGTAAGCTTAATTAAGTCTAGTTTTATTAGCAATGACAACAGCAAGGCTGAAAATGGAGTATGCAAGCTTAAAAAGAAGTTTTGGTAAGAACAATGAATGCAAATTGCATGTACAAAGGCAATAATAAGAATGGTATTAGATAAAAAGTTGCTTAATCAAACAGTCATCTGCATCTAGCGTTAGAAGGAAACATTTGTAAGCTCCAACCTTCCAACAAATATTAAACAGCATTTTAAAGGAATGAAAGTGCAGAAAGTATATAACAAATCAAAAAACTTCTGCATAAAATTTACGAGATTTAATAGAAGATCTGAAAAATGTGTCCTTCATATCAAAATGAAATATCGCATATCCTTGAATTGGCCCCCTCCTCCAAAAAGCCCCCCTTGAATAAACCCCACACTAGAACTTCAAATTTTCAATAAGTCTCCCCCCCTCGGATAAGCCCTCACTGATACCGTACATCATAATTTCATAAGCCCCACTTATACAGGCTACCTTGAATAGGCTCCCATCCAAAAAAAATAAAATATAAAATAAGCCCCCAGTGGGCAAATTCAAGGAATTACTATAATGTTGAGAACATCATGAAGTTACAATCCTTGCTAAAAGTCCTTGGACAGTATTCCTTATTGTTAGAATTTTTCTTTTGGGAAATTACAGTTTTACTTATACCTCTCTCCCAGATAACCAAAAATATTGCTGGTTGTAGAGTAGAATATCATAACTATCCAGCAGGAAAACTTGGACAAAACAAAAGTTAACAAACTGGACAAAAGCAGGCCTGGCTGTTTGAGGTGAGCCATAGCTCACGCTAGCCTCTGTGCTCCGCTTGCAACTTGAGACATGAACATGAAGGAAAAATTGCTCCCCCAAAATTTTCATTCATTTGCCCTTTTTGCATTCAAAGAACCCTGAAAAGCGTGTAAGGTTTAATTGGTCTATTTCTGTAACATCCATTTCTCACCTGTCATTTTTTGTCTGGCCGGTGGTTTTTGTTATGGTAGTCACAAACTTCAATATATTTGGAAAAGGATAATTAAGCAAAATATAAGTTTGTAGAGCTTAGAACTTTTCAACCTTATGAAAACAAGCATATTATTGGTAGGAAAGTCAAAGAAATTGTCAACTGGGGGATACAATAAAAGAGCAGGTCCCTTCCAGCATTAAAAGCAGATGCGTTTGGAAGAGCAGACCTGGATGCTAATGACATGGGTCAAAAATTGGCTGCAGTTTACCCAGACTTTTAGCATCCTCTAGAAGTCAATACTTTTTTCTTTAGTATCTAGGTAATATAGCAACAAAAGATCTTCATCAATTTTCATTAATTTGATTAAAGTTGATGAAGTTGCAAAAGGTATTTGACTATTTAATATAATTTTCTCTAAGAAATAAATTCCAAAAAATTGTTTAATACATACTGTTCCAGCACTTTTGTAACTGGCTACTCTGCTTGTTGGGTTCAAGGGCTCACCATTGGCAATCATTAAAACTTGTTTACCAACTGGGATTTGAGTAAGAAGGAAAACTGCCTCCATCAATTTCCCTACACTTTGATAATGTAAAAAGGTTAATGGTAAGCAAATACGGATAGAATACATAAATGGACTGATTTTTATTGATCAGAAAAAGTGTTTGAACAAAAATATCCCTAATTTCAGAAATGCTGAAAGCTCACACAAAGCATATATGTTGCAATGAAATTACTGAATTATTATCAAAACAAGAGATTCTTGTGCTTATTGAATCAAAGGAATACATGGAATCAAAGGTTTGACAAATTAAAGCTTTACACAGTCGGATACTTAAATTATATAAATTGAATTTGCCAAAAATTGATCACATAATCCAAGCAAATTGAATCACTGAAGATGGCAGTGTCAGCTTGTCAAATTTGGGTTTCAAAAAATCCAAACTGCTCGAGGATAATGTTCGAAGATAACACAACTCTTTGCATTCCGATTCAGCAAATTCCAAGTAAAAGCTCATTTCTGCTTCTTAAGAAATCTAATCTGCTAAGACCTCTCAAATTCAGGTTGATCATGAAATAAGATAAAATGCAATCATCTATAGCGTAGATAGCTTGAAAAATAATTCTTAAAAAAGACAAATAAAATTATAAAAAAGTTACCTCTCAAGGGCCATTTCCATGTCAAAAGTGAACATGGTGCCTGTATCAACCAAAAAAACATGCAGTTTTAACATCTTGAAAAATTCCAGCAGCTCTCAGTATAAACAAAGTAAGCCAGTCTTAGTTTGTCAGAACTTGCACAATTCTCATTATTTGTTCGGCTTGAAACATTTTACTGAGCTGCACTCCTGAAAAAAAACCAACGAAAATACATGTTTTCATGATTTCACAGCAATTTTTTTCTGAAAATACAATTACCTCCATCCAGTGGCAGAACAGGCATTGGTAAGCAATCCTCAGGGCATACAATCAAGTGTGGAATCCATATAGCAGGCCTTGCTCTAAGTAAAATGAAGGTGCTCTATAAAAAGAGCCCCTTAGAAACTCTAGGCGCTCTATTTCGCACCTCTAAGTAAATTTCCTCGAGAGCATCCTTCGAGAGCTTTAGGAGATCGAGAGCTTCATATCGAATGCTTCGGAAGAGTGTTAAATATGAAATTCAACGGTGATACCAGAAAGCACCATAATATAAAATAACAAAACATGCAACAAACACTATGTTAATATAAATAAAGAAATATAATAAAACAAAGTCGCAAAATTGTTCAGATTTTTCTAGATATGTAAGTTGCCATCATTGATGAGCTTTTATCAGTGTCAGTATCACTACTGTTATGTTCAGCTTCACATATTGCTTCATCAAAATGCATGGCTTAAAATCGAACATTTAACTTTGTTTCCTTTTTTCATGTTATCCATTCTATAAGAAACGCTAAAACATCTACTACTCGCAAAAGCAAATGAAAAATGAGAAGCAATGCGATAATTTGGACGGAAACATGATCGCTGATTTGCACAGGCGATTTTTAGTTATTAAAAAAACAGAAAATAATATATACTTCAATAGAAGATTAACGCTTGCTCAAAAATCAAATAAATCTGCCAGAGAATACGCTTGATGGCCTGTGTCCTTGATGGTTATTAGAGGGTTATTAGATGAAAAATGATATCGAAAACCCAACGTTGAATTTGCTGACTTTTTTCTAAAGGGGTAATCTTACGCAAATCATAATATTGCGATAATTTGCGCTCCAGGCGTGCGCGCTCGATCAAGCACCTTTCCAGGCAAGGCCTAATATAGCTTACACCAGCTATATCTGGCATTGAAAAATGATTTCCCATCGTATTTCTATTGTTAAATGGCATATATCTGGCATGAGCTTTACATGGATTTCACCCTGTCATACATACAACTGATGGTCCACACAATTTTGGCCTTGATAAAGGCCTACCATTTGGAAACCGTATTAGGGTATATTTTGTAAGGGATTCTGGGAAAGGCATACACTGAAAACCATTAGTTCATTCATAGAGTTGGCATTAAGAAGCAGATTTGAAGACAGAATGAGATTGTTTTTCACAGAAGTGCATAAATTGTTATTGTTTTTGTAAAATGGAAGCGGCAGTTGGCAAGCCGAGACATGACTTTCTCAAGTCAGGTTTTTACAGTCCTCCAATCAACACAGGTCAAATGAAATGAATTTTGGCAATAAAACTAGACAAGACACAATAACTATGAACTTTGTTCTGAAAGATACCAAGAATAAAACAATACGGACAGGAGTTATTCTAAGAAAAAATCTCAACACCGCAAATTCAATGACTGGTACTTTTTTGTGAAACTTTTAACTCTACTTTTGAGAAAAATCAAAAAACAACAGTAGTATTAGAGCCACTGACCACAAAAATGAGTCAAGTCTTTCCTTTGACTTCAGTGTTGTATTGGCATTGTAGACGGTAAATGTTGAGGGGATATAGAGGATGGTGTATTTTTACCCAATAAGGAAGCAAATGCTCAAAAAGCAGTAAAACTCGGCCGAATAACAGGGCACAACCAACTAGTAGAATCTATGCACATGAGTGGTGGGAATTGAGAAATGTTAAAAACCCTGTTAGACAAATAAACATGCAAAATGCACGATAGAATATGCCTGGATCCGGAACTGGTATTACAGCATTAAGATGTGTTCATCCTACGAATGCCACAATGTAGAACTGGTGTATTTGGTTATGCCTCTCAACATCAATAAACGTGTATATCCATATTTTATGGAAGCATAGACTAGGGTGCTAGCTGCAGTGCTACACTCGTGGGACATTAGGAGGCTTATAAGTGCATTAAAATAATCTTGAAAAAATCCATGTGAAGTAGAATCATCATTAGATCATTATCGGTACCACACAAAATCTGTACATACATGTACATTTTAATTCTACAGTGCTCAAAATGTGGAGCCTTTGTCCCAGGGGGGTTTACCTTCGAGGGAAACATAGGGTTGTGCCTTCCGCAGTAATTTTTCTTGACCCTCTTCTGAAAAAACTTCTGTAAACATGAAACCTTTCCTGGAATAAGAGCTTTAATTAAAAATTTGAGCTATAAGTGAAGAAAGCTATAGAATGGACAACGATTTAATTTTAATGACAAATCTGACCTTTTCTGGAAAAAGCATTTTTGGTGGGCATACCTCTGTGGAAAAAAGTATTTCAGCTAAAAGTTGACTCTATTGGCAGGAACATCCCCGGCTAGTCATTGTATTAAGTAAACCCTGGGAGCGCTTGTCGAAATGTCACTTTTATTCTGTGATAGAAGGAAAAAACTAGGAGAGAAAGGAAAAGGCAGCGTTGGAATCAAGAGGTGTACACGGATGCAGAAAATGTCAATCTGAGACGAACACGAACTGAACACTGAAAAATGAAGAGTCAAGATCAAAAGTAAAAATGTTTTGAGATTCAGGACATGCTGACTATTTACTATTTCTTCAGCTGTGTTACATTTTTTTGGGTCGAGATTCTTGTAGTTTTAACAAACAATTTCCTATATTTTGCGAAAAAAATTTCCCAGAGGGTCGATTTTTTACAACACCACAAAATAAAAATCACAACATCACAAATAAAATTTACAACACCTTAAAACGGTAACAAAACCACGTTAGAATAACCCCTGGAAACGAACACAGATTATTATGCCAGCCTTTACTTTATTACGTTTTAGACTTTCTGTTTAATCTTACAAGGAGCTTACGAACAGCTTACACGCAGGCCAAGAGATGGTCTGTAGTGAATCTAAACAAACCTTTCTCTCTGCTTTTAGAGCACCATATTACTGACACTTCCTTGTATCGTCCATATCATTAAAACAGCATTTTTTACGTGTTACTGGAGCTTCCAATTTCTGACATTTACGAAATCGCCGCATAGGAACGAGGCATATTCAACATGTTTTATTTTGAAATATTTGGAAATGTTATAGTACCGTAAATCCTCGAATTAGCCACTGATGTGGAATTAGCCCCCTAGGGGCTGACTTATTGACAACGTATAGTTCTCTAATAAGCACCCTAAAAACCAATAATGGATATGGGAATCTTTTTATGACAACGAGAAAGCGGATCCAAAGCAGATTCCGACGTGGGGCATGCGAGAAAAATAGTGGGGTTTAAAAAAGTGGGAGGGGCTAAAACCGAATAATAGTTAATTACTGGTAGTTAATTACTTAATATTTGACATCTTTGCAAAAAGTAGGGGAGGGGAGGCTTAAGCCCCCTCAGTCACCGTGGCGTAGGGGGCTGTGGGGAGGGGGGAAGAATCTATCAACTGAAAATATCTCAAATAAGGAGTATAGGCCAGTATAGAATGACTTTGAACCGGGGACGCCTGCACAAGAACCTGAGGCGGGAGGGGCATTTGTGTTGGTAGAAAAATTGTCGAATTTTTCTACATAATAGAATAATAAACATAATAAGATATTGATGAATATATGCCACCAATACAGCTGGGTTTTGTACCATCAAAGATTCTAAACATAGAGAAAAAGTTGATGAAATTAAATTGGTATTGAATGGCCTTGTCACTATTCACAATGTTTGGTTTTATAAAAACCAAAATTTGGTGTATAAAAAAATATAAAAATTTGGTGTTATAGATGGGCTGGTTGTAAAATTTCAATATTGCCCGTTCTAAAACCGATTGATACTCTTTAGGTTCCTGAAGTACTTCTAAGGGAACGAGATTTTTATCTATCTAATTTAATCTTTGCCGCTCTCCTTTTGTGGCCCACCTTGTCACAGACAAGCTGTTCAGCCTTTGCCTTTTTGTGCTGGTGTTTTCATTTTTGCGATATTTTCAAATGGAAATTATCATAACGACGGTGATAAAAGTGGACATCAATTATCGTTAAGATTACATAACCTTTTTTTAGAAGTCGTATACTTCAGGGCACTTCTTGCCCCCTCTGCCCCTCTTCGAAGGAAAGGATTTTGCTTGCAAAAAACGCTAATCTCTAATAAATGCCCCTATCCAAACGCTACCCTAAAGCCAAAGAAGTTACTGAACGCCTGAGTGTTTAATTTTGTTCAAATACAGATATGATGCCCTGCTCATAGAAACTGAAATAAGAAAACATTCCGCGGCTGATAATAATTTTCGCTGCAATCATAATCTTTTCATTTAATTTCAAGTTTATGGGAAGAAAACTATTGTTACTGTGCAACATGTAAGATCTAACTACAGTAAAATGGGAAAATTTTAAATGAAAATTATAAAAAAATTGCAAAGCTGCAGTTCACAAAGGACAATTCCTTTAATTCAAGCTATCAGTAGCAAATGATTTTCAGCACAAAGAAAAAAGAATAATGAAGTTTAAAGATAAGAGTTAAGCCGACCCTACTTCAACATTGGTTTATTTACTTCACTCTGATGAAGCCCTGTATGCCGTGGCGAAATATTAGTATTCGTTCTATTCAATTTATTTTGAAAATTTCTCTCATTGGATTCTCGTCGCCGTTTTGGTTTGTTCCCGAATTTTATCATTGGTTTATTTGACGACCCTATTACAAGAGCTGTTCTATTTTCAAACACGATTCATGGACAAATGTTCCCAATTAGATTTGGCATAAAAACTTCCTGCTAACCGAAATCAGTGCACAGTTTTGAATTGTAAGACATCGGCATGTGATTCAGTTACTGCTGGTGTTCCTCAAGGCTCCTTTTTAGAACCACCTTTCTTCCTTCTATACTTCAAGAAATTGACGGATAATCGTAAGTGTAATGTCAAACTATTTGTTGATGATAACCCAGTCTTCAACATTGTTCACAATGATAACATGTATCACGATCTTGACATCATCAAACATCGGGCACATAATTAGCGCATGCAATCATCTATCACACCTGTTCAATAATACCACAGTCATTAAAATGAATGAACATGATAACCCTTTCACGAACCTCTTTTCACGTTCAATGGAATGATTTCAAAAGAGTGACAATAAATATCAAAGCAACGACATATAGTGTGAGCATGACTGAAGGTCTCTCACTAAAGTTCTCTTCTATTTGGTAAATTTGCTGGCTGAACTCTTATCTTCTAACATTCTAAGCGTAGCGCTCTAAAACTGTATTATCTGTTGTGAAAAACATGTTCCATGTAAACTTGTAGAAGAACGAGGCTTTCTATTTGCTGTTTCATCCTGTAGTGTAGCGAGAGGGGCAAGGGGGCGGCCCCAATACTCAAAAGTTGGTGTCTGAGAAAAATGCTGCAATAATATAAGTACCTCAAGTGCAAGCAATAGTTTTTTAAATTTCTGTCTTCCATTATTAGCTTTTAATTTTTTCATAACTTTTACTTAGGTTTCAGATTTAAATTAAGAATTAAAGAATTAAATTCAAATTAAAATTAATTAAAATAAATCAAATACAAGTTTGTGCAGATAGAGCTTCCTCGTCTGACACAATTCAGAATATAAACGTGATATGAATTGTGAAGAAAATAGACAGATGTAGACTGGGGTCATCAACAAAAAGCTACATTACATATGGCGGTTATTGTGTTTGATTTGGTTTGTTTGCCCCTCCAATCTTCCAACCCTGGCTACGCCACTGGCTCCTTCATAGTAGCTCGAGCTGCTGTTACAACACTCTGTACCAGATACGGGCTAGGATGCTCTTTCCTTGCGGGGAAATCCAGCTTTGGAGACCCAAAATTAAGAAGGGTGTCACTATTTAAGAAGGATAAGGTTAAGGCCACAACCTCGGCTGGCGGCCAAACTATTGACAGCTGGAATACGCACAATATCCATTTACAACAAAGGGCCCAATGCACAGCGGAGAGACAATTTTTTATGATTATGCTTCATAGTTATATCTGGTTTGATTTTGACATTATTATGTAAAACCGCAAGGAATTGAGCACGGTTTTACTGCAAAACAAAAGCATCAAGAATGATTTGCAAGGGACAGAAGTGATTTTCATTTAGGTGTTTCAATATCATACTTTAGACCTTCAACAATTGGTTAGCGTGCTTAAATAATTAAAAATTAAACAATTGAAAATTAAATGGAATGTAAAATTAGGGTCTTTTCTCCAAAATATAATAAAAAAGTCCAGCACTTTCAACCATTCTTTCCTACATAGCCAAACCCTGCCCTTTCCCAATTTAACCATCTAGATTCCCCCCATCCTTTTCAAATCGCGCAACTGCTGCACTTTCAGTTACTGGTGTATGGAAAGGAACATATATCCGAGGCAGAATCTCTTCTCTGCAGGCACCGCGCAGCCATTGTGTTAAACAACTTACAAGGGGGTTTAACCAAAGTAAGTTCGTAGGTTGTTCGCAGAAACGTACACGATAAATACGGCAAAAACTGATAAATACGGCAAATTTCAGCACTCTTTCAACATGTTTGATTAGGTCAGACTTTCTGAAAGGTAATGTTTCATTTTATTTTTGAAAGATACTTTGTTGTTGGCTTTCTTCAAATCTAGTGGCAAAGAGTTCAAAATTTAATACCGTTAAATGTAAGAAAACCAGCACATCATGGGCGAAGCCAAAAAAACTTTTAGAGGGGTAAAGAAGTGTTTTTGCTGACATAAAGGGCGTGTCTCACTTTTTAAGGGTGTGGCCAAAAGGTAAATACTCTTATATGCTGACAGAAAAGTTGATATCGTACATTTGCTGCAAAAAGGTTCCAGAGTGAGTACAAAATAGCTTCTTTTGCCCGGCAAAAATCCTTAATGTACCGACGGACAAATTGTTGGGGGGTACCGCACCCCCGTACGGCAACGCACCTGCAGCACATGCTATAAACATAATTTCCCCATTTTTTATCTCTAATGTAGTTATTTTTCTTTATTCATTTCCTTTGCTGGCTTTGATAGCTCTATCTTGAGTTTTTTTTCACTTGTCTGCCAGCTGATTTAATTGTATGTACGGTTGTTTTTCTTCAATGTTCTTATTGTAATTTTGAATTTGATAATTGAATTTTGACTAATTTGCTTAAATTACGTAACATGTAATTAATAAATTTGCTGAAAAAACTGGAGTTCTTGAGTTGGAGTTCTGGGGGTACAATCCGCAGGTGCACATCAGCAGCAACGTGACATCGTCTATTTGATTCTGCGAAAAACCGCGGGATCTGACGTAATAGCCATATGTGAGTCAAGCCGCGTGTTGGAAGCTTCTCTGCATTTCTGAACAACTTTCCGCATGTGCTCGTTGGAATGATTAGGTGATACCAGCTTGGAACAGAAAGGAAAATATAGAAAAAGGTAAATGAAATTGTTTAATTTGACTTCAAGTCCTTTTCCTTGAAATATGTCCACCAAGTTTTAAAAGTAGTGGCTGTTTGAAGAAAATAAGCGACTTAGCTAGACGCCAACCTAGCCTTATAGGCCCAAATCGCCAATCATATCACATTTAAACCAATGCCAGAAACAATTTTCTGGAGAGTATATTCACTTTGTTCTGCAAAATCAAGATGGAAAATTCTTAAGTGAAACTATTTCAAGGACGTTTAGGGATTCGTTGGGTTTCGTGTCAGTGAAGACTAGATTTAACAAAGTTTTTTTCTTGGGTGGGTGTTTCGAGTTACCATGATGGCAGACAATTTGCTATTTCTTGTATATACATTTTTTATCTTTCCTGAATGAGCACATATAAAAAACCAAATGTGTGTGCTTAAATAACGTATAAATGTGAATTAAACTTTGAAAGATATCGCACTAGACTAGAGACGGCGCAACGAAATTGAACATGGGGGTGGCTAAAAATCAAGTTTAGTGACATGGAAGGAGCCACCAGTTGAGTCCGACGCACAAGAACATTTTGAAATAAAGCCTTCTGGGTGATTCCATAAATGAAATTTCATACCAATTTCTATCAAGCACTCGCATCCTAAAGAAATGAACTTTTAGCAAAATTAGAAGTCAATTTCCTATCGTTCTGAAACTATAATAGTTTGCCATTTGAGAATTGCCCCAAATTGGGGCAGGGCCCACCTGAAATTTTGTCAGAGTTGCATACAGTGCATTAAAATGACCATGAAATATAAGATATATATAAACGATGGGAGACCTTCATTTATATTAAGGACCTTTTAACTATGCAGAATCTGAAAATTGCATTGAAATGATCATAAAACCATCAGAACATTGAGGAATTTTCAGTTTTTTGACATGTTGTAAGATGTCATAAAATTGCACTAATCATTTTTGTGGCTAAAATTCCACAAGTCTGTCATCAGTTATGTAATTTTAAGTTTCAAATGCTGAGAGTGCTGGAGTAGTGCTTTCCAAGAAAATCAAACATTACAAATGTCTATTTGACACTGAAAAGATATCGAATGTGATTTTTTTGTCCTAAAAACTGCTCTTTTTCCTTTTTCTGAGCAATGCATGCAGTGTTGTTGGGCAAGTCATATGAATTCAGGGAATTCAGAAGAAAGTTAAAGTTAGGGACACTAAGAAAACAGACACTTTTTAAAAATTCCTAAGAGGGTTGTCTTGAAATGGGACATGCCCCTTTGGTTTTCACCCTCTACATGTCTAGTACAGGTTTGAGACTAGATAACTAAAAAATGCAGTTAATAGAAAGATACATTTATACTCTCTAATACAGACATAATAAGATTCAATGTTAAGGAGTGCCATGAATTGCTTGATTCCAGCAAAGAGACAAATTTTATAAAATGAAAAAGCCTGCTGGCTCTCAGAAATGTCGTGGAAAACTGTTATTAGGTGGTCTTGGAAAAGGTATGGTTATATATGATTTGTACCTAGGAAAATCAATATTGAATTAAGAAAAAATATAAAGAATACCAAAGCCTCAAATTACCCAAAAAAAATCTAATCTAATTAATGTAAAAAGAGTGTATGCACTAAATGTGTTTAATATTACATTTCACAGAAAAATGAATCAAGAAAAAGTTGGAAAGCTTCAGTCCCTGCAAAATCAAGTGCGAATTGGAGGAAAGGTGAATTCAATTTATTTTGTGTTTTACATTCCAAGAAATAGAAGAAATATGTTTTCATTGTATATTTGTTGCACAGGGTCTTGTGTGTGTTTTATTGTGTACACCACAATTGATGAGAGAGTCCTCTTCCATCTCTGAAATTCTCTTAGATTTCATGTTTATTATTTTATTCTTACTGAAATTTTTATGTCCTCATTTTTAGCTATATAGATTACCAACTCTGATAATCTTTTAATTTCTCTTGTTAACCTTTTCAATTTTTCTCAGGGCTCTGCAAGAAGAAAGAGAAAGGTTGTTCATCGTACAGCAACCACTGATGATAAGAAGCTGCTTGTAAGTTCTTCTCTATGGTCTCAATTTTTTGTTACAGGTTGCTGAATTCTATTGTAGTGGCATTTGCTTATTTCTTGAGAATCACTTAAATCATTTGCACTGAACCTGTTTCTGAAGGCCAATTGAACAGCTAGTGTATGCATTAAGGTTTACAATAACAGAAAACAATAGGAAAGTACAAGAAACTAATAGAATCAAGAATAAGCAATTTAAAAAGAGACAACTTGAAATGATTTGTGTCTTAGCAGAAACAACTAGATCTCTAAAAGAAAGGCAAGCTGATCCATTTACATGTGCATGGTCATCTCAGTCAAAATGGCCTTATGTGTTCGGTCATGTTCTTCCCTGGGTGATTGCTGTTGTCACAGATTTGGTTACCAAAACCCTGTTTATGTTTCTACCACCCATTTCCTGTTGAAGTTACCTCTGATATACATCATCCTTGGTTGGCCAGAGGTGGATAATCAGGGTTTCAACATTATGTGCCATATTTTGAAGGAAATAGTTTAGAAATTTGACAATTGACTTAAAAAATAAACCTAGGATGGGAAATATTATTTTTTGTAACAGCAACAACAACAATAGATTTTCCTTTCTTAAAAGTAAAATTTCTTCTTCTTTAACCCTAACCTCTTCTTTGCAGGGTTCTTTGAAAAAGCTTGCTGTAAACAATATTCCTGGAATTGAAGAGGTGATTGATTGTTTATTCCTTTCCTTGTCTTCAGAAAATAGTGTCCTAACACCAAATTTTTCACAGAAAGGCAGAAAGGGTTTTATTAGAATATTTACTACTTTGTTCAAATTTATAGGAGATTATCTTAAAGATTTATTCGCATTGGAAGTTTTTTGACAATATGCTTAAATATTTGGAGGCAACATGATATGGTCATGGCAGGCAATTTTTTGCATTTTTTAAAAGCTTTAAATTTCACGGACAATAACAAAGTAATTTGATGGCCTGAATATACCTTGTGCACTTATAGCCAATATATACGTAATTAGCAGACAACAACAGTACCTGATCAAATCTGCTTGCTAATTGTATATATATATAATTAAATTTAATTGCGTAAAGATTACTTTGTTATTGCTTTGTATATGTTACAGATGCCCACCTTGGGGTATCTTGTATATTTTACACACATCAATTTCTGAATAGAACATAAATATTACAAAACTCTGTAGCTGCCTGCAAATTCAAATATACCACAAGCCTTCATCACAAGTCTACTTGTAGGAAATTTATGTCAAAAAAATGCGCTATAAAAACTGAAATGCCTTAATTTATAGAAAAGATTTTGTCATAAAGGGCTATTTTAAGGATAGATAGTTTAGGAATGCTCATGCTGGTGGTCAATATTAGAAAAGTTTCGAACACACGATTTTGCAAAAAATTTCTCAACATCAAAAATGTCTACAACCAAAATTTGACGAAATATCTTCCGAGAAAACCACCCCCGCCCCCCACAGGAGTTTATTTTCTACCAATTTAGAGTGATAACATATAGTGTACCTTCAGCCATCTCATATTTGACGTAATGCTTCTTTTCAATGGTCCCCTGTGAATTTCACCTAGAGCTTGGTCATTATCCTTTCTTGGTTTATATTTTTAGATTTTTCGGACAGCTTTTGAAATTTAAAACCAAACATTTGGTTTTCCTCTTTTTCATAATGGAGTAAATAAATGTGCACCATCTTTTCAGACCCCCGAAGCAGTTTTCTTAGAAGTACATAAAAATTAGCCACCTAACCAATGAATGTCAGGTGATATTTACGCACATGTTTTTCTGAGGAATGGAAGCATATTTCTCAGCAGTCCTTGAATATCAAGGGTGACCCAAAAAGTTATTTGAATGTTTGAAGGGATTAGCTGTTGTCCGCATGATGCCAGAACAATAAAGTTGACAAGCTGTGTTGCTAACTTTGCAGCTAGGTAAATTGCGATTCATATCTGTGAATCGCTTGCAGAAAGGCTGTTGCGCAAACCAACTGCCAAGTTTTATGTCAACAGAAAAAGGACTGCTTTGGATAAAAAAAGCTTTTATAGGAAAGAACAATTGAATAACACAATAAAGTGCCTGCGTAAAAATTACCCGACATGTAGCTGTGTGTAAGAATTACCTGCCGTGACTATACCATTTCGAAGGTTGAATTTCATCAGTCTTGTTGCTGCTTCAGATTGTCTATATTACCTGATTGAGCCACCAGAAACTGGCTCTACAATTAATAGTGCCACTTTGTCCGGATTTTCCATTAACCAGTAGGAAACAGATATTTTGATTACAATAACTCAGCTACAGTGCCATATTCTTCTGTTTTGTTTAACAAAATGAAAGCTTGAGCTGTACTTGCTTTGGTGTACAAAGTTTGAAAATGGTAACAAATTTGCCATGAGACTGTTTTCTGTTTTATTTGCATGAGTTTCACAAAAACAACTCTAGACCTATACAACCCTTTTAATTAGGGTCAGCACGATCATGGCTCTGCTGACATTAAAGCTAACCTGGTTTTCATTGATGGTCAGCTTTTCTATTCCAGCCTTGTCTTGTTTGTAGACATGCCAAATATTTTTTTAAAAGTTGATTGATGAAATGTTTTTCTTCTCAAAAACTTGATGATAATTATTTCCAACAGAGAGAGCAAAAACACTGTAGAGCCATCAATAACGATATTATTTTATAACTTGGTGTCTGCAGATAAAGAATAATTTGAAAGAACCAGGGACAGAAATAACCAGGGACATTTCTAAAAAGGTTTCATCAAGTGATGAGTGATGGACTCCTTCTGATTCCATTGATTCTTCAACTCATAGTTTGTGAAATAGATGTCTTATATGCTCTAAGCATATTTTTTAAAGATGAAATAATTATTAAATCCCAATGCCTCTTTATATAATAGAGGTATTTTTTCATAAAGCAGGCAAATTTGCCCATAGAAATGATTATTTCCTTAGGCTGTATAAAAGTATTCTATTAACCCATATAATTCCTTACATTGGCATTGCAACCCTAAAAGTTTTCTGAGGCAAACAAAGTTTTGTCAACTTGCAGTAGGGTTTGGTAGGTGCCAACGTCATGTACGTGCTTTGCTGATCTGCTGAGATTCTTTTTGTCTGTTTAGGTAAATATGATTAAAGATGATGGGACTGTTTTACACTTCACCAACCCCAAAGGTAAACTGAAATTCCTATAAAGAAATATATGTTAGCCAGCTTAAATTTGTTTTAAATAAAGTTTCAAACCTATTTTTTGGGCATAAAATTTTGTTTCATATATATATAGTTGCTCAATTTGTTTAAAAATAGTAATTTTTTGTTTCTGTTAGAAGGAATTTGTTTAAATATAAAATATGATAAGTATATATATAAATAAAATTTTTATTATCTATGACATAATTGTTTATCTATTTTTGACCTGCAGTTCAGGCCTCCTTGGCTGCAAATACCTTTGCCATAACTGGACAGGTTGAGAACAAACGTGAGTTTCTCTGCTTTTTTAACAAAATGATATTCAGGTCCTACTATTGGCAGTAATTGAATTTTAATGTTTTCTCAAATTTACATCCAGTAAAGAGACAACTAGATTATTTAAAATTCTGTTGGACCTAAGTTTTATCTACATATGAATCATAAGTTCCTACTCCAAGTCAATAAAAGGGCCTATTTCTTTGTCATCATCGTCATTATCCTCCTAGCCATCCTCTTAATAATTTATTTATAATTGTTTTAATTTTCTTTCAGAATTGACTGAAATGCTGCCTGGTATTTTAAATCAGCTTGTAAGTCCCTTTCACATAACCATTTTTCATGGCTACAAATGCTTCAAAATGCTTTAATGTTTTGTCTTCTGTAACGAAACTTTGTTTAGAGATGTTAGATATATAAACTGTTTGAATGTATGCTGTTGAGATATTTGTTCAGTGGAACTGTCCCATGTCAATGTTCCAATTGAACCAGCATAATCTTAGTGGAAATTCCACAAGGCAACTTTAATTTGGAGGTTTGCATATATCAATGAAGGCAAAAGATCAAATTTGCAATCATGGAAGCAGTTGAAATTGGAACGAATAAAGAGGGCCGTTGAAGCCGTGTGTCAAAGCGGGCAGGCTGTTAGTTTTAATTTAATATCATTGATCTTGGAGAAAGGCAAAAGCTTGTCATATTTGATGGAGTGTCTTGTTATTACCATTGGTCTCAAGTACAGGATTGCTCAAAAGTACTAGCTAGTGCGAATTAACACACAATGATTATATGAAGGAGCATGGAAATGTCTGCAGGGGTGAATTGCATGATTGTTTCAAACAACAGCAGAATTCAAGACAAGGATGCATTCAATAAAATTTGTATAATTATTTTTTTGTTTTTCTAATGTTAGAATTTTAAACAAGCCTCTGTTGCTACAAAATTACAAAATAGCATAGAAAATTACTTATCCTCCAATACTCTGGAACAGTCAAAAATGCCAACTGAAGTTCTTTTCTCAATGTCGTGAATAGATTGTTATAAGTATTTCTTAAGGTTTTCATTTTGCTTAACATTTTTTGTTTCACAGGGGCCTGAGGGATTCTCAAATCTCAAACGATGGGCTGAAAGGCACCAGGGTATGATATTGAAAATCTATTTGCATTTTTATTTCCCTGTTCTTGCAAAACAACTTCTGACAGGATGGTGCTTACTTATCAACTAATGAGCCTCTTGTTGTGTGCTTCATTCGCTTTTTTAAACAATTATTGAACCCTATGATTTTTAGAGAGTTATCTTTTTATCAAATAGGTCGACCAGAAACTACAAAAGAAATGGAAGTGGAACCTGAAGACGATGAAGTCCCAGGTCAGTGTGAAATCGCTTGCTTCCAATGTCTAAATGTAGATTTGAAAATGAATTTTTTAATATGTTCGTTGCTATCAGATGAATCTCCGTTCAGAAGAAGCCTCGTTTCCTTTTTCACATTTGCTTTTTGTTAGCCAGTTGTTTGATTGAGTTATTTGGATTTCGTAGAGCTCGTGGGCAGTTTCGAAGCGGCATCTAAAGAAGAGGAGTCATAGATTGATGGAGATACATGGCCATTTGATCTCTGCTTTGCAAATTGACCAAGAGAACGCGCCTTAAGTTTACTTTTGTATATGTAATGGCATTTCAATGTACAAATGCTACCATTGTTTCCCAGTGCAAGCCCAATTGTTTCTTTTCTTCGTTCGTCTTATGTTATTCCTTTTTACAATTTCTTCGGGCGGATTTGTTGCGTCCCTGGACGAAGATGCCATTGACTTGGCAAGTAGCAAGACCTAGACCAAGATACCTTTGACTTGGTATGCCCATGGCAAAACAATATTTATTATTAAAAAATTATATTTACATGTCAGCTATTTGCAAAGACTAGATGGGTTTGTCCTCAGGGTGGAATGGTACGCAAGTTAGACGCAGTTTTTTGTGTACAACAGCAGCAATTTTTCTTAGGCCTTCTCTATCAACTTCATTGAGTAAAATGTTTACTGCATTGAGAATCGGGCTTGGTGCTGGCCTGCTATGAGCATGTCCCTGGCTCACTGTCCTGTTTTCATTTTTATTTTCATCAAACTTGAACCGTTCGAAATCCTCCTTGTATTGCTCGATTTTTGTTCTTGATTCTGTACTGCCGATTTTTTTCATTATATTTGGATATTTGCCAATGTTCTGCATCCAATTGAAACCTCGCCTCCACGCCCGTAAGTCGACATCGCCGTCTCCTATTACATTTACCCGTGCTGTAGCAATCCACTTTTCCCCCTTGCCCACAGCACAGTGTCCAAAAAGACTGTCGTTGTCTCGCTCCCCTAGCATCCCTGTCTGGTAATCAGTTTCGTGGTTGAACCAGAATACGGCTTTCCCCTTCTTAGGCTTGACCACAAGGCCTGAGTGTGCGCAATAATCGTTGTGATTGCATTCTGCGGAGGCTCTTCTAAGCAGCATCTAAAATGGACAGTGGGTCATTTGTCAACATTGCACTTCAAAAGTCATTCAAGCGAACAAGGAGAGCAGAAAGCAATCTCGGCTGCGTATAACATCGAATCTACTCATACAGAGAAAAATGAATTCACTCATGCATTTGTTGCAGCCACGATTGGTTCAAGGCAGACGAAAGTTCTATTCTTTTTTTTCATTGTTTAATACTAGACAGAGTAAACTTGGGTAGACAGCCTAATTTGTCTGTTGATTCTTCATTCATATTTTCAAAATTACCATTTATGCTATAATTTATTTGCCAACTTTAAATCGATAAATTGATTAAAGAAGTCTTTTCCAAATGTTAACCACTGCTCAAATCATCGTCACCAAAACGAGGCTCACCTCATATTTTCTGTTCCACATGAAGAAGGTTCCAAAGAGTCTTTTTCTTCCAGGAACCCACCAGTTTCCAAGAATTCTGGAACCGGAAATGATTTTTCCAGAATAAATTATATCATTGCCGTTGGTAGTTGTTGAACTGTATGACTTTTGAAAGCGGACATTGTTTCCTGAAAGAACAGGCGACGGTTTTATTTTGGGCTACCCCTAAAAGCATTACAGCATTGTCTTTGTGTATTGTAGAGCTAGCGTAAATCGGCTTACCCAAATGTAGTGTAAACCGGCTTACCCAAAATGATGCCATCCGTAATGTCAAATGTCCCGCTTGAATCTCTGCCTTCCCCCATCAGCATCTGATTGGCTGCTTTTTGTGTGAATGTTATGTTTGCCGTGAATCGATTTTGACTCCCTGTCGTCTTTGAGTACGTGAAATAACCACGCCATTCACCTGAACTTTTCATTATGTCCTAAAGATATCGATTTATTAAGGGAAAGTCATGAGATTGCTATAAACCCCTGAAGCAAATACCAATGGGGGCAAGGGTTATAGTTTTGACCAACCAAGGCTTAAACATGTTCCTTGTATTTGCAACTTGTATTTAGAGAGAGCTAGCTTTGAATAATTGGAAGCAATACAAAATGCTCCCACAAGGTATTGGATACAGGATTCCTTTTAAATGAACAAGTAATAAAGAGCCGGAGGCTAGGATACCTCCTGGATATCGAGGCCCGTCTCATTTGTGAAAAGTTAGAATAAACACTGGAATGGAAAAATATCAACACGGAACAATATTTGAAAGGAAATTTCTTAGGGTTGCTTAGGGAATAACATTTTCTTAAAAAATAGGGGGGAAAAGTCTTACTGTGAATTGGTGATCTGCTAAAGGAAAGACAAGTTCACCGCCTTTCTCGACATCATTTAAGAATATTCCAATCGTAATGTATCTGTAAATGGAAGGAGAAAAATTATGAAGCTGCATTTAAATGTTGTTTGTCATTTAAAGAGCAGAAACCAGCAGCCCCTTCCCTCCCTCTGCTTCGCATAGTTCTCATATTGCCACGCGGTGAGCAAGTTATGTAGTCCTTTATAAGCACCTTTCGTACAAATTCTGGTGTATTATATCTTATGAACCGAATGAAGTTCTCTCAATTAGTATTTGGAAACACTCCTCAAGTGTATAAGGTCCTTTTTGGTCCTCCTAAGTAAAATTTTTGGTCATCGGGCGATGAAACAAAGTGAAGACATTCAAAAAAAGAAAGTCTTTAATATAAGCAAAGAACAGAATGGTTAACTTGAATACACAATCCTTAACGCATGAAATAACACACCATTCTTGTCCTTTAATAAAATTTGAAAATTTGTCAGTAAAAATGTGTGTTCCAAATTAATTATTTAAAATAAGTTGAAACGATTGGTTGGAATAACAGCAGGGCCCACAGCGTAAAAGCCGCCATGGGAACGAGGGAATTGGCAGCTGACCCTGCTCCGTTGTGGGGGCAATGGCTCTAAAGAAGAAAAAGAAGAGGAAAAGGAAGAAGAAGAAAACGGCGAGTAAAACAGGAAGGGAGGTGGAGGAGCTGGATGAACAACTTTTTTTGTTAATTATTAGCAACTATAAATGCATCTATTGGCGGCTTGGCTTGGTTTGGTGCGATTTCATCCCTGTTACTAGTGGCATTACGGCGCTCTGTAAACTTCCCCTTACTTGTGCACTATGAAATGTTTATGGAATTTCAAATAGGCCCTTAGTCAAATTTTGCTTTCGTTGTGAATGAATGAAGTAGATTTCGTTCGCAGAGAGCCATTGAATTTTGGCCATGAAATAGATGCAAAACTGATAAAAAAAGAAGGATCCGCGTTTTATCAGCAGTATATTTAGGACAACATGGTAACTATCAGGTCAAGTCAGGTCGATACCAACCTGCAGTTACGACATTCATCCCTTTCTCCGTACAGGCAGCATGTTGAATCAGAAAGTTCATCAGAATCTCTTTTGCATTGCGAGAATTGGTCTTCTTTGAAATTTTCAACCTATATGGATAACACACGGCGTTATGTTCAAGCAGGCTCCATATAAAGACAAAATAAACAATTTACAACCAATAATGTTTTACCTGTAGAGGCTCGCTTTCTTCGATGATCTCCTCAGGAAGCCCAGTGACTGAGGTGAACCTACAAAAGGCAGTTGCTCGCAGTAAGCATCTCATGGACTTTTATGACAATCCAAATGAAGTTATGTGTTTTGTTAAGAAATCTGAGACGATTATGGGAGTTGTTAAAACAGAAACCTTGTGTGGTATCCAAAGAAGTAATCATCTTGAAATCGAAGCAATTCGTCCTCATCATGCCACACCCATGCATTATCCGACTTCATTTCGCGTTTTCGACCTTTTTCTTCCTTCAAGTTGGCAATGTATCCCTTCACTGCTTGGAGGTCCGTGTTTTGTAATTCCTGTAAATCTATCTTCCCTGCAGATAAAATCGAAACATTAGCGAATTTCTGTCCAATCGTTTTGTTGATAGGAAGAAATCGCATCCTCGATTGTGTTTACCACTATTGCGTTTCCAAGTTGAATGATAATTTTAGATCGAATATTTTTAATCAAAAATTGATACCTACCATCTTCATCTTTGTCCATTTTCAACATAAAAATCCTGAAATTTAATTAAAGAATACAATATAAATTCAAATACGCAGATGTTGCATATTTTCTGAAAATGAATCAGGAAATACGCAACATCGATCGTCACATGAAAATGAAAATTTAGCATAATTTAGCATAATTTAGCGTAATTTAGCGTAATTTAGCCTGATTTACGCATTATTGCGGTATCAAGCCGTAAAAACATACAATTATCTCAAGGATGCTGAATTACTAGAAGGCGTTTATGGCTTCCAAAATGCTCTTGCTGCCTTGGACGTTTATTTTAAAGAAAAACAGAAAATATACTGCCATGCAACTGGGTCTAAATATCGTAAGAAATTTGATGATAAAACATTCCATAGCTTTGTATCAATTTAAATGCATAAAAGTTTTCAAGTAACGAAAGTTTTGAAGTGTAAGTCCACGACAATGCTTAATGAGTACCTACATGTCACTGGCATCTTCGACGCTGAATTTTAAGCTTTTACCGGTAACAAATGCAATCTGAAAAAAGATTTGTTGAGCTATAACATCTGAAAATGTACACGATTAGTTACTTACAAATAAATTGCAAATATTCTAGGCAATTATGCAATTTCGCAAGATATGTCGTTGATTACGGATAAATTTAAAGATGTAAGTATTCCAAGGTTAATAAAAAGCAAGGCTAGGATAACTTTCCTTGTCCCTAATAGATATCATAGTTATTATAAAAATCCATTGTCAAGGTAAATCTTGCTCAGAATTTTAAACATTCTGTATAAATTCTTCATATAATTTTCCTGCCTTTCTTTGAACCATGTAATTTGTGATTTAATGTAGATTTATTTTACTAGTTTGTTGTTAATTCAATGCCGTATGGATATCATTTTGTAACATTTGTTTATAAAATAGGACGATTCTAATTGCAACTGCGAGTAAAGTCGTCTTATTCTGTACATAAAAGCCATAAGTATGTAGTTAAAATATAAAAGCATTGATGACAACGTCGCCTGGAATAAGAGAAATCTTTCATGTTAACGAAATGCTTCGAAAAGATCTACCTCTTCGCTGTCAACGAAACCATCATCGTCAATGTCCCAACTCTGAAATGTTTTCTCTGGTCCAGAATCGATGATGCTGTTCACAGATCTGTCAACATGTGATTTCAATTTTTTTCTCTTCGCGAGTTCAACGATTATATCGCATTCATCTTCATCGAAAAAATCTGCAATCTCTAGGATTTTTAGAAGACAACGACGTTTTCAATATGCAGAAAGATGCAATATGTAAAATTATTGTACAGTGGTGAGGAATGTTCAAATAAAGATATTTTAATGACAAAAGTATTTAGCAAGAGTCGTTATATTTTACAAAATCCAATCAAGGTAGACTAGAAGATTTGGTCTCAACAATCCTGGTTTAGCTGTTATTATCCTGGCTGCAAGGATGTTCCATAATATTTATAAAAAGCAAATGTTATTTCTATAAAAATCTGAAATTGGTAGAGCGCATGCAGATTATAAATTTATTGTCCAGGAATTGTCATTTTGGTGAGACTAACTTTTGATCAATTATAATATGAATTTGGATATGAATCTGAATATGAATTTAAAGACGAAATCTGATGCTGGAATGCTTTTAGGAAACCCGGTGTCCAATGCTCTAATGACTATACGCTGCAAATTATATTCAGTAAGCACATTGAATAGCTTTTCTGCGCAATCTAAATAGATATGTGAATTTCGTTCATGATAAGTTGATAAAGCTTCCGGAAAAGGCAAACATTTGTTTGTTGATTTACCATAAATCCTTGGGGTGAGACTTAGTGTCTTGATTGTCCTGTTAATTCCAGGAAGGATTTCAATTTGCTTTTCAAACCCAACCTAAAATGAAAAATGTTTATAAACTTCTTTACACGAAAAATAATTGACTTTAATTTCTTTGCTTCCCTTTGGCTTAATTTTGTCATAAATTTCTCTTTAGCATTGCCTTGTAATTATTTCTGTTCTTTCGTATCATGTTGTCCTTAAATAGTATTTAAATCTAAGAATTAATCGGTATTTTGATAAAAGACACCAGCAAAAACCACACCAACTGACATGACATTAGGTAGACAGATTGCCTGATATCGTGGCCTCTTTCTGGTGAACAGCCTATTGTTTGAAGCCTGTTAGTAAGTCTAGTTGCAACATTCAAAATTCGAGACAGACTTGAACAATCCACCAAGAAGCTTTGTTGTAAACATAGAAAGTAAAATTGATCTCACATTAGATTTGAACAATAATGCCCTTCCAACTTATCCTGCTGGAAGAAGCTATGTAACTTTGCTAGAAAACCTTGCCACACTGAACACAGCCATATGAGAGTGAATTAATAGGCCTAACCTTGTCATCGCCTTTTGCGGGCAGCCTGGCGTATTCTGGTCTTTCTTCGATTTCATCAGCCTGTAAAACTTCTAGTCTGCTTTTTGCCCTCGATGTACGAGCATGTGGTGGAACAGGCAAAGCTAAACTTTCGCTTTGTTTCTTCTCTCCGTTTGTTTTTGTTGCCCTGGTGTCGGACTTCTTTCCGCATACTGCACCACTGCTTTCACTTTCAAATGTTCCATCGATACAAGCAAAGAAAACAAGACAAATCAATAAACAACATGAGTACGTTGTTTCTATATGCATTGTATTTGCAATACCATTTATAAACTCTATTCAAGCACTGTTCAATGGTCTCAATATCGTTTGTTTCTTCATCTTCTAGGACCCATGCCTTCAATCTGCAGATGCTTTGCCAGGTTTCCAAACCGATCTTCTGACCTCAGCAGGTATGACTATAATACCACGTGATCATGCTGCCTCCATCAAATTTGATCTGTTCTAAAGACCCAGCCATCATACCTGACCTGCCTGTGAACTCTATTGAAATTATAATTTGCAAATGACCATTTCGCTTTCCAAGATAGAGATTTTAAACGGCCTGTGTCATTTAGCAAAAGCCCTTTTTCCTAAGAACATTCTGACGACATTAAACGATCGATAGCATTTTTTTCTAAGAACATACTGACGACATTAAACATTTAGTTCAATATTTTTTCATCTACAACACTGCTCGCTACAGATTTCTATTGCAACGTTAATTAATTTTTTTGATTAAATAGAAAATGGTTGTTATTTCACAGCAGAGGCGCTCTACTGTAGCAGATATGAGTTCTGCAAATAAAGGTTAGAAAATGCTGTTGTTGCAGTGGGAATAAGTGTGCCGTGCGGGTCATTACATCACCAAGTAAACGTGCGACTGCCCAAACCAATCAACCGCAAGTCGCGCAAAAAGGGCCTAAATCTTGTATTCTAAATGACCCATATGATTGCATAGCATAATCAACGGTAGCCTTCTTTCTTCATCTTGAGAAATTCTACGCAGAGTGCGTGAACTCATCTTTTTGCAAAAAACAAGCGGAAACAGCAGATTTCCACACAAGGCCTGATCATTTGACCGTATACCTGTTTACGGGCAACCATTGAGCGCAATAGAAACACAATGTTTTCTCCATGCATATTCGATTAAGGTATGAAATCATGAAGCTCCGTCTGTGCGGCTTGAAACTGCATCGCTCATTATAATCTGTCTAGAGGAGAGGAGAGAGCTGCGAGGAAAGCATGGAAGTCAAGATTATGTTGCTTTCTCTAATATTGATCATCTTCAAATCAGAAAAAGTTGAACCGGCAGAAGCAGGAAATGATGGAATGACAGTTCAGCAAATGTTTGGTTCAATCCCAAAAACGAAATGTCTTGCTGGAGACGCAGATGGGCAGTGCAGTAAAACCTTTGATGCTGCACATTCTATGAAAAGCAATAAAGTTCAATTTGGCCCACGATTTCAGAAGATACACCTCGAGCTGCCAAAAATTAATCCAGTGCGCGTAAGGAGAATGGCCATCTTTGTTTTGCTTCTTTATTCCCTCTTGGCGAAAGACTCATTAACATCTATCATAAACCGTCTACCATACCGCACAGATCATTGAAAAACTAACATTGATCATCTCTGTGAAAAATGCACGTCCCGGAAAGCTGGCCTATTATATTGTGAATCCAAGCGTATAACTGGCTTTGCCAAAGCAAAATTATTCCAGGGGCCGTCAACTAAAATGTTGTATTAACAAAAACCAGTCCAGGTTTTTTAAAGTAGCACACATGTAAATACTTTTTCTTTAGTATTTTGATGGGCTGCATATAAGTATGATGTTCTTGTTTCAGACTGGCTACGTAAGAAACATCGATATTACAGACACCAGATCTCATGAAATGAAAACACTCTCAGTTCACCCTCCAGTGTTTGGTAAGTTGTTCACTCGACTCTAAATCCAATCATCTCCGTTTCGATTCTTTTAATTCCTTTCAATTCTTTGTTTTTTTTTAAATTTGTATCAGTTTTGAAAATGTAGTCTATGTTTTAAAAATTTTTTATCGATCAAATCTTTCTGCTTTGTTTCCTTTTGGTTGGGTGCTATTAAATATTTGATGAACATTTGCGTATGACTATGGATACCTCAAATGCTCATATCAAACCCATATCTAACGGCATTTGAGGACCTACTTTGTTGCAGATGTACAGTTCTTTTGACAAGGCTAGCTGTCCGAACCATTAGTGGCAATTTAGGGCATTCCGCCAATTTTGCTTATAAATACCATTGCTGTCCCTTTTGAATGCCAAATAGACCACTTATTTAATATTCATTGTAATGTTCCGTTGATGGACCTCCGACATGAAGCTTAATACCATCATAAACTGAACCATTTTGATTTATCGCATTGACGTATCTTGTCTTATTGCTAATCTTAAGGACGACCTTTTTGTGAAACTCCTTTGAGTACCAGTGATGTTATATTTTAGAAATAAAAGACTTTCTAAGTTCAGATGAATGCGAGGCACTGATATATCTTGCAAAAGAAAAGGGAATGAGACAATCACCGCCAGTTGCCAAGGACATCAACTTCTCTGCAGAAAACAATCATTCTCTTTTCGACAATTGGGATGAGGATCTAGATGGATCTTTGTCATTTACTGAGGTAATTTATTTAAAAAAGTGTTGACAACTGTAAAGTACAAAATTTCTTTAAACGGGAATTTCTTTCTAAATGGCAGAGGGTTGGGTTGCAGAGGGTTTCTAAAATATTTATTCTCAAAATTGGTAGCTAAACAAGGATTGAGCACCATGTGGAAATGATAATTTGATTTTTTACAAGGACTAAACTAGGAAGACAAATCCCATTTTCCTTTTGGCTGACTTGTCCTGATTACGCTGCTCAGCACCGCAGCTTCGCTTGCAACTTCATAAAAACAATAAAGAAATAACTACCTTAGTAACAAATTAAATCAACAGCTTTCCTTTTACCTTGCTTAAAGATTATCCAAAGATTTCACCAAACAGACTTTCAGTTTTAAAGCATTATTCTGATTCCATGACATGTGGTTTGCTGTGGCTTGCAAGTAAATTTGCAAGCTGTAGCTAATGTTTCGTGATTTGAAATCTTTTTTCAAGTCAGAGTTGAAGAGTTTAATAATAAACTTACATTTGACAGCTTCAAATTGAAACCGAAGCTTTCGAATGCGTTGAAAAAGCAACGTTAACGGGCAAATGATTGACCTAAACACGTAAATAGATTCTTGTACACTTTAACCTAGTTATGAGTAGGACGTAACAGGGCTTTTTAAGACTCTCTGACCAACTTGTATAACTATTGCTAAAAAGATTGATCTTTGAGGTTTGGAAGCTTTTTCATTGTTTTACAGATTTCAAGGATAAAAGAAATTCAACATTTACTGCTTGATGAAGAACAGATTTTGAAAATGTATGAAGTTACGAATCAATCGGCTTTAGTGCTGCAATGGGTGACCTAGTTCGGTTGCTTTTCAACTGTCAATGACCTCTCTTCGGACATGTTGTTCGCTTATCTCACGGGGAGAAAGGCATAGATTTCATGCCTAAGCCTCACGTTGCTATGGAAAATTGCAAGAATTGAAAACAGACAAGGAATATAATATGTACTACCAACAATATGATATGACAGAATTCTTAAACATATCAGGTTTCCCTCTGAAACTTTTTACAGAAAAAGCATTATACAAGGGTCGAATATTCTAAACTAGGAAGAATTTGTACCCAGTTGCGAATCAAAATAGCTTAATCAGAAACGCAAGCACGTGACTGTTTTGGTTGCAAAATCAATTCTGCTTGCATAAACGAAAATATTATCAAAGGAGTTTCACGCTTAAGTATGCTTCAAAATGTTAGTATTTTTTCAAAGCCATTTTAAATTTTTGTGCCACAAAACATTGTCTTATAATAAATATATGAACACGAAAGCATTGAGTTGGACGAGACTTGTTGCGTTGATTAACTTGCAGCTTACTAATAAGGAAATGCTACACACACTTTGAAATTGTAAAGATTTTTGATAAAGATCAGTTATATTTCATGATTCTTCACTAAATCTTAATCGCTAAATACTGCAGGAGTCTGAAGGAATCTGCAAAATGTGTATTTTTGACTAGTACATTGATTAACACTCAAACAAAAACATTATAATCCAAATTAAATAAAATTCATTTAAAGTTTTGCCGTTTTTTCTAATGTTTATCTGTTTATTTTACTGCTTATCAGGTATGCTACGCTGGGAATCAAGGCAGGCGATAAAGGTAAATCTTTGCTTTCAATTGTGGGTTGGACTACTTTGCTAAGGAGTGGATCAACTTCTCGACACGTATTATTTTAATATTCTTTATGTTACAAATATCTTAATAAAAAGCTGTTGGAAGTATAAATGTTCTGTGGTTTATCGTAGATTCTGTATGTTTACTTTGGCAATGAAACTTCATGTTAACGTTGCTTGGGCAAAGAATCTTCTGAGATAATGATAGAACCTATCTTTTATTAATTGATTATTTCACTTTCTTTTACCTTTTAAAGTATATGGATATTTCAGGCTACAAATTGTGGTGAATTGAAGTGATAACTTTATTTTTTGATAAAAGGTCACGTGAGCTATGGTGAGTTGGCAAGAGTTTCATTCATAAAGTTCAGAGATTACTTGCAAGGCTTGAGTGAAATGAAAGCGATGGCAGCTGTCAATCAAACTGAGCAAACCTGGATGTGGCATGACGAAGACGGACTGCTTGTCTTTGATGACGTTTTTCAAAATTATCATCAAAGGTATTCTATCGAAGACTTCTAACAAGAAAAATATCTTCTTCAATTCCGCTTCTTTCTTCCTTGTTTTTTATATTGATCATCTCAATAAAATTCTTCTTTCTTTTCACACAGGCTGTCAAATTTGACGAGGATTCCAAAGGAATTGATCGAAGAGAGTGAGCCACTGCAGGTTAGGCCCTCTATCTTCAGAAGCGATCTTTTTGCTTTGTCATAATACTATTGCAATGTTCAAGTATTCGCAAGCATTTCTTTAAATGCACTTTTGTATCGTCTTTTTCGCATTCAGAGCTTAACGTTTCTAAATTGTCTTTGCTCTGTTCAGGTGACACGATTCAAGAATGGCTCCTTCACAGAATGTCGTCATGACTCTGATCCATTCGTTCCCGAGATCCCTTGCTGTGTCTACGGCTCCACGTCACACTGCCGAGCTTGCAGGTATCCATTTTTATGCCTTGTCGTCCATTAGAGCAATTCAGTCTTTACACTCACTAATTCCTCGACAGAGGCATTTCACAACCTTCATTGGCACATCGTACTTCTAAGGGTAGAGGTTCCATTGAAGATACTCTGAATAGAGAATTGTCATATTTTAAATAATAACTATGGACTCCCTGTGGGGCAATCTATATAATCTCGGTTCTTTCTTGTAAGATGTTATGTTTATGTTTGATTGCAATGAGCCAGTCGCACTTTCTTCTCGATTACTCTATAACTAGAGAATATGATAAAAACAAGTTCTCCTCAAAATTTGAAAAAACTTTATATGCTGTAATCTCCAAAAAGGGTACAATGATAACTGCAGAAAACGCATCACCAGGAATGTCTCACATTTAAAAAAACTGCGAACATTGGTGAACGCATCAGTAGAGACAGATTGAATGTTATGCACCTGCTCAAGAAGTGCAACATAGAAGCATACAAACAATGACAAGTGATGTACAAGATAAGAACTGATAAAGTGTTGATAAACTAGAGAACATGATAAGAACTACATGTTTCATTTGTACCTTTATGAGTTTAATGCCACAGTTATTAATTTGTTTTGAGGTTTGTTTCTGTGATGTACTTTCTCAACGACGCTGAAGATGGTGAGCTGCTGTTTCCTTTGGCAAACAACAAAACGTTTTTGTGGGACGTAAGTTTGTCTTTCAGTTAGACTCTGCATAATGACCTTTCTTTGTCAGATCAAATTGATTGAAACAAAATAATGAAAAATGTTTTTTTTACAGTTACCAAAAATATTTTACATTATGATTTGAAATAACAGGCCCTTCACACTGTCATTACATGTCTTTTGAAGCTGCTTCCTGCAATGTTTCTTTGAAATGTTGAAAGATAAAGTCTCAGAGTATCTCGATTAGGAAACGTCTTTTTAGAATCCCTCTTCCCTCCCCCAGCATAGAAGGTTGACAACGTAATTTTGATGACGGTTGGTTTTCAGCTCACTGCATAACTTTATTTTTCTTTTTCTTTCAGCAACTTGGTTTCGGCCATATCTTATTTCAACTATCCAAACTCAAATACTTAAATAACAAAATTTTACTTTGTTTGCCTTTGGCTGCAATGAGTCTGGTTTCAATTCACAGAATGCAGATTTCGGCAACACAGCGCTTTTGCATTTTGCATAACCATCCTTTTCTTATATTTTTGCCCCTCTGTCTATAGGCTTGTGGATATATGAACAGCACTGGTTGGCCTTCTAGGCCATTTAATAACAACAAACCTCTAATGCCAATCTTCCTGTTTTAGAACCTTCATGCTGATACAACTAAGATTTGTTCCAAGGCTCCCAACCCATCATTGTCCAATTTGGTTATAAAGCCCAAGAAAGGGACAGCAATTATGTGGTACAACCATTATATAGGTAGAGGCACCGGATGGATGTCTACGCTGGACCCTATGTCTTTTTACGGCGCTAACTCCGTGCAAAATGGTGACAAGTGGGTCGCAACAACATGGGTTAATATCTTAGGTGACGGGGTCAATGAGCTCAGGCCATGGAGAATAGGGACTAATTGGCTTTCATCGAACAACAAAAGGAAGGATTTGATTGAATTGATGCGAAATGACGATTTTATTGAAGGGGAGCCTTACTCCCATGACGCTAAACTTACTGTTGTTGATGAAAACGAGACTGCTGTTGAAAAGTCAAAAGTTGCGAACGATACTGATGGGTCTGTAAAAGATTCTTCTTCGCAAGCAGATTCAGGCAATCCATCATTGCCTCTGCCAAATATTAACGCTGCTTCGACTGCAAAAGAAGGTGCACCAGAAACTACATTAAAAAATGACAAGTTACAAAGCAAAGAAAATGAGCCAAAGCTTGCCACTTCTAAGGGCAAGCATTCTAGTTCAAATGACATTAAAGAGAGTTTGCAAAAAACATCTGAGAAACAAAAGATGGAAAAAGAACGAAGTGCAATTCATGAAAGCAAGATGATTAGTAATAAGTCAGATAAGAAAGATGTAAATAAAGAAAGTAAAAAGGTCAACAGGAATCGATCGCCTGAGAAAGGAGAAGGTCCTCTAGGGCCACCAATGAGAGGCCAGTCTATCAGCAAAAACGAGGCTCCTGTTGGTCCTCGGGTAGAGGACACTTTGCCGTTTGTAACACCATCAGGGAAGATGGTTGAGAATAAAGTGGTAGTATCGATTCTGATGCTTATTGATGAACTAAGTCGCGATGAACTTGAAATAATCGCACGATCATTGCACGAGAGACTACAATTAGCGTGCATACCAATCATGGTGAATCCCATTGGCCCGATGTAACGTCACAAAATCGAATCTTTCCTAAATATTAGACAGCATGCTCTCGCGGAATGTCTTTCTCATAAATTCAAATGCGCAAATGTTTTTAAATTTAAAAATCTGAATCTAAACGATGATTGCAATGGTTCAATGAAGACTTAAGCGCAGTAAAAACTGAGAATGTAAATCTGTATAAAAGCCGCCAATTCGAAGCTTGTTTCTTGTAATTAATTTGTATCATACTAACAGAATCTGTTTTTACACTTTTGTCTTTGTTATGTTGTATTTCTTTTTTTGACAAGCCCTTCTGCATGCAATAGAATAATGTGGAAAAACAGAGACCATAGTAATGTTTCCAGTGGCTTTACACAGAGTATGACCATCCTGTTTCAGAAATACTGGTACTTTTAGCCAAAAACGTATTTTTTGTTAATGCGTGCTCGATTGGTTACCAACCTGGTCTTTTCCTTTTATTCGTTGAGGTTGTTGAATCCCTTAAATGTTGTCGTTCTTTGAGCCAACGTTTGCTGCACTTGGTTGTTAGAGCAACTAAAAGATGCAATTAACTATTGAAACACTCTTTTGTTGTACAAAAATTGAAAATAGCTTTGAAAAAACAAGTATTTTGAGTCATACTAAAGCTTTACGTGTAACAGTCTTCCAAGTATAAAGCATCAGAACATAGATCGAAGCACTACGCTAATATATACACCCAGTTGTAAATTGTCTATTGCTTCTCCAAGGACATTCTAACAGCACATGTTGTACCAAATTTACACTTTCAAACAGCCAGTAGATTTTCCCCTACTATTTCTATTCGTCTGAGTAATCGAGGCTCTACTGAGGGCTATAGGACCTCGCTTTCACGAGCTGGAGGCAACAACGGCAACAAATGCTCCTTATTCTAAACAGCATGGTGTCAGTTCTTGAAACTAGTGAAGCATAATTTGATTTGCTGGTAGTGCTTTGTTATAGAGGCTAGAGGTAATATACAGACCAGCAGAGTTTGTTAATTAGCAGGTTTAGAATCAGCAAGATCACAGGTCGCGAGTAAACAATGCTTACTGTTATGATTTTTGTAGAACTTTTAGCGAAAGAAATGCCTTTTCGTGTTTTAATGTTGGAAAAGACTTTCGATTCACTAACCAACTCATTTTTGAGTTTACATTAATGAAATTGTGCACAGAAATGCAACATTTGTATTGAATAAAAAAAAATACTGCAAAGAGCATACATCGTTGTTCAGTTACTTACATTTTGCATTTGAAACGAGTGGCTTTATGGAAATGATTTAAACAGCAGATATATTCACGAGTGTTAAGAATTTCTTCTCAAATCATGGCCGAGAAGAATTATAGTGATTATCCAGAGAAGGATGGCAAAAGGTCAGGACTTGCAGATCTTATCACGACCATTGGCGAATGTGGTTTTAAGTGTATCAAGGTGACGTTTTTTTGTTTCAACTTGATATTTTGTCTGGCTGGAATTGCCATTTTGGGGATTGGAGTCTGGCTTCACGGTCAAAAAGACGAAGCAGCAAAGGACTACGCGCATTTGTCTGGCAACATCAACTACGTCAATGGGCCTACATTTTGCATTGCAATTGGTGTGATCACGGTTCTCGTTTCGTTTCTTGCGTGCTGTGGAGCAAAAACTGAGAATATGTGCATGCTCGGGTGTTACTCTGGTTTATTGTTTGTAATACTTGTAATCGAGGTTGTATCTATTACAATAACTTATGTGTATCGAGAAAGAATCGAGAATTCTCTCAAAAATGATTTCCAAAAGACGCTTAACAAATACGGCCACGAAGACTGGACTCGACTCACAAAATCTATTGATGAACTTCAAAAGGATTTTAATTGTTGCGGCAACAAAAGGTTTTCTGATTGGTTTGAAACTCCTTGGGCTCTGAACAATACAAACAGTGTGCCCCGAAGCTGCTGCAGGAAGATTACTGAAAAGAATTGTAATACCGATCTAAGTAAAGATTCCAGGAAAATCTATCGACATGGATGTTACAATCATGTCAAAAAATACTTATTAGAAAACCTTCATATCATAAGCGGATTTGGAATCTGGATTGCCATGATTGAGATGCTTGGCATAGGCTTCTCAACTTGCCTTATGTGTCGATTGAAAAACAAGGCTAAGGAATTCGTCTGAGGGTAAAGATACCAAAACCTTGGCCTATCAAAATTAATAAGTGCTAATTATTGCCAGGGAAGGAGCAAATTAAATAATCAAGCAACTTTCAGAAGTTCATAATGATATAAATTATGCAAACGAGCTGTGACTTTTCATCTCAAAGGTCCAACATTTTTCGATGCAAATTCTGTTTATCATAAGAAGTTGTTTATAACAGCTAGATATTAACGTCTAAAAATTAATCTCAAGCGCAATACAAAACAAGATCTTTCTAACACAATACCAGTGTTAGTATGATAACTTCAAATAATAACTTTAAATAATCAGATATCGTTACTGTTTTGTACAAATGAATTAATAATGTAAATAGTTAAACAAAGTCTATCAAAGCTCATCATGATCTAGTCTCTGCTTCAGCCAACCTGACTTGAACTCCTCACTCCCACTTTGTCCAATGATGTTTATCCAGTTGTTTGCGATCCATTTTGCTCCTTTTCTCACCTCGCAGCCTCCATGAACCGACATTGGATTCAATTCACCAAGCATCCCTAAATGAAAAATTAACGTATTGTTTTGTGCATAATTGTCATTTAAACTAATGCAAGCAATTCTAAGAGTGTAGTGTGCTGTGGTTCAAAAAAAGTCGAAAACATTTATCTAGATGACTATTTCGTTTTAGCTTTTTAAAGATATAATGAGTATGGATAAATGGAGACAATATACTAGCACCGTATTTACTCTAATATTCCCGCTGCAGGATTAGTGTTTCAACCTAACAAAAAGGCGGGATTATTTGAGAGGCGGGTATATTGGAGAGGCGGGATTATTTTTTTAAAGCCTTGAAGTCTAGTTTGAGGATACCGTTTGAACAAAAAAGTCTCTTAAACATGATTGTGGCAAATCAGAGAAAAAATATGCAATTTCAAAATGTATTGGGGGTTAAAATTAAATGGGGGGTGGGGCATTTATTTTCACAGACAAGACAGATCAGATATTGTGCTTTATAGACAGTAGTACTTAGTCAAAGAATCAAATGTATTTTTATGCTGCGAGACTTGGATGTTTGATAAACTTGCAAAATAAAACAGCTATCTGTCCTCTCTCGTCTATGACATTATCATGTGATTCAACCCATTCACTCCAAGCATAAGTTTCAATTTTTGATTTTCAACCCATACAAAGTGTGTAAAGAATAGCAAATGCCAAATAAAAGTTTCAATCCCGCATGCGGGGTTACTCGGGAGTCAGGATTATTCTTACAATCTATGAAATACAAGCGGGATTAATAGAGATGCGGGAATAAAAGAGAAGCGGGAATATTAGAGTAAATACGGTATTTTAGCTCATATCCGGTAGAAGGTGTTTCCCAACAATACAGTTGTTTTCCCCGATTGAAGTCTTTCTGCAGTCCCTGCCAAAGTCCCTTCTCTTTTCGATCAGTAGCAAAGCCCATGCTAAGTATAACTTCTGCTGCATTTCATTTGACAATTTTTATTTCTTTCAATCTCATATTGATATTAAATCTGTGATTGCCTCATAACAAATAAAAAAGTGCTAATAAAACGCTTGATTCCACAAAGTTTTTGATGGTAGAGAGGTTTTGGGCACGTAAGATAGATTAAAGCTTGATTTTATTAAACAATTCAATCTAGCACGAAGGGCAAGGGAAGAAAAATTTATGCTCATACCTGTTTTAGAATCAACATCATGGTTGTACCACATGAGCGCCGTTCCTTGCTTTGGCTTAATCACAAGATTTCCTTTGGCACAGTTTGTCACTACGTTGCACTTTTCAACCGCCTCTAGTGCCCAGTCCTAAACATTTATAAGAAATATAGTGATCAGTTTCTTTTTGTGGTGGTGGCCTATAACTGCCACTCACCAAAAGCCTGGTTAAACGAATCAAACATCCAAAAAACAGTGCCCAACATTGGTGTACCAACATTGTTGGACGATGTTTTATAACCTGACCAAACGAATCAAACAGTTGCTAAGACATCTGTGGTGGAAAAGCGCTGCCGCACAGCTTCCTATAGTTACATCAATGATGTTAAACTGTTTCGCACACAAACACAACTGTTCGTGTAAATAAAGTAAGTGTATTTACCATTTTGCTGTGGATGTCCTTTGTTAATAAATATATGCACTCCTAAGAACTGGTTGAACAATATGCAAAGATTTTGACACTCGCAAGCCTTGCTAACACGTGTAAAATAATCTATTGAATGTTGAATAATAGAAAAAATATAAAGAGACTTAAGAACCTCTTTTGAATATGTTGCATTGTCAGCGATTTGAAAAACAAGTTCACCACCTTCAGTGACATTGCTTAGAAAAAACATTACGGTGATGTACCTAGAAACAGAAAATGTCGGAATTTAAGGATTGCTTCCATGAAGAGATGATATCTAAATAAAAAGATAAGTTAAAAGAAAATGGGTTTGAAAAAAAAGGAGAAAGAAATGTTTTGCGAACGATACCTGCAAAGTCTACACTTTCCATCTTTTTGATTTTGGTATGTACAGCAGGGTCGCTCATCCACTTCATCTGAATCGTGGTGGCAATGAAAATGTCCCTCACCATTGTATGAGACAATCTAAGTAGCGGAGGTAACAGTAAGGAATTGGTAGCATAGCAGATTACAGCAGCAAGTTTCTACAATATCCATGCGAGGTGCTTGAAAACTGATGCTTTTCCGTGTGAAAACAGAACAAAGCAGAAATCAACGAAACCAGTTGGCTAGATTGCAAATGCAAAGCAGCTACAAAGGTCTTTCGTTAAAAAAGAGAATTTCTCTTTAAGATTGTTTTATATAGATTCGAAGTAGCTCTGACATCGTACTGCTCGAGACACACAATGGATGCATACTTTATCAACATAACCTTGCCCTTGCTTGATAACCAGCCTGCAATTACATTCTAATCCTAACTGCGTACTTCTCGTAGCATGTTGCAACAATAAACAGCTAATGAAGAACTCACCTGCATTGGTTCGCTCATTTCGATTACATCGTGAGGGATTAAGGTCAGTCTTGAAAGCCTGCAAGCGATAGTGTGAGAATCATTTAGATAAAAATAATGTCAATCATTTTTAATGATAAGGGTAATTATTATCAAAGTTGATTGATTCCCCTCAACATCAATTATTTTCAATCATTATGATCATATCGTTTCAGATCAAAATCAATTACCTTTTTCATAAACAGGCTATTTCTCAACTCCCCTACATTTCAAAGATGTCTCCTAGCACTGTTTATAGGTATTCTAATGAGAATTCCCAGTCATTTCTTAAAATCCATATGTTTTGTTAGTTCACGCTTCTGGTGTATAGAACTGGACGGTTCTTCGTTGCCTGGTGATCGCATTAAGCATCAAACTCGGAATTACAACTTAGAACAGTCCTGTTCCATTAAAGTTTTTATACACTAAAAGCGCGTACAGCTCGTCATCAAGCATTTTATAGAAGATCGGTAAACAGTAAGTTTCATTATGTTGTAAGTTCCAGGGTAATATTACTCAATTGAGCTGCAAGAAATCCAGATTATTTCATTATCTTATACAGTGGTGTAGTAACATGGGGTTCTGTGGAAGAGGGTGGGTGGATATGACCTCTATTATTTTATCAAGGAGCAATTTCTTGACGCTTTATAGCAAAGGGTTGTATGAATCTGACAAGGGTTTATTTTTGCATGTCTCAGTGATGCAAAACGATGCCCGTTTTTGATCGTGTATCCCACTTTTCAACTGTTTCTACACCGCTGATTTGATACCTTTCATGGAAGCTTTCAAGCAGGTCGTTGTAAGCGCCGTAATGCCATAGCCATGTTTGGTTGCTGTTTCTGCTTTGAATCAACGGGTTTTCTTGACCCAATTTGTACAAATACACCTTCATGTCTCCCAGTGGAAGTCGAAGAAACTCGACGAGATTAATCATCCCTGTAATAGATAAAAAGTGGCAGAAATGATCTGAATTTTGTCAACAGAAGCAAAATACATACTTAAATTCAGATTGCTCTTGAAGATTGCTCTTCACCAGTCTGTTTTACTCTATTTGATGCCCATCTTCAGAGCTTTAAATAAACTATTTGGTGCTTAGAACAGGAAGGGTCTCCGCTGTAGCCCGAGCACAGAATTCTGTGACCCGAGTATCATGCCGAATACTGTCAAACTCTTCAGTTGTCTCCAGGCAACGAAAACTTTTTCGAAATCAAAGAAACCTTAGAGAGTCGTCACGGAGCATAGACCTCTGGTGTTCATATGATTGTTGGGAGGCACGCAATATGATACTATGTAGTAAATTTTAATTAGAAATTAAAAGGAAAAAACATACATTTTCTGAATAATGCAGAACATATTCAGGAGATGTGACGCAGTTTTCAATTCAACTACAACTGTTTCATTCCCTCCTTCAAAACCATTTTAAACAAACAATCTTGCTCTACGATACGATTTTCAATAGCCTAACAACTCTCCTATTCCAAATTGTTGTTTTCATCCACATACTAAGTTCTCTGTCATCTTGATCCAATCAAATCCACTATGAGTGGTGATTGGGGGAGAAGAATATTGAATCATGGGACCATCTTTCCCCCCAAACAGACCGCAATAGTATGACACACTCTCTGACAAGAAAACTTTTACTTATGAGAAGACAAACTCACCATCACTATCCTTATCAAGCCTCAACTTTCGAAACCTGTAACAGATAAACACTCATATAAGAATTTTGAAGCCAGCTACTCCAAATTCAGTAAGATTATATATGCAAGACTTTGAAGCTTGAAAGGAAGGCAATGATGTTTGGAAAAGAACGAAAGCTCTGCATACATCGTTGATACATCTGCTGCAGACAGATAGAGATCTCCTTTGCCTTTGATGTAGGTAAACTGCAAGAAAACATTTTTGAACATTAAGATTGGAATTGTTTCTTTTTGAACAAAATCCAGGAAAATAAGTAACGATGCTTGAAATCTATCTTGCGCTAGAAACGATTCTTGTTGTTATTGAGGGTTTGCTACCTCAATGGGGCTCAAAAGCCCGTCCTTGTCAACATCCCATTCATGAAAGAGTTCTTCTGTAGCAATGTCTGGAATGCTGACTCCTGTAGGCTGCAATGGGCTCCTTTGCAATCCTGCGTTCTTTGCCATCATTATCAGGTACTCGCATTCTTCTGGCGAGAAATACGCGGGAACTTCTGCGGGAAAAGAAGAGGCTAGCGTAGTAGCATTATTATTAAAAGTTAATAAATAACTATACATCTGCGATTACAATCATCAACTCTCTGCACAGATCGTTATTTATCTATTTGTTTTGTGTATCTATTTATAACATGACTAAAATTTGTTTCACAACCTCTTTCAAACTATAAATATCCTTACCAAATATGGCCGGGTTGAGGCTTCGTGTTATGATGGTGTCTTTTCTCCCTGTCGAAGTGACAAGCTCGATATGGTTGAAATAACCAACCTATGAACAAATCGCAAAAAAACGATTCATCAGCCATTGGAAGCAAAATTTCTCTTTTCATATTTTTATTGTAAAATATTGGAGGTAATACATGTAGCATTATAGGAGTAACATAGGTAAAGTAGCAATTTCATTCATTCCTACTTTTCTTCACTTATCTCAATTTATTTTCCAACTTGTCTTTCTTCTTCAGAAATTTCTTACCATCATTTCCTTATCGTAGCATTCTACGAACATATCACTTACAAGCATTCCCTTTCTTTTGTTTAGGCCAAAGTCGACATGATTTAGATAATAAGCTAAACTGAATCTAATCATAATTGTTTAGAAAAAGGATGTTAAATGAAAATGAATTTATGAAGGAACAAAGTTATTCAGTTATGGACTTTCCAACATCGCAAAATTAGCAAAACCGGGCATAATATTTTTCGAATACCATTCCGCAATCCTAGATTTTTCGGACAGTTTTAAGGGAATAGCAATAACATCTTAAGTTAAGCAATAGTTTCCATTATTATCCATTATTCTCATTGATAATTCACAATTTCACGACAGACCCTACATCTCTTTTGTCATTTGGCTCTCAACCCGAAAGCACGTCAATCAATCAAGACATCAATCAATAGCTGGAAAACTTGGGAACGAAATAAAAAGCTGCTATATGCTCCAATAAGCAGGTTTTGGGTAAACCAAAGAATATTTTATATTTATCCAATGCCTTTCCCAGAATTTAGATTATAGTTTACAATTGCAATGGAGAAATTACGAAGTTTTTTTACTTTGTTTACAAAGTGGCAACAAATTTGAAATACAAAACTGCAAAATGCACAGTATATTACAAACCTGAACTCCCTCCCTTTTTGGCAAGCGAAAATTCTCAAATGTTTGCATGCCGCAGCTGAAGAAAATCAGCTGGTTTAAAATTAACACTGCAACGGTTAAATCCAGTCTCATACTTGTCTTTTTTTCGGCAGATCCTTAAACTTACGTCTATAATTTTAAGATAGAGCAAGATGTAAATTTACGATTTGTTGTTGATCTTTGATGTAACCTGCTGATCTTGACAAAAATTTCAGATTCTTCATCTCTTCTGCATGTACCTTTGTTCGTAGTATAATTTCGAAGCGTGTATTGCCGGCCTTTCCTTATTAGTCTTGGAAGCCTCGATCTCGTTTTATGCCTTTATTTTACAGTGAATTGACCTTGGACTTTCATTGCTAAACACTATCATTATTTTTCCAGCCCATTCCGACAGGCACACTTACAAGTTCTATAGCTGCATGCAAATTTGAGATTTGCCTTGAAATTATTTTAGGAATAAAGGCTCTTTTATTTGCAATGGCAGATCTCGCCTAACCTACTGACGTTCTCAAATCTAAATATTGCAGATAAACAAGCTATCATGATATTTCTTCAAGGTAACATGTACTTCGCTTTTTATATAGAAGTTTTGTCGATGTATTCAAAGTGTGCTGGTTGCGAAATTTTGTTACATATTAATTGCAGCAACCTAATCGTGATGTTTTTGAAGTTTATGCCTAAAGCCTTCAAAAACCCCTGCAAGAGCATGTATGTTCTGACTTTCCTCCTCGCAAATCATGTTTACGTTTCATTTGAGATTTCGTTTTAGACAAGTAAAACACACAGCAATGTTTATCTTCTTGCTATTTTAAAGCACGTATTGTGATTTTTGTTTTTTTTTCACATCAAGTTGTAACACTTATCATTCTCTTAATTTATATTGCTTTTTAGAATTCAAGTTCCTGCCACTTGAAGTGAAGAAAAGCAGTGTCACTTTCAAACTTTGACGTAAACATAACCTCACATAACTCATGGTGAGAATGATTAAGTTAATATTCTAAACAGGAAGGGCCCTAGGGTTGATTCCCGGGGGACACCTTGTTTTATTACTTTCAAGCAACTGCATATGCCATCAGCATCCAGCTGCTTTTATTAACATGATAACTAGTTATGCATGACCTGTGCATGAAATCTGTATGAATTTAACTAAGCCAGTAAAAGGTCACGACCAAAGCCTTCAACGAGTTCGTTCAGATTGCCCCAGCAAACACTTTTATCAAAATCTTTATCGATAAGCAGAGATTTTGGCAGAAATATGTTCACAAAATGCAGTTGGTTTACTGGAAGTCTCTGACAGGCTTTTTTAGACTGATGCTATTATAATAAGATTATATTCCTATAGCTCTCGTTTGTGAATAAGTCACTTTTTTAAAAATGAACTAATATGCCGTCATTGAAATTTTATGGGACAAGCTTTACAATCTTTTGGTGGTACAAAACTTGAAAACGGCTTTGAAAAAAGCAAACATTTAGTAAACTAAAGCTTTTCGTCTGACACTCTTCAGAGTTTAAAATGTCAGAACATAGACCGAAAACTCTACGCTAGGAAACTTATATACCCAGTTGTGGATCGAAATAGGCCAATCAGAAACATGAGCACATGACTGTTGCGGTTGACCAATCAGTGCCGCTTGCCTATTGAGAATGTTACCAGTGGAATCCTAAGGTGAAAACGAACTCCTTTTGTCTAAACAGTAGCGGTTATTTCGTGCTATTGTAGATAGATTCCAAAACTGCTAGGTGGAACGACGATCGGGCTTTACCAATTATCCGAAACATGTCGCCATTATAGTTTTTTGTACAATCTGGGTTTTCCAGTAAATGCTGTTCGATAGCAGAATCGCAGTTTTTAGTTGTACTTTTAGATCTGCAAAACCGAGGTGGCTGTTCTCTTTGGGGACGAGTTTTGTTTCTAATACTAGGCGAAACATGTTGTTTTATTCTATCCTCTAATCTTTGGGTAGTGCGCCATACGTAGCAAGAATCACGCTGGCACGTTAATTCATATACAACGAAACCTTTTTTGTGTGGTAGGAACGCAGTCCTTTTCAATGGACGGAAGGGCCTTTTTTGTACTTTAAACAACAAGTGGGTTGATTGCAAAGAAACAATTTGTAATGGCCTGTTTTATTTGACTTTCAAAACGTAGGGAACTGCCACCGATCCAGGGTAGTTTTAGATAAACCAGGCACTTTTGAGGACCAAATTTTACGTCAGCTGAGAAATTTCCTATATTCTCCTTAATGTAAACTTAAATAACATCTTCTGGATAGCCGTTCTCCAAAAGATCTTAATTAGTTTTTCAAGTTCCGAGTCGAGTTCAGACTTGGAACAAATCATCAGTGCCCTATGTGTAAGCGTTTTGATGAGGCTGATTTTTCTTTGTTTTGGGCAAAACGAACTCCATCGAGTGTATAACCCCGAAAATGTGGGTTTACGGTATACACTAGTGAAAAAAATCCAGCTCCAGATTTTTCAACCAAAACATCTAGAAATGGCTGGCAAGAAAACGAGTTATTTTCTTCCTTTTCAAATGTAAACTGTAGGGCTGTGTGCAGGCCATTAAGGCGTTTGAGGAAAGTATCACACTCAGCCTCTGTTTTGAAAATAGTATATGTGTCATCCACATACCGAAAATAGACACCTGGCTTTTGGTCGCAGTCAAAGAAACGCTCTTCATGAAAGCCGACAAAGATATTGGTCAAGGCAGGTCCTAGAGGGCTACCCATGGCGACACCATCCTTTCGTTGGTACATCTCATTGTTGAAGCTGAATTCAACTGAACGTGTTGCAGTTTCCATCAGTTCAATGAATACTTCCTCTGGAAAGCGTCGGCACACATTTTAATGGTCTCACTCAAAGGGACATTTGTGGAAAGGCTGCTAATGTCAAATAAACACATGAAAGATGTTTCGTTTTCGATGTTCAAGTTTTGCATGAACGCAGCGAACGTAAAAGAGTCCTTGATACAATGTTTTGAATATTTTTGAAGAACAGGGTCCAAAACTTCAGAAAGCCACTTAGCCAGTTCGTGTTGTGCTGAACCAATCATAGACAAGATGGGTCTAAGTGGAACATTCGGCTTGTGTATTTTAGGGAGGCCATACATTTGTGGACGTTGTGAACCTGTGGGTCTTATCCTATCGTAAACTTCGTTGGTCAACACTTTTGAGTTAACCCTTTTGAGCTCCAAGGTTAACTCAAATGTGACAAAAGCTTCATGGGACAAACGACAAACTTCATCGAAAAGGTTAAGCAAGCAGAACGCAACTATCTCAGTTATCTAGGAGGAATAATCCTAATAAGCTAGGCCATCTTGATTTTGAGGTTATCAACATGATCAAGAATTATCGAATCAAAGCTTGGAGATAGTGTCGATTCATGAATTGCTCAGTCTGCAAAAGCTTTACTATTACTTTGCTATCTCGTCTCACGCAATTAACTAATGCGTTAATGTGCAGCTGACCAATGCATTAAGTAGCTAAATCCCAAGAAAAGAGTTTTGTGGTGTATCCTTCTTTATATAAGTATATTGATGAAACCTCATACACCAAAAAAACCACTCGGTGAGCCATTAACAGTCTGTGAGTCATCAAACAGGAACAAAAATACCCAACAGGCCTGACCCCTTTACGACGATTCTTATGTTAGAGCTACAACGACGATTTTTATTACATTTGCAAATAATTACAGGCCTTTAAAACTGGCATTTTGTTTCTCGTCTAGCCTTAAGAAAAGCAACTCGAGGCTAGAGTCTCATTACATCGACTTTGCTTGCGCTCTGTTGAAAAAGAATGACATTTATTTATTGGAAAGCCAGTGATATAGCCTCATTGGGTCAAAGGTGACTCATGGATGATCGGCATAAACAATCTGCAAGGAGGCCTGTTTTGTGACCGACTTGAAGAATTTTGTCAAAGTTCGAATATACTGAAATATTATGGGGTTCGACCCTCCTACAAAGTTGCATTGTTTACAATTAGTTTGTCTGGACATCGCAAAGCTACCCTGCCACACATAGGTTGTTTATGTACAAGCCTTGATGGTTTTCCTGTGATCAGTGAAGCGTGATGAGGCTCATTGGTGATCGTTGCCCATGTCGAGATTTGATTGAGAAGACCACGGATGATGTTAGTTCTGCGCAATTCCATAAGCAGCAGTGAACAATGGTCGGGCAATCAAGCGCTTTTCATTCATCTGCGCTATTCATATCCATGTTTATGCCGAGTCAAATGATCAGCTGAGATGCCTAGAGACAAACTAATTACCATTGATAAGCTAAAAACTTCGCTGAAAGAGGAGCAACGGCCTCAGCAAAATCAGAAATGCGATAAAATGCAAAACAGCTTTACAATGTTCCTTGTTTATTTGCTCGAACCGATTTTACCTGGCGATGGTAACAAAACGGACGGGAAGATTGCAAGCGTCGTCTACCTCATTTGTCTCACAACTGCAGGAATAGTAATGAACATCGCGAGCTGGCTGCACAATGATGGCACGGTAACTGGCGTAACGAGGGATCACATCGATGGTTTCTTAATGACATGCATATGCCCTGCACTTATTTGGATACTTTATATATTTTGCAAGCAAAATGACAGGAAAACTGTTGATTTTATCAGTCCAATGCCCCATTCGCACAGGCCCTTAATGACGGGTGCATATGTTTTTGGAGCTGGGAGCTGTGCAATGGATGTTCTTCACATTGGGTTCTATATGCAATGTTCAGAAAGCTTGTCCGGCATGGCGTTTTCCGTGTTCAAAGCAGTTTTTATCATTGCTCAAATCCTTTTCTTGCGGAAGTTCTCGGATGCCACCCTCCACAAATCACAGAATATTAGACTAGTGCTGTTTCATATACTGGGTACAAATGTTTGCCTGTGGTTTCGTGCTTTATTCAGCCACGTTCGCCTTATTAACAAATCTAGCTTTCAATTCAATCCTCTTAATCAAACAGTGACATGTGACAACCAAAAGACACCAATGTCTCAAATATGGCTTGCCTCAGAGCCGTACCTTTATCCTTTCACCATGGAGTACTCCCTCATCTCAGGAGGGATCCTGTTCATGATGTGGAGCGGGCTGCGGGACCTCAACCCAGACCCCCAAGATATATACATTTACGATGAAATTTCCGAATGGAATACGAGCGAGGCTGGGGATTTCAAGGATGACAGTAGTGGCTATATAGGAAGCAGCACACCTTCGACGTCATGGTCACGGTCCCAAAGTCATGCTTCGCTTTCAACAGCCTCTGTTTGCAAATCATGTCAAGAGACTAGAGAGGCAATTCGAGATTCCTACACTTCGAGCTCCGACCCTGGATTCCTATTCGGAGTGCTACTTTCAGCCTTCCTGCTATTTGCCATTGCATTGTTAATGCTAGACCATGGCTCTGAACATGCTTTGCGCTTCTATTATGTGTATCAGATAATGCTACATGCTGTCATGGTGACAGCACTATGGACCTTTCTCAAGGCACTACAAACCCAGCTGCCCGCCTGGTACTCATACGATTCGGATGACACACTCTTGATCGTTTCTTTCACAGGGGTTTTTCTTTATGCTGGCCTCGGTTTCACATCAGCTATATCTGAAATGAAGGCAATGTCGTCATTATCAAACTATGTAGCGGCCAAATCTGTACTTGTACTGTTTGAATCGATGTTGCAAGTGACTGCCATAATAAAGGCATTACGATTCAAACCCAACGTGAATGGTTCTTATGCAGACATGATCAGACAGTGCGCTCTTTTTCTGTTAACAACAAACATTGCTCTTTGGGCGCAAGACTCGTTTTTTGAAATGCGTAGTAGTCTAACTACACCAGTGCAAAATAAGCAGTTTGGAAGCACAAGTTGGCGTGCAATCACTGTTTTCGCCTACCCATTGTGCATATTTTTCAGGTTCCATTCGGCGGCTTGTTTATTCGAGGTTTGGTCAAACTTTAAGCAGTGCTGCTCGTAAATTCGCCGCTTAGAGAAATACTAGAGAGTCTCACTGCCTGCATAAAGCAAAACGATTGTAATACAATGAAACTTGTATATTTTATACTTATTACTACTAAGAGCTAACAATAAAAGTATGATATCAGAAAGGTAACTGTATTTTTTATGGATTGAGATGTCTATGAAGCAGATTCATGTACCTCATATGCAATGATATAAAAGTTCGAATGGAAGAAAGGGCTCCAACGAGGTTTCCGCAAAAAAGATTATCATTCTGAATGTAACCATAATACAGACGCTCATACCAAGCTTAAAGTGCACAGGTTCAGTTCAGTTCAGTTCAGCTAAACCTTTAAAATTCCACAACATATTAAAGCTTTTTAAACTAACATAAAATTAACTTATAACGAGTTACACAATAGACATTTTATATAATAGGATTACATTAGATTTGGTATATTGAGGAAATTCCTAAGGAGAAGTCTTTTCAGTAGATAAACTAATCGAGAGCATCGCCTAGGCTGAAAAACTATTATTTAAATTATATTTTCATCGACAGTTTCGAATAACATATGTCGACAAAATTTATCATTGACGAGATTTTAACACTGATAATTGGTGGAGAGCAGATTCAATTTTAGATCAAGACGGGAAATCATCGGTGAAGGAAACTGTTTAACATTGAAGGGGTTTTCATTCCAAGATTTAGCGACTGCATATCTGATTGATTATATTGCAATGTATTTGTATGCATCATAACAATATCACCTTTGTAAGACTGCCTTGTAATATATGCAAAGAAACTTTGTTGACAAGTTGCAAATGCTGCCACGTTATTAAAACATTGGTATTTTTGTTACAAAGCCAGTTTAATAGTCGTGGATGATTTTTAAACTATATTTCTGAGGCGTTGTTCCTAAAAATGCTTGAGTAAAAAACGTGCAAAGATTGTGCAAAGTGACGCATCTGAGGAAATGAGGGCTGAGACTTGACGGATGCAGAAACATCTCTTTAGAGTTACAACCAACTCTCGCGTGTTAGCACAAAGGAAACTTTAACGGTGCTCTAAGACTTGCGGTGATTGCATAAGTCTGTATGTACTTTTCTATCCATGCTATTTTCTCAATGTGACGTCATTTGCGTAGTGTACCTTTCCACATGAAAAGAAACAGCAGTTCTAAATTAAAGTTCTGAATTAATTTGTTTTTTTTTCTTAGCTTTAAATTTTGAAAATTTGAATAGAAAGCCCGGAAGATTACAATAAAGAATTGTTGATTTTACCTAGATATTGTACCAAAAAATAAGAAAACAATTTTGGTTTAGCGAAGTTATGTCTATGCTCGTGAGGGCTAGCTGGAAGTTGGATTAACCTGTCAGTAGCCTTGAAAGGATTTGTAGTATTCGTGACGGCGAATTTTTCTATTTTGTTCTTTAAAAATTAGAGATAAATGCAAAAGTTAATGCAAAGCGTCAAGTCCAAGCAAGATGCTTGAAGGTCCAAGTATTTGAGTTGGTAGCTCAAGTTATTCAAGAATTCTGAATAAGGGGGTTGTTATTCTGTCTAAAACAAAAAGCAAACTTCGAATAAGCACAGGCTGGAAAACAGTCTGTAGTACATGCAGAGTGGGTAAGTGCTTTTGCTTATGATTCGCCATAACTTGTCTCCATAGAAACTGATTTGCAGTTCTGTTTTATCGTTGTGATTCAAATCGAAATAAACCAGGTGAATCCACAGAACGAAGTTGCAGACCATTAAATAAAGGATGCACTGCCTCACGATGTTTGATGACCTTGGTTTCAGAACCACTTGGCAATACGAGTATGCCTTCAAGATGAGGTGAGTTTGCATGACAACCTGCGCGAAAAAGAGGCAATGGTCGCAGAATGCAAGATTTACATAGTCAGTAAATTGGTGTCTTTGCATTTCTTTGATAAGTGCCAGAATAGAGAACCACGAGTACCACGTACAACAGAACAGCAAAATGAACAAAAGAACTGTCACAGGGAAGGAAATGCCAGGCACTTGTGGAATTGGGAACTGTTTTAGTTTTAATGTACATAATATTGTCGCTATGATCATTGACACGATAAAAATTAAGTGGAACGCGAACAGTTCTATCTTCTTGTCAGTTAAAAAATTTTTCTCCCACCAAAAAGTATAGGGGATAGAAAGAATCGCCCCAATCGTTAGACCAAATACGAGGCCAGCATCCATATGAGGCTCTTTCTGGACAGCACTGCTTATTGAATGAAATTTTTCCTGGCTCATCTCAGTTTCGGTTGTCGTTTCCATGGATATGTCGTGTTGCTCCTCCCCAAGCTGATAACTGAAGCGCAGCGGCTTCGAATGAGATCTAGGAATCTTTTTTATATTCGTCCAAATGATCAGCAAAAGAATAGCAACAGTGATGTAAAATTCTTGATCAAAAGCTATAATGTATTCATCTTTACCATTCATAATTGGATTGATAAGCACATTTGTGCAGTTGCTAACCATTATCCACGGCGATGAAGGCAGAAGTGTGCGCGAGTTGGCCAGGCACGTTCTCAGCATTAGACAAACACATGTACCCAACACATGAAATATTTGAACGGAGACGTTGATGAGATTAGCTGCTGCATATTTGCGCAAAAACATCATCAAAACGATTGAAAACACAAGTTTTAATGCAGTTAATGCAAATCGGAAATACAAGGTTTTGATGCAACCAATCAGAATCCAGATTGTTATTGTGTCTGTAACAATGCAGGATATGCCGAAGAGGTAAACGACTATCAAGAGAGGTCGAACGTATCTCTTGGGAAGATCCATGAAGATAACGAGAGAAGATTTCTGTTGCTTTAATAGAATTGTAAACATCCAGACGATCGATAACAGCATGCTTAAACTGCAAAACAAATCAAGGGATATTTCATGTAGTTGCCTTGCTGACTTGGCAGGCAATTGTGGTGATATAAAGTACATCACGGACAGAATGAATCCGACAGAGACAAGAAAATACAAATACACCATTGACTCAATGGTTCTGTCTTTGCCGACATCATTTGAAAAATGGCTTTGACTTTTCGGTGACATTGCCAGTGGTTGATTCCTTGGACTCCTCTGACCGAGTCTTTCATTAACAATGCTGTGATTCATGTTTTTCGGAGTTGTTTCTGCTCACCCGAGAACAAGTTTGTATTCTTTTAGGCCCTTTCGGAAATTTTAGGTGTGTACGTTGCAAATGGATTTTGTATTGTGTATGTACATGACCTATTAACCATGAACTAAAAGATCATCGAATTCGTAAGTCAAAGGTAAGGCTCTGTTTGCCTGCTTTTTGCTTTATTCGCCAATAGCAGGTTTTGTTCAACTAGCTTCACCGGCAAAGCGTTTTGATAAGATCGGTATAATTAGTGATCGGGTGATCGTTCACCATGTCACCAGTCAGCGCAAAACCACGAATGGTTGATGAGTAGGAGCTCTGATTCTCACTAAAAAGTTCTTACTGAAACGAATAGTGGGTGGTATCACTGATGGTCTATTGCCAATTTGATTGTTTCCCTGTGGCTAAGCTTCAATTACAGAAGCCAGATGTAGCTAATGATCACCAACCGTGGCATCAGGAATATCTGAAAGTAGTTTAAACGGACAAATTGTAAAGCTGCCATGGATCGGATGGAACTCAGCGATGATGACGGAATAAAGAGTCCCGTTTCGGATCAGAATTGCAGCTGTAGCTCTTGCTGGCACTGCTGTGTTTCTAAGAATGTTAAAAAGTCTAGTGACGTTCTGAAAACACACAACATGACAATAAGTCTCCTTTATTTGCTTTGTTTTTTGACGGGAGCAAGCTCATTGGCAATCAGCTTTTGGCTCGGCTTAACAGATGTGTATTGGGTGCACATCTTTATGATAACATTGATCAGCCCAGCCTTTGTTGGCTTTGGTTTGTTCCTTGGTTGTAAGTCCAACTGGAGTGAAAACACGCAAAGCGCAAAAGCATTATGCTATGGACGTTCCTATATCATCGCTATTGTTCCTTGTTGCTTAGCAGCAGTTGCCCTCGATGCCTTGCGAATTGCGTTATACATAGAAACAAACCGAAGCATCACTGATATTGTGTTCATCAATTTAAAATTCTTCTACATTGCATTTCAAGTCGTTTTTTTGATAAAATATATCCGCTACCACATTGCAGAAAGTCTTTGTTCAAGGCTGTTTCTCGTGCACTTGATTGGGACTAATATTTTCTTATGGTTTCACGAATTCTCCGTCCACTCTACACGCAGCCTAGAGTATTTGCGAAACGAGTACTCAAAATTATATGTTCAAAAAGGAAAATTGATATTGAAGATAATCGACAGCAGTGAACCATACGTGTATCCGCTGGTCATGCAGTTTATGATAATTGCGTCTGCAGCCTCGTTCCATATCTGGCTGAACGTGCGAGGGCTTGAAGCCGAGACACAAGATATCTACATTGATGATGATTACACAGAAATGCGAGGGGCAGTCACAAGGAGACACCGCACGGTTCGCTATGTGGCAGGCCCCATAGCCCACTCAGAGATGATCGAAGCAAACGTTGAAACAAGCGAGAAGCACATTCCATTGCTCTCTTGTGGGTTGGTGATTGGCTCGTTTTCTTTTGTCGGCCTTGTGTTCTCAGCATTGCTACTACTGTCACAAAGTTTGGACCGCAATACAGCCTTGACAGTGTATCATGTTTACCAAAGTGCGTTGTTTGTGTGCATGATTTCGTCATGTGTTACTTGCCTTGCGAAGATGTCCCAAGAGCAAATACATACTCTCAGTGTTGGTGGGTTAGACATTCTTATCCTTGTACCAATGCTTGGCTATTTGCTTTACGCTGAGTTTTCTGGGGTTGCTAGCTTTTCGGACATTTTTGATCACCGTTCTTCGGCTGTAGTACTTTTCTTATCAATTGCAAAAATCATTCAAGCTGCCTTGCAATCTATAATCATCACCAAAGCATATAGAAACGAACTAACATCCTCGGGCCAAGGTTGCTGTTCATTTGTTCCAAATGCTTTGATGTTTCTCCTTTTTTCAAATGCAGGATTGTGGATATCGGAATCTATATTTGATTTACGGATATCGTTTGTGACACCTGTCCAGTGCAGGTTCTATGGAAGTTCGCTTTGGGAGGCAATCAAATTTGCGCTTTATCCTTTATGCGTACTGTTTAGATTCACTTCCTGTTCAAGCCTGCTCGAGATTTTGCTCTGGTCAGATGAATTTTGACAGATGTTTCAATTTCATACGTTTCATTTAACCGAAAAGAAGGTTATTCGAATTTCTCTCGTAGTTGCAGAGGCTGGTGTGTACAGCGGCTGTCGTTTTGGAAACTTTTAAATTTGATTGATAAATTATCTGCAATGTAAAAAGTCTTTTGTTTATTTGCTTTTTAAATATCTTAAATATTAATTTGCTTTTAAATGTTTTATTTGCAAACTGCTATTTTCTTTAGATGCATTTTAAAGCGTTAACGGTTTACTGGTATCTAGATATTCATATTGAAGAGATGGATCAGCTATTCAGTGCTTACGCAAAGATCAGAACATCCAGCCCCCTCCCTTGTACACAGACGCAAGCCTTCAAAAAACCTTTTACCAATACTTTTTCCCACGTATGCTATCGACCCCCTCTTTTTTGAGGATGAAATTTCTCTGTTTCAAGAATACTTTTATTTTTTACAAGTACTAGCGTATTTTAGATGCTGCAAAAGATTGCTCCGAAGCCTATTATATTATGGAAATCTTTGATATGGGAGATTAGTAAAATGTGCTCAAAACGCAAATTTTTACGTAAAATTCAACTATTTCGCCTCGCAGGGTCCAGGTACGGTCAACGGGAACGATGCTGTTTTATGCCCTCAGAGCATCTCGACTTGCACATACAATTTCTACATAATTCCTCCTAAAATCAATGAATTGCTCAGTTAAAGGGCGTTAAAAAGTTGATGGGCGTCAAAAAGATGATAGGGGTCAAAAAGAGGGTTTCCTCACAGTGCCATCCTAAGTGTGAAATCCACGTAGTAGAATTATTATGAACCTAGCGATTTCCTTATCCACATTTCATTGCAGCTACAAATTATAAGTGCGTGAAGAAACAAACATGTTGTTCCATCTACCATTCGTTCTGCTTTGCACCCATTGACTTGCCTATGTTCTTGGAATGTTATTCTTAAAAGCTGTAAATTAAAAAGCCGAACTATGCAAAATATGCAAAATTTCATCATCCAAGCTTTCAAATTTCAAATGCGGACGACGGGTGGCGGACGAGAACAATTAGAAAAACGTTTTGTTTTCCGTGTCACGTTTCTTTTAAAGCCAGGTAAACAGCCAGCCTGGTTGTCAATTGATACCTTTCCTCCTCTTGGGATCCCTTTTGCATGTCAAAAAGGTTTAAGCTCATTGCGAATTGAACCGAAGGCACACATTAACCATGCAATTACCTAAAGAGGGCCTGGTTTTTTGGATTTAGTGCCATAAAAGGATCTTGATATCATCAATGCTTGATGTTGCCCACGTTCAGGTGAATGTCATATGTAACTAAAGGAGGAGCTACCTATGGCGCGCATATACCGACAAAAATAGGAAAGTCATGGCACAGAATAGAATAGAAGAATAAGAATTGATTGCGAGGAACAACACCTTCGTACCTTAAAATTGTATAAATAAGGTAGTCACTCCTAAAATGAATCGAATCTGCCATGTTTTCGTCATTTAATGATGATCTTTCGCAATCAATTCTTACTCTTCTGATCATGTCACAAAGGAAATCAGCAGCGGACCATCGTTGTGGCAGAGAAGCTTCCGCCATGACTTTCCTATATCCTGGAGCACAAAAGGAGGCTGCTTGGCAAAGTTCAGGAAGAGGCTATCAACATTCACCATTGAAATTTTGGAAAAGCCACTGAAACTTTAGAGTGATTGAAATTTTAGAAAATGTTGAGCGGGGGTTCAAACTTTAGAAATGGTTGCAATATTAGAACTAACCTAGCATGACTGAAATTTTAGAAATCTCGCAGAGCAAGCGATCGGAATTTTAGAAACGTTGACTAAGTAATTGAAATTTTAGAAAATGTTGAACGGTGGTTGAAACTTTGGAAATGACTGAAATTTTAAAACTAGCTTTTCATGAGAATGCAAAGCAATTGAAGTTTTAGAAGATCACTAAACTTTTAGAAAGTAGGTGAAATTTTAGAAAGAACTATTTTTGGCGGTATATGCGCGCCATATCTACTGACCATAGAGTTTGCAAACCATATGCAAAAATGGTTTACTGGAGAAAAAGTTGAGAACAGACAGTTAAACATTTTTTTCTGAGAAGGACAAATAATTGTTACATTAGCAAGGGCTGTGAAGAAACTATGTCCGTCAACTCCATAGAACTTGAGATACCAAGTAACCATGAAGTTTTGAGAGCAATTTCCGTTCAAAATCTAGTAAGGAATTTGGTTTTAAAGTACGGAATTAGAAACTGCATCTAAATTTATCAGCCATTAACCGCACTCGCCAGAAAACCGCAATTTTTCATACACAAAAACCAAATTATGATACATTCTGATATTTGAACTTCTTGTATCTAGCGTGTGTAACATAATTTTTTATTAGTACTTTTTAAAGCGGGCATCTGCAAAGTAATGGTAACAGATTTTCGGGGCTACCGTGCCTTGATAATAAAAAAATGAATGAAAATAAGATGAATATATGAATAAGAAACGGTTGAGAGAAGACATTCAGAGAAGGAAGTTTTTTAACGACTTGAAGAGGAGAATATCCTATCGTTAAGTTCAAGTTAGAGTCAGCCCCCAAATTCCTAAAGTCTATTTTACACAATATAATTTTATCTTTTCCAGAGCACCACAAAATCAACCCCCCCCCCTCCAAACATTAGCAAGATCTGAATTGTTCTAACAATGAAATTGAAGAGGATTCGGTAACCAATGTAAATCAATGAGAAATAACGGCTATCAGCTTCAGGCAGACGGAAATAAGTTGAAATACATTTTCATTGAGTGTTCCAGCGAAAAAGACAGTGAGGACGAGAATGGAATCCATACCATATCCTCTCAAACAAAATTTACTTTTGAGTTGTTGTTTTTCACTTGTTAAAAATTTCTACTCTTACTTTCCAATGATATTCAGTTACCTATAAAGGACGATGAAGTCATGCAAAAACGTCGAGAAGTAAGTAAAATAGCAATTCTATACATCCTTCAAAAGCTCTGATTATGAGCCACTCGAAAATGGACATTTTTGTCAATTATAGTTGCGAGGAAACAACAAAGGCGTTTCAAAGTGACTTTTCTCTAAGTTGTCGGTGTTATCGTAAAATTGACTTCACTTCAAATTACTCTTTATTCTATTTTTGTTTTGAAGTCTACTTAGAAAATTTAGTGCAAATATGCAAGAAATGGTAAGGCCGAGTCATTGGCCGATTTTTAAAGAACTTTAATAAAATTTATGATGTAACAAACAAAGTAACTTCAGTCGGTAATATTTTTTCCTACCTTAGATTTGAAATATCCATAGCTGAATCATTTGGAAGGTGAGGTAGATTTGAGGTTAGGCAGTTTGCTAGCTGTTTCTAAAAACCTCTCTGTGTACAGCTCTGCATATACGGCGTCGAGCACTTACTTTATGACAGACAGCTAAACAAAAATTGTCATTTCATATTCATTCGTATTTGGATTTATCGTATGGGATAGAAAGTGATGAATCGAGAGTGTCTTTTTCACACAAAAGACAAGACTCAAATGGAAAAAAGAGTATAGACGTAACGTAGACATCTTCGACTTAAGTTCATTGAGTTTTAAAAGCGTCACGTAACAGGAAAAACCCTATTGAATGACACCGCAGGAAGAATAAGATGAACATTGTTTTTAGGACGTTTCTAATTTCATATGAATCAAGCAGTGAAGTGTTTCATGGGCGTACTAGTTGCCCAGCCTTGGAAGTCACTGGTATTTTGGAGCAGGGCCAAGGGGATGCCAATTGTTTTAATAGCGGTCGACGCATGACGCAGTATCAATGAATAAGAGGGCTTTCCGGAAATTAGTTTCACCAGTAACGAGATCTCAGGATGTTATTTTGTACAAACGTTCAACATAAGCTGTAACTTGCAAAAATAGCAAAAGTTGTCCTGGTTGTGTTTAAAATTTTATAAATAGAAGCTACATGTGAATGCAAACAACAAAAAAGAAAAGTCAAAGTGAATCGATATTTTGTCTGCACAGAGTCGCGAACTTGTGGCTCTATTGAACAAATTCAAAGAGGATTTTAGCGAGGTTAAAAGAATGCTATACCACAAGTAAGCTTCAGGGCTGATCAGGGAACAACGCATTGAGAACAACAAAAATACTGTTTTCAAGAAGACCAATTTTTAGTTTAAGACAATGGAAAATTGGAGGGATTGCAGCAACCAGTATTATGAAAATATGCTGAAAAATGCTGAACAATTTTTAGAAAAAAGAAGGTTGAAGACGCACCAAGAATTGTGTAGATGCAGGGAAGAAACAGAGACAGAATTCAAGCTGCGTTTGAAGGAAATCGCTTTCCAGTCGTTGCTCAACCTACGTGCAAGATTTTACGAATCCAAAAAAGAAATGAAGCTGAAAGTCAATAGAATCGAAGGATTGATGAATCAAAGGGAATCGAAAGGAATCGTTGATTCAATCAAGAAGGTAGCACAAGGATTGGAATCTGATAACAGCAATCCGGGAGACAATTGCTTTGAACTATCGAAAGATGATGAAAAACGTTTTATACATGTTTCAAGCACGCTAAGTATTGGCAAAGAAAGGAATGTTCCGAATGAAATTTCATTGCTAGAAAAAGTGCATCAAGGAAAAACAAGCTTTAGCCACCAAGACATTGAAGGTGATTCAAAAAGCATAGATGTTGAAAAGCTAGAGATGGACAATTCAAATGTATTCAGCGAGAAAAGCAGCGAAGCTTCTGTGCTGGACTCAAAGTTTTTAATGAGGAGTCTGAATGACATTGACATCAAAGAGAGGCTAAATGGAGAGCCAAGTGAAGAAAGGTTTTCATTTTCATCGTCACTCAGTTTCGAAAATGAGGCTAATGAATGGAAGAATACAGTAGAAAGTGGTCGTGGAACTGATTCTTTTATTAGGGGGAGAACAGACGAAGAAATGCCGCAATGGGAAATTGAAAACGTTTGGCTTTCGGGGGAGGAAGAAATTCACATAAAAACAGAAGAATCTGGGAAGAGAGAAATTGAGAATTCAAATACAATTGGCCATGTCGAGCTTGAAGGCGAAAGAGATGGAATTACTTTGATGAAAAAATCATCTGAAATAAAAAGTGATACACGGATACACCCATCATTGGACATTCACGTAGAGCAGAGCTCTGGAAAATTGCGTTTACCCCCAGAAACACTTGAAAACACGTGTGAAATATCAGTTTCTTTTTGTACTGAAATAGAAGAAAACTGCGAAAAAGTGATCAAAATGCTACACGAGGAAAAATATTCAATAAACAACAATGAAAATAAGAGTTTGCAGCAATCTGAAAACATTTGTAGTGATCAATGTGTGAAGGGGAAAGTGAAAGTGTCTGGTGTAAAAAAGCGGGAAGAGGGAAACAACTTCTGGGAAAAGGCGATGGGAGGTTCAAAAAGCACAGAAATTGAAAACGGGTCATCGTCAAGTTTAGACAGTGTCTTTGGGGAAACGCAAAGGGAATCAGAAACATCGTTTGAAAATGTCTTTCCAATCGGTAGCTCACCAAGATCGCCCAGCAAATATGGAAGATTCAAATCCGAAAGAAAAGAGAGAAAAGCCTTGCTAGTTGACGGAAAGGAAACAAACTATGCACCAGAACCTCCGCAAATGCTAAAGCTACCGAACCAACCAATATTGTCACCGTCAGATTCAGAAACGGAAGATATTTGGTTGGTGACACCACTACCAAGTCCCTGGGTCCAATTCTCACCCTTGTTTGTTAACGATGGAACTGATCCATACACAGTTGAACAACAAAAACAATATTTTGTATTTTCTAAAAGAAATCAAACTGAACAAAAAAACCTTGATGACATTTCTACCACTAGAGAAGAAGATATATCGAGTGAAAATAGTTCCAATTTACTTTCATCTAAAATTTATGAACCCAGAAAGAAAACTGAAGTGAGGAAATCTAAAATCCCTGTGAGGGTGGATAAAAGTAAATTCATCAATTTTGCTGTGTCTTGATAAGTTTAAACAAGAAATATGAGAGTTCTGTGACAAATGGTGCCAAAGGTCGATAATTGAGCAAGGCCGGGATACACCCATCTTTTGACAAATTGGATGCAAAGGAAGGATACAAATCAGACACAAATTTTCTCAATAGGGGAGAGGAAGGAAGCTGAAGGACGCCAAACGGGACATCTTTTCTAAAGAATGATACTAGCAAAAGTTTCATGAAATAATTTTCGCCAAAAAATTCTTGTCTATACACACTAAATTAATTGTAATAGCAAAATTTTACATCGGTGGTCCTTGAAATTTGACTGAGAGAGAGGGGTAAATAAAAACATCACGTCAAGTTATATGAAACTAAACACAGGAAAAGTTTTGGAAGATATTTTTACCAGGCAGCAAAAATTGAATGTCAATTGCAAGCAAAAGAGACAATTGAAGGCATATAAAGTATCGGTTAATTAGCCAACTTATACGGAAGATCGAACAAGTCAACTGGCTTCAGATTTCCTATTTCTGATGCTTGATATCGCTGGCTTTTGAGAATATGTATGTAAGCAATGTAAATTTTGAAAGGAATTATATAATAGTATTAAATCAATTTCTCCTTTCCTTTAAGCTGGTCTTACGAAATGCCAAAATTGATAATTACAAAACCCAGATATAAAAAGTGCCTTGCTAATAGACGTAAGTTTTGTAAAATGCAAAGCCGCTCCCCTTCAAAAATTACAATCTTCGTTTAAAGTCAAATTGGAAAATTGAAAAGGATATATTGAAAAAAAGAAGCAGCAGAGATCTTTAATGACCGACCCATTGGGGATTTCTGAATCTGAGGACAATATGGTCTCTACCGATAGACCTTAATATCTGGTTGGAATTGCCATCAGAAAATACAATTCTCGTTCTAGCATAAAAGTTCATAATCGGGATCTTCAGAATTTTTTAAGGAATATCAACTTTTCAGGAATATTTTACGAAACATTTTTTGCTGCTTTTCCCTTTATTTGACATCCAACGAGGGGATCTTTTTGCTGGCATCTCAGTAGAATTACGAACATTTGTTCAAATCAGCACTCTTTCAAAAATGATGAGGTCAAGTTTATAATGAAAGGGCATATGCTGAAAGAGCCAATTGGGTCTCTTTTTGATCTCTTATAATCAAAATATCTTTGCGCCTTTTGGGAAGGATACAATACACAGCAGGCACTTCCTTATAAGGCAAATCATCCCTAGATGAAAAAGGATATGCTTGAGTAATTCTTCTTGATCTTCCCAAGGTTTCACACTGTTTCAATCATGAACTTCTAATGGCAAAACTCTCAGAATACGGATTCAGACAGGAAACACTTAGCCTAATGCGCAGCTATATGCATAAGAGGCGACAAATCAGGTGAAAGAAGTATTTGGGCGTTCCACAAGGCTCAGTGCCAGTCCCTCCCCTGCGATTCAATATCTACATTGACAAGACTTCTCTATCTGATGATGCGGACGGTAGTCTGATCTAGACAACGTATTAGATTATATAAACTAGATTGCGTGCTGTACAATAAAATATAAAATAACTATGAATTTAAGTAAATTGTGTTAGGAATGAAAGATAGATTATTACATAACGACGTTTCGAGCATATCCCGTTATCAAGTGAATAAAAAAGGCGATAATATTCCTTTCTTGTTTTTTAGTTTGATTATCCCAACAAATTTAGAAGCAGAGGTTATAGGAGCTTTATGTCCTTTAGATTAGTTAAAAATACATTACAGAATGTCTTCTTGTAGTCGTTATTTTTTGAATGAATAGGCTAGCCCATTCAAGCCTTCATAAATTCCGCCACAGGTTTTTATGATAATTGCTTTTCGAACATTTGACAAAAAATTGCTTTTGAACAGCTTAATACATTGCTGCTCGATCTCGTTGCCAACTGTAAATATTTTTCATTACATGGAAGGTTCGTGCTGTTTTTTCTATCCTCCAGTCCTTGGGTTGTAAAGATGCAAACCTCTGAATTGATGGAAGGTTGAATAAAACGATGATTGACTGCAAAGAAAGTTTTAGTAGTGACCTGATCAGGGAGGCCGGAGAAGGGGGTCAGCGAGGGGCCAGAGGGGCCAGAGGGGCCAGAGGGGCCAGAGGGGCCAGAGGGGCCAGAGGGGCCAGAGGAGCCAGAGGGGCCAGAGGGGCCAGAGGGGCCAGAGGGGCCAGAGGGGCCAGAGGGGCCAGAGGGCCCTTTTGATTAAAGTACCCTTGAAGCCGGCCAATTGTAGCATCAGAGAGATTCTTATGAAATTCCCGGTGGAATGGTCTCTGTTGTCCTAAACAAGGCCACCATCGACAAGCCTAAGCCTCGACGAGGCAAACGAGCTGTTGCTCCTGTATTTTTAATGAGTTTTAATATAGCTTCTAGCCATTTTTCCTTGGCCATAATTTGTATTTTTGTGTGTTTTCATAATTCTTTTAATTTTGAGCCTTAGATCATTCTTAAATTTTTATTAAGCGACACAAGGTGCAGCTAAAAAATATAAAAAAACGTTTTATAATGGAAATATTTATAATATACTATACCATTAACTACAATATACAATATATAGTGTTTTTCTAAGAACCTGGTTCTTTCTTCATGTTCGCCAAATTAATTCTGGACGAAGCTGGAGCCTTGCACTATGTTAAATTAATGTAAAACGCAACGAAAGTTGTACAAAGAATGGGCGCATTATTCCTGAGTTTTGTTGACGTACTTGCATAGTTTCCGATGTCCATGCACGAGAGGTCATACCACAACCGGAAGTCTGGTCGCGGCTGTTATCATAAAAGCACCGCGGGACATATTGCATCGTCTTCCTTTAGGTAGAGAACGGATTATCCTCATTATTGTTTGTAGATCTTTTAAAATACACAGGTTAGGCCAGACAACACAAGGATCAGGCCATAATCTTGCATTTTTGTTCTATATGACGGGTGAAAATGAAGAATTGGAATCTTTTACATTTTCTTGGTGTCATACTAACAAGTTTCTTAATAATTGATAAGGGTAAGTAGCCTACGTTTTCTTTGTTCTTGAACAGGTTGATGTTTAGTGTTTCAAATTAATGCATCATTCCCGTTTCTTGATGATTAAGGCAAATAGTCTCTCACAGCAAACCTAATTACCTTGACACAAGCTTTGGATCTACAAGAAGTGGACGTTTGTCAAGACTTTATGGTTTCATTGACTTTTTCATGACTTCAGTTGGTTTTTTTGTCAGTAATGGTAGTTTTCCTTTTCTGTCAGAATGATCTAAGGTCCATGGTGTCATCAGAACACAAATATTCTTCATTCTCATCCGTTTCCAGGGGCGCCGCCAAAAAATTCATAGTAGAGGAGGAGGGAAAGGGGGCTCCAGTTGATAACATTATTAACTCAAAAACAAACTTTTGAAAAACGCACTGAAATTCTTCACGATATTTATGCCTATAATTTCATCAGGGACTCGTTATGCTAGCGGTACATTGGAAGGCCAGCGAGAGGTTGTTGGGGGCCTTAGGTATATCCAAGTTTTTGCAATCACACCCTCTAAACTAGCTTAAAAAAATTTCAGAATATTCCTTGGGGTCCTTTCTTGCAAACATTTTGCGTTTTTCAAGGCATAGTATTTTTTACGTTTGATTAATTCCAGTCTTATAATGGAATTCGTTACTTTACGGAGCACCATAGACCCCGGCTTGTTTCTTTGAAATAAAGCAATACCGTAAACGGATTTATCGCACTACCTATTCTTTTCTTCTATTTCTATTTTTTTCTATTCTTTTTATTCTCTTGAAAACACTTTTTTGCAAAATGTAGGGGGGGGGGCTGGCTCAGACTGGTTATCCTCTAGCACGCCTACTTTCCTTTTGACAATTTTTATCTTGAAAATTTTGACATTGATAATTTTGAGAATGGTTATCCTTTTGACAATTTTTATCTACTGAAATTTTTATATAACTCAAAATCCGATGCACAGTAAGATCACCTGTGGAAAGAACCCAAATTTGTAGCCCAGACTGCCCCATTGTCAAGCCTTGTAGAAGTTTTAAAAACTACTGTCTGAAGAGGGCTCAAGTTTTGTGTTTAAAAACAGGTTTTATCACTAAACAGCTTTCAACAACAAATAGTTCACTCATTTCAAGATTTTCAGAGTTAGGAGAATTATACATTAAAGATATTAATGTTTTTATCAAGTTTAGCACAATTTTTATCTTAAGGAAAGTATTTCTGTAAGTTCTTATGATCATAGCTATGCATTGATAATAATTAAAATTAATGATGAGATGAAAGTTTTGATTACAAGATGAATAGTTTGCAGTTGAGATAGTTTGGTGGCTTTAAGGGCAATTGTGTGGTTTTATGGCCATAACGATAAACCATTAGTGCTTGGCACCACATCTGAAATTAATGACTCAACAACTGACAGAAGTTTTATTGTTATTAATGTGGGTTCCAAAGCAACCTTGATAATAAGGGGTTATGACTTAGTGGAAGTAAAAGCAAATTCACTTGAAGGATTCCATTGGAATGATATATATTGTGTGAATAATTTGCCACCATTAAGTGTTACAGACCATTCTGACTTGGCATACATTAAGTACCAAAAAGTCTGCTTCAAAAAACTTTTGTCCATATTTATGAAATTTCCATGTAAAATTTAGTGAGAATTTGAAAAATTTCAATGGGGAGAAAAAACTTTGGTGAGTAAAGAAATAAAGCATTTTCTATAAGCTATTTTTATCTTCAACATAAAATAATCTGGAACACAACCATTGATGTCATACTAAACTTGAATATTTTGATGTCAGCCCAATACATGGAACTGAAAAGTGGGCAAGAATGTCTTATACTTCTATTTAGATGAGGTATTTATTTATTTTATACATAATGGCAGTAAATTAATTGCTAAGCATTTACGGTTTGCAATATTCTTCATCGCCCATTGCAACAAAGGGATTTGGAATTCTGATCAATTGTGAGATAAAAATTGAGGAATCCAAATTAAACCACTGGAATGTTAGAAATAAATCATCGAGGGAAAATACGAAGAGCCAGTAGAAGAATCAGTTTAGCCAATAAAAAACTTAAATTTCTTGGATGTAGAGGGCAAAAGAATAGGAAAGTAAAGATGAGCTGGATATCTTATTTGTTGATGATGAACAGAAACTGAAAATTGATATGCATTTGATGTATAGAAATGCTCTAACAATATCAAGGAATAAAATTTTTGGAAGTCCATCAGCGAAAAACGATATTTTTCTGGCTTTTGAAAATTTCAGAAAGAAAATATTTTTGTTCCGAAAAATCTCTGTAAGGTTAATTTTGGTTGCCCTGCTTCTTCTGAAAAAAATCCCACCAAAATTTTTTGTACTTTATGTTGTCAGCACTTACAATTTTGATAAAAAAGAAAAAGACAGTAATTCAGTGCTATATTTTTTGGTTGTGACTTCAGAAGCAAAAATGTTCACTTAATCATAGTTGTAGCAGATATAGGGGCTGGAAGACCTACAGCCCCCCTAACCAGGCAACAGGCCCCCAAAACCTAATATTTATCCCATTTCAGGCTCCATTCAGACAATACTGTCTCAATGAAACAATAATATTTGGGCAAGTCAATACTAATACCATGTACTGATTGGAAGTACCCAACCTTAGAAGGGAATATTTGGCACACCAATTTAATTAAGATATGCTTATTGTCTTTGCCTTAATTTGCAACTGATAGTTGATCAGAAACCTTTTTTCTTAATACCCTGAACATCAGCAAGTTATATGAACCAACACTTTGCAAGGGAAATTTTTTAAAGGGGAGCCCAAAAGAATACAGAGAGCTAATGGTAACTGCAGTAACCGTTATAGACGGTAAATGCTATCAAGTTTTATCGAAATTGTATACATTATAGCTTCACAACTCATTAGAGCGTACTGAGCAGTGCATACAGGAAGGCAGATCATGGATGTCGCTAAATAGACTCGAACCAAATGGAGATAACTACAGATACAAGGACTGCCTGTGAGTTGAAAAAATTGCAGAAAGTTGAAAATGCTGCTTCATGGCTCCTTGTTGGTATAAACAGAAGATGGCACATAACACCAATTATGAGAGAACGTACCTGGTTTCTTGTTGTATGCAAAATTCAGATATTGCTGTTGACATTCAATTGTATTAAGAACATAGCTTTAAAATACTAAGTTGATTTACTAAGGAAACGCACAGCTCCTCGTGTAACAAGATTTGCCAAAGATGACCTCCTCATTGAAATAAAGAGAACACACTTGGTAACAGCTGGGAACCGATCATTTGTTCATGTTACCCAATGTCTCTGGAATGAACTGCCGTCATTCACTAATGGCAGCAAATTTGGTAGAAATATTTAAATCATTTTTAAAGCAGAGGTGGCGCCAGAAATCTTCCGACAGAGGGGTTGGAGCTTCCGACAGGGGGGCTGAAATGACTGAAATAAGCAGTTTTCGTACGTTTTTTGTCAAATTTGCTCCGACAATAACCTTAAAATTTCCTCCGATGGGGGCTAGATGCTTCCGACGGAGGGGCTGTAGCCCCCTCTAGCCCTCCCCTGGCGCCACCACTGTTTTAAAGACCTTTTTATTTCTAAGAAATCTTAGTATATATCGCATAATGTAATAACGTTTCCTGTTTTTAGTTGTAATATATGTAATGCGCCTATGAGCCCTGAGGAGATACGGCGCAATATAAGTTTTTTCTATCACAGGAAGAGTTCCTGGTATGTCCTTCCCGAAAACAAGCTAGAACAACTAGCCTCAGGTTTCGAGAACCATTCTCAATGTTCTTGCAGTTCATAACAGCGTCATTTTCTGTCCTGATCTTGATTCCTATTTTATCCATGTACTGCTCTGCTTCTTTTGTGACACATCCAAATGCAGCAACTACAACTGGAATGGCACTAACTTTGCGAAGGCACCATAACCTTGCAAGTTTTCTTTTTAGATCTTGATACTTTTCGATTTTCTCTTGTTCTTTTTGTTTTATCCTTGTATCTCCTGACACGGCTATGTCAATGATCAAGCACTTATTTTTATGATTTTAGCTCGACAACAATGTCTGGTCGTCTATGCTCAATTTCGTAATCTGTGTTTATGTTAAAGTCCCGCAGTACCTTAATGCTTTCATTTTCAGTAACGCCTTCTGTCCTATGATTGTACCACTGTTCAGCCCTGGGTAGGTCATACTTATTGCAAATCTCCCAGTGAACTATCCGTGCTACGTTGTCGTGGCCTCGCTTATATTTCTTCTGGGCTATTTTGCTACATTCACATATAATATGGTTCACAGGTTCCCCCTTCTCACCACATATTCTGCAGGTTGGCGAGTCTCTTAATTTGTCAATATGATGTTTGACGTAATTCGTACGTATTGCTTGCTCTTGTGCCGCCATAATTAGTGCTTCTGTCCCTTTCTTCAAGTCTCCGTTTTTTAGCCACAACCACGACTCCTTCCTGTCTATTATCCCATCTGTATCTCTGAAAACTGACCATGTATTACTTGTTCGTGTCATTTGACTTCTCTTTATCTTCATCTTTGATCTTTATACTCTTATGGCTTAATGATGTCATTGTTCATTTCCTGTTTTTTATGCACTGCTTTCAGTAACTGCTCTAGCTATTTTTAACGTACAATCTAAGGCTATTTTCCTCTGACCAGATGGTTTCTAATTCTCTTTGCAATCCCCTCCCACCTCTTGCAACATACAATCTATCGACGTCATTTTTTGGATGTAACGCTCCATTCATTGTCATAACTTTCCGTGTCTGTCTTTCTAGTTTCTCCAGTTCCTTATTTGTCCATTTCATTATCACAGCCCCATATCTCATCACAGTAACTGCCCAAATATTCATTGCTGAAATGGCATTCCTGCTGTTCAAGTTTGATTTCAATATAATTCTAATTTTTCGCTTGTATTCCTTTGAGAATCTCTCTTTCATTTCCTTCTCCTTTATCCCATCTAGTTCTTCTATACCCAAGTACTTGTAACCTTCTTCGTTGACGTCTTTCATTATTTTTATTACCATTATTATTATTATGCCTGTAAAAGCGAGTCTTATAGTTGTAAATTTAAAATGTTTTCAATGAAAATGAGATGCTTAAAAAAATTATTATTATCATTATCATTATGCAAGCTTTTCACTTTCAATTCAATTAAAACTACAATTACAAATTTCAATATTACAAAGGTAATTTGCAATTGGCTAGCCTGGGTTTACAAAGAAAAAGACTATTACAAGCACAAACAAAAGGAATTAACAAAAAAAAGGAAAATTATGTTTGTCATTGTTTGTTTTAGAAGTTGTCAGTAGCAGAGATCGTCAGAATTGAAGAAGTTCAGGATTTTTCCAAGACTTATTTCTGCGGCAGAAAATGTAATAGGTAGTACGGATAGTTAAGTTGGATAGTTCATGAAGCGGAGATGATTCTCGCTGATATTTAGAGCGTTGCACATGTCGATGAAAGAGGAGCAGGAGAGACCAAAGATACCTAGGGAACTGATAGAAAGATTAAAAAACATGATAGAAGAATAGGCTGAGCTTAGGCTGTGAATGAGATTCGAGTATTTCTCTCTTTTGCGGTTAGCATTAACATCCAAGTTAGTTTCGTATCCTATTGTAAGCTCGAGTATGAATAGCCGATGGTCAGAAGTGACTAGAAGTAGATCAGGACGGAAAGAGTCTCCTGTTATAATAGAGGATGAGAGATAACCTGAAAGGTCTGCGTAAAGAGAGCAATTAGGTATAGCTTTTAAAGACTGTGCTAGGAAGTTTAATGCAGAGTTATGGCGCCATGTGTAACGGCCTTCTTCGAGGTATGTTTTGCAGCCTGCAACAATGTGAAGTAACGTTTCAACGGCGGATAAACGCAGAAACGTGATTATCAAGGTTTTCGACGATCCAGCTTTTGATAGATCGGCTACTGTGAGATGCCACGAAACTTGTGAGAGAAGATAGCTGTTATAAAGAAGCAGCTTATTCTTTGGATGGAGAGGTAAAGAATCAATTTGCGTTAGGAGTTCTGTGAAGATGGAGCTGAGCTTAGACATATGTTCTTGGTTGCTCATATTAAAGTCCAAGTGACGCCCAAGATTCTTAAAAGACTCTCCATTTAGGACAGGAGGGACCATTTCATTATTGATGAAGAGCTTTGGCTGATATTGTCGGGAGCGTGTTGAGAATTTTTTAATACCAAAGGTTGTGCATTTGTCTACTCTTATAATCATGTTAGACCATTGACACCATCTTGTAAAGCAATTTAAGAGTAGCTGGTTTTCTTTCTCCCCGTTTGTAATGACTGCAGCATCGTCTGCAAACTGAAACCAGTTCTCTGGGGTGAATATACAGTCTGGTTGGCTATGGTGAGAGAAACCAAGCTGTTTGAATTTCTCTGCCTTTATGTATTGAATGAAAGTGTTAAAGCACATGTTAAATAGAAGGGGACTGAGGCAATCACCTTGAAGAACTCCACGTTTAACAGGAATAGCAGGGGTAACAAATTTATCTGTGATGATAGAGGTTTTAAAATTTATGTAGAGACTTGAAATCAGGGACTGGATGTCTTCTGGTACGTGGTAATAAGACAGAATAGATTTGATTAGATTGTGATGAACCTCTCCGAAGGCATTCTTTAGATCCAATAATGTTATGACTAGATACCGTTGTTTTATTCGAGCTTTGTCGATTATATGGCTCATCATCGCAGTATGTTCTAGTGTACCCGATATCTGATGGGTAAAACCTTTTTGAATCTGATGTTCTATGAAACCATTTTGTTTGAGAAAATCAAATATCGGGTACACTAGAACATATCGGGTATAATAACAGAGAAAATCAAATATCGGGTATAATAATAATAACAATAATAATGATAATAATAATGATAATAGTAATAATAATTATTTTTATTATTATTATTATCACAGGCTGCCAAACAGTCCCCTTCATCACAGGCTGCAAAACATACTTTGAAGAAGGCCGTTACACATGGCGCCATAACTCTGCATTGAACTTCCTAGCACAATCTTTAAAAGCTATACCTAATTGCTCTCTTTACGCAGACCTTTCAGGTTATCTCTCACCCTCTATCATAACAGGAGACTCTTTCCGTCCTGATCTACTTCTAGTCACTTCTGACCATCGGCTATTCATACTCGAGCTTACAATAGGATACGAAACTAACTTGGATGTTAATACTAACCGCAAAAGAGAGAAATACTCGAATCTCATTCACAGCCTAAGCTCAGCCTATTCTTCTATCATGTTTGTTAATCTTTCTATCAGTTTCCTAGGTATCTTTGGTCTCTCTTGCTCCTCTTTCATCGACATGTGCAACGCTCTAGATATCAGCGAGAATCATCTCCGCTTCATGATCTCCAAACTATCCAACTTAACTATCCGTACTACCTATTACATTTTCTGCCGCAGAAAAAAATCTTGGAATAATCCTGAACTTCTTCAATTCTGACGATCTCTGCTACTGACGACTTCTAAAACAAACAATGACGAACACACTTTTTCCTTTTTTTTGTTAATTTCTTTTGTTTGTGCTTGTAATAGTCTTTTTCTTTGTAAACCCAGGCTAGCCAATTGCAAATTACCTTGGTAATAGTGAAATTTGTAATTGTAGTTTTAATTGAATTGAAAATGAAAAGTTTCCATTATCTGTTATTAAAACTCATTTAATGTATATTTTGTTTGCTTTTTTGTGCTTAAGTTACAGAGGGGCCGGAATCTTTCAAGTAGTGGTCTCCCAGGGATTTTCGGGAATAAAAGAACATAAGAGCGTCTTAAATTTTTCACTGGGAATAAGGGAACACAAGAACAAGTACCCCCCTCCCCCTGGAAGAATCCTCAGTTATAGGCTCTCAAAGAGGCTAACAACACCAAGAACACCTGCTTCCGAATTCTAGCGAGTAAATATTCAGTCTTAGCAGCCATTAAGCAGATTTTCATCTTTCGCTTACCTATATATAATAATAATAATAAATAATTTGTTTAAAGTTGGCGTACTAAATGAACGGCTGATAGCTATAAAGAAGCTAATTAAGGCCAACTATCTATAAAGAGTTAGTATGAAATAAAAATATATGATACAATATTAAAAAGGTTTAAGGTATAATGTTCTAAATAAAACCTAACCCAGCAATAAATTTTTTACACAATCTACAGTCGCATTCTATAGGGTGTGCTCTTAATTCTTTTTTAAATGTTGCCAATGATTGGGACTCTCTTATACTGTGAGGTAGTGTTTGCCACAGTTTTTGACCTAAATATCTCACAGTTTCTATACCATAAGAAGTTGTCCTGGCTTTTGGAATGCAAAGATTATTTTTAGTTCGCAAATCATAATGTACATTTCTTGTTTCAAAAATCTCACTCATGAAACTAGGGTTCAGGTTATGTTTGGTTTTGTATATTTCTATCATCAAGTACTGTAGATTGCGTTGGTGAATTGATACTGCATTATCCAAAGTCAGCAATGCTTCGTAGTCAGCATGACTGTCTTTATAAACAATTCTGAGTGCTCTTTCGTGGATTTTATTTACTTTAGCATTCAGACATCTGTCATGGAACATCCAAATTAGGGGGCAGTAACTAAACTGAGCTTTTATGAAGCTGTTCATTAGGAGACGCAGTTTATCAGAACCCATAAATGGCGAAACTCTAGCAAGAGCATGCAGTTTTTGGATGGCTCTTTTGCATAAATTTGAGACGTGACTTTTGACATTAAGATTTTTATCTATTATCACCACTAGCAGTTTTTCTTCAGAGCTTTCTTCAACAATGGCCTCACCGATTTTGATCTTAAAGTCATCTTGATTTGTTCCAAAAGTAAGAAGATGACATTTCCCTGCATTCAATTTCATAAAGTTTTCTGGAAACCATTTTGATAAAATAAGAGCATCAGTTTCTAGCCGTTCTAAAACTTTTTCTAATTGACAGTCAGCTGCAAAAATCTGCCCGTTCTTTTTTATTTTCAAACCCAAAGTTATGACTGGTTAATAATCTACCGTGAGTTAAGGCAAATTAATTGATTTAAAGAAAATAACCACAACCATGTGCGTACATATTCATAATTTGCTTAAAATTATAGAGAGGGGGTTGCTTGTTCTCGCGAGAGAGTTCACCCCATGTTTTCACTCCACAATGTGCCAATATTTTCCAACTAGCTTTGACGGAAGGAACTTATGAGAGAATATTAGCATTTTAAATAGTATAGCGGCCAGTGTTTCTGACAAACAGATAGATGTGATAGAAAATCAGGAGGACAATTATTTAAAGAGAAGAAAAGAACTGTGAGTCTGTTATGATGTCGGCTAATTTCGAATCATCTCTTTCACAGTTAACCATTATAAATCATTTTACCAATTAGATCTTCCAACATGATATCTTTGCACTATTTGAAATATTAGTTCAGAAACTGATTGAATTACAGGATTTGCGTTGGTATGTGAAGAAGAATCTTTTGCATGTGCAAATGGAAATAAGTGCGTTCCCAAGCTATGGATATGTGATGGCGAACACGACTGCATTGATGGAAGTGACGAACAAACTTGTGGTAACCTACCAATATTTTTCCTTTCATTGCGACCAATATTATTTCCGTAGATTGATATTTCAAGCTTTTGTTTTTGAATGAGTCAAAGCATCTCTGGGAGGGATAATATATTGAAATGAAACGCCCCCTTTCACATGCTGTTTTTATCTATTGTAGGCTCCGTGAATGCCTCTTGTGCTCCTACGCAGTTTAAATGCTCGACTGGCCGATGCTTGCACAAAAACTGGCGCTGCGACAAAGAAAGGGACTGCAGTGATGGTAGTGACGAACTGAATTGCGGTAGGGCAACATAATTCTTCTCACTTGATCTTTCATTGACCGTTTTTTATTAAAGGCGTGTTCAAGGATAGCTAGATTAAGGTAACTGTTTAAAACGTCGTGTAATATTTTCGTAAGTGTAACATAATAGTGAGCTGATCGCTAAGCTCCAGAATTTGATACATTTCTTTTGTAAACTGCTTTAAAAAAAAGGAAAAATTTTAGAGCATATTGGCTAAATGCGTTTTCTTCTGACACTCGTCAGAGTATAAAATGTCAGAATAAGTAGCCTAAAGCACAGGATTGAAAATATATACCCAGTTGTGGATGGAAATAGGCTATTCAGAAAAACGCGAACACGTGGCAGGGATAGGTTTCAATCAGTACTGCCTGTCTATAGGAAAACCTCTTATGGAGTGCAAGAGAGAAATGAAACTCCTCCTGTCTACACAATAGCGGCTTTTTCATTTTGTATGTAGACATGACTATGATGTAGATGGATTCCAAAACTGCTAGATGAAAAGACGAACGGGCTTTGCCAATTTTCTGAAACATCAAGCATGTCGTCATTATAGAGTTTTGCACAATCTAGGTTGTCTAAATGGTTTTGTCCGATGGCAGGGTCACTTATTTCAACGATGTTTAGACCTACAAGATCGAGGAGCTGTTCTTTTTGAAGGGCAGTTTTGTTTCTAATGTTGGAAGGAACATTCTGCTTTATCCTATCTCCCTATCTTTGGGTTGTGCGTCCTACGTAGCCAGAATCACACTGGCACGTAAATTCATAAACAACGGAACTCTTTTGCGTGGTAGGAATGCAATCCTCATGAATGGATAGAAGGAAATTTCTTTTGATGGCCTGTTTAATTTGACAATAAAATCACAAGAAGGTGGTTTCAATCCAAGGTAGTTAAGAATAAAATAGGCACTTTTATGGACCAAACTTTTTGGCGGCCGAAAAACTTGAAATTTTTCCCAATGTAGGAAGAAATTACATCTTCTAGGTAGCCGTTTTCCAGAATAATGGTTTTCAGTTTATCCAGTTAATTTTGGGGTGCACTGTGTACTTTAGTTTAAATAAATTTAAAAATTTTCGTTTTTTTGGGCAGAAAAATTCCAGCTTATGTACAGACCTGTTGAAGAAGGCTTGTGATATACACTAGTGTGAAATCAAGTGTCAGAAATTTCAACCGAAACATCTAGAAATGGCAAGAAATCATTTTCTTCGTTTTTAAAAGTTGAGGGCTGGCTGTAGGCTATTAAGATGTTTTAGAAAATATCACACTCAGCCTCTGTTTTGAAAATGCTGTATGTGTCGTCCATATAAAACAAACCCTCTTCATGAAAGCCAACAAAGATATTGGCCAAAGCATCTGGGAAAAGTGGCTATTAAGCTCGCTCCGGTACAAAGCATCGGCACATATTTTGATGGTCTCATTCAAAGGAACATTGTTGTTAAAAGACTGCTGATGTCGAGAGAACACACGAACAATGTTTCGTTTTTGACGTTTAGGTTTTGCATGAACTCGACATTCTTGATGCAAAGTTTTGAATATTTTTGAAAAACAAGATCCAAAACTTTAGATAGAATAGAATAGCGTTATAGCATTATATCCGTTGATAAAATATATTTTAAAAACCCTATGAACATAAACGGCTTTAAGAAAAGAATATATCGAAGTGTTTTAAACTTGTCATTAATTTGATATTACAGGTTTATATTTCGATTTCAATCCGGGGCGTAATTAGGCCAATAAGTTGGGGGGGGGGGTGAAAAGGGTTTCTGCCCTGTTAGAATTAGTGATGCCCTTGGACATCTCGAAGCAAAGGTTCGTCTATAGGTTGCTAGTTAAAGCTTTAACAATGTACATTTGTCTTGAATAAATTTACCAAGGATAAATTTGAAGCTTCATTTTCTATGAAACCACCTATTTATCTACATGTTTTTTCTTTGCAATAAAGCTTACATTTTCAGGGCAAATGTTTGTTTTGGCTAGATGACAGGAACAGCGCCACAAAATTGAACCTGGGAGGGAACTAAGATCAACCAGTTTCGCCGTGCCCCATGGGAAAAAATTACATCTTAATTTGATTTGTGTGGATTCATTTTATGGACAGCTGACTCAACCTAACCTTTAACCAAGTGTTCCACCTTGCACTCATAAACATATTCATCAATAACCTTGCATTAATTGGCTATGGCAGTTCGTTAAGAAATGTTCTGTTTTGCTAATAACTGAGCTATTCCTGACATACAGTCATTGCCAAACACAAACGTCAGTTTCAGCTATCACCTTCTCCCGATAGAAACAAAGTTGATTTGCTATAGGAAAAAGGAAGGGATTATGGAGGACGCTTTTCGTGTGCCTTGAATGATGTTTTTCTATGCTTTCAACATTATTATGGGGAAAGGGGGCAAAAGTAGTAGTATTCGGGAAAGTTCGCTGGAATGCAATTGCTTGAAGGGAAGTTCATCGCAATTATGATGTATCCATTTTAAAATTCCTTAACGAACTTCAGATGTGGCGTTCCTGCGCTGCAATGAAAATCTTCTAGGCGCCCTGCAAAATTTTCGATTGTCCTGCGAAAACCGCTTTATTTGAGATTGACACCCCCCCACGGTATTTTCTCCCCTGATTTCAATGTTTTCCATTTGGGGGGGGGGATTGTTCAAATGGTTCGTTTATTTTTGTTTCAACAGGTCGTTTATTGTATTAGACTTAACTTGTGAAAGTATTGTAAAATGAATTAAAACGAGCTGCTTGTAAAATCGAATGCTTTTTCGAGGTAGTGCATATTCAAGGCGGCTCTTGATAGAGGATTCAAAGTAAGATATTTGTATATTTCAGATAGTGTTAAAAAGTGCCAAGCGGAAAGATTCCAGTGTAATAATAAAAAATGTTTATCACCAATCTTTGTTTGCGATGGCGAGGATGATTGTGGGGATCGCAGTGATGAAAAGAATTGCAGTGCAAGTAGGTCTTTTTGTTTTAGTTTTCATAGTTGTTTTTCTCCGATATGTGCTGCTTTTGTACACAGTTTCACGCACGAACAACATATCTAAGCTAAGCTGTTTGCGCCAATTTCAGAAAAGCGCATGCGCGTAACCAATTGCATTTATCTGGATCCGTTCCCGTCTAAACGCGAATAGTTCTGGATCGGATCCCGTGTAAACGCATTGCCATTTTAGGGATCGGATCCAAAAGTATCCGGATACTTTTGAATCCGATCTGGTCCAGGTCTCGTGTAAACGTGTCACAGTTTTACCTAATATAGAAATCTTTGAAATACCGTCCTTTCAATACGGAATAGAAAAACATAGGTATCCTGTCGCTGTGTACGAAGAATGCCGGTACTGTTTTGATGCTTTGTAGGTAGTTTCATAGCATCCGCTACACCCATGGTTAGTTATACTTCATAGTCGAGTTGCTTTTTGGAATGGAAACCGTTATAAAGCTTTCATTATTAACTGATGCGATGATCCTCGAACCTTTCACCTACAGCACCTAAGGGCAGAAACGCTGAGCCGCGAAAGTTGTTTGTTGCGACAAAGATAGTTATTCTTTGCTTACTTGCTTTTTGGATTTGAAATTGCTTTAATTGGAAATTGTGGTGTTATTACGTTGCAAAGTATTAGTTTAGGTTACACGATTTGTAATATCTTTTCAGTCGCGAAGTGCACAGCTCTAGGGACGTTGGAGCGCTAGAGTACGTGCTGAGGTATCTTCATGGAAGGAGCACAGGGCTCTGATATGCGAAGAAAAACAGTGGCAAAAATGACAATAGCAATACACTTTTACCAATAAGAACTTTTATTGCCACTATATCCGTTTCTTAAATCACATTATGCCACAAGCCGTGCCAATTTCCCTTCTGGCAAAGATACAATACTTCTTTGCATCGTTGACTTCGTAATGACGTTGAGTCAACATCATTTCGTGGCCGCATGCAATAGAAATCGGTACTCTTATTACAGGAAAACGAGCATGCCTTGCATAGCAAAAAAGTTACGGAAAAGCGTCTTTATATATGTATATATATATATATATATATTAGCATTTGCCTTATGTTTATATATCTATGGTTTAAATGGCTCTGATGAAGGCTTAAAGCCGAAACAGAAGAAACTAAAAACTGCCTTGGCTACGGTGAGATCTCCAGTGTTGGCTTCGGAGATTCATCGCTCATTTCATTGGGCCGTTTGGCTCAGTGGAATGAGCGGGGGTTTTCGACGCAGCAAACTGGAGTTCGATTCCGACCAAGAGTAGTTCGATACAATTGGGCAGCACCCTTGTGGAAAGAATTTTCCTCCTGTCAGTATTTGCCTTATGATATATATATATATAAATATATTGGTATATGTATGCGTTCCCCGCGACCCACTACATAGTGTACTTAATTCTTCGTACACAAAGATTGTATTGACCAAAATGCCCTTGATTAAAAGCGTATTAACCATTCAACTATTGTTTACCCGCAGCATGTAGCCCAAACCATTTCAAATGCGCTGCTAATGGCAGGTGTATTCTGAAGGCCTGGCGCTGCGATGGAGAAGAGGACTGCAGGGACGGCAGTGATGAGAAAAGTTGCCCAAGTTTGTATTTTTCTCGTTTTTTGGCAAGACTTTTTTTAATTTTGGGACTCTAGATTGAAGTTTGATTGGTGGTATAGTTTTCGACTTTTCGCCTCCTTCGAGGTGATGCCATAATTTGAATAGGGGAATGTATTTCACCTTTTGCAATGATATCCCTCAATTCCTTTCTATTTGATAAGCTTAGCTGCAGTGGCGTAGCTTGCCAAATAGCAGTGGTCATGCCCTTTCCCCAAATTTCGAAAAATGTGGGTGCTGCCAAATTCTGCCACGCCCAATTTTTGTGTTCATGAGTTCCTTTTGGACAATTTTAAGGCTTGTAGCTTACGAAAAAATTTGATGAACCTTTGGAATTAGCTTTTCAGTTGACTTTAATTGTCTGTCAAGACAATGTTATTGCATATGATAATCAACAAAAAATGAAGAATAAATTAAAGAGAGTATTGGCATTCTCTGTCTATTAACTATAACCTTATTATCCTCATCAAAATATGTTAACAATGCTCTTAAAGGGCTTAACAGTTTCTGAATATGCTGCTAAATGTCTGGAAAGTTAAAGCTCTCAAATCTGTTGGTTTGGAAAATAACACTGCTATCTCCTCCATCCATCTCCAGTAAACAGCACCAAGATCTAACATTCATTAAATCAAGAAGATTCTCTGCAAATGTTCAACTAGTAACAATTGATTATTGAAAAGGTTGAGAGTTTGGTTTGGTTGCATAAAATGATCTTGCTCGCTAATTTTATGTCCAAAAAGTGCCTTTCGTGCCTTTCACTTTTCCACATAGTGCAACATCATTCAGGCTGAAAAATCCTGCCATTGCCATAAAATGTTCTGGAAATTAACATGAGTCGTGGCTGCTTGGCAATAAGCTTTTGCTTGCATTTTACTTACAGAGCATTGCCTCCCATCTCGTGGATCTAGCCACAGAAGTGCCGCCATCATTGATAAATGCTGCCTCGCGTTCTCGTTCATGAAATAACACAAGATGGTTCTGATGATTATAATGATGGTCATGCCCTCTGAAAATGGCATGACTAGCCTTTGTTCTTTTCTTCGACACAGGGTTTGGTCATGCTCATAGTTATGGGCATGACTAAATTGGAAACCCTCTGTTTTAGTCATGCCCAACAATAGAAGAGTGCCCTCGGAGGGCTCCATATTCTTGCGTGGAACCATAGGGCCAAAGGCGAATGGCCTTATCTTACGATAATAAATATTTTTGAAAAATTATGTCGCTGGAAATAGATGGTCATGCCCGGCATGACAAGCATGACCGCTAGCTACGCCACTGCTTAGCTGTTCTACAGAGTATCTTCTGAAGCTGTAGTTAATAATACAAATATGTTAATATGAATAACGTAGCATGTGCAGCCTGTGCTCCAGTCCACATTCTTGGACTGTGCAATATTTATAAATATCCTGCCTGCAGTTGCCACCAGAATCTGTTGGTAATTTATGCAACCATCACAAATTATGCAATTAGCTGAAATTTCCAACGGATCAAACCTCGCTCAAGACTTTAAACTCGTCATGCACCATTTTATCTTCGCCCTTATTGGTTTCACTGTATATTTCTTCAAGGATTTTCATGCAAGAATTCAATTGTTTCATTGCATAAATTATTTTCATAAGCTAGACCCAGCCCTCTGCCTGAACAGGATTTTTATCAATATTGCACTGTCTATAAATGTGGCAAAATTTGTGGACTGGGGTGCAGGCTAAGCATGTGTAGATGCTTTGATCAACAAGAGTTATAAGTAACAACAGTAGTATAAACATAGAAGAACTGAGGCTATCTGTAAAAGAAAAAAAACCATCAGAAACAAATATATGTCTATCTTTTTGGCTTTGTGGAATTTCCACGCATATGCACTGCACATGTACTTTCACCTCTTCGCAGTCGTAGCAGTGTTTCTTCGTTGTCAATTGGAGAATGATTTTCTCATTTTCTTCATTATGGCTTAGCATCGACAATAGTATCCTGTAAAAAGCCCCAGTTCAGATGCGGTAATGGCCAATGTATTCCAACGACGTTTGTTTGTGACGGTGACAAAGACTGTCCTGATGAAAAGGATGAAGAGAATTGTAGAAAAAGCAAGTTCCCTTTCCAGTAGATGCCTATCGTGTGTGATTTCTGCATAATATAATTTTACCTTAGTCTTGATAACAACAATGTTGATATTAAATAAACTATTTCATGATGTACCTTATTCATTGTATTTCAAAATCAAATAGGTTTTCGGTAAGGCAAGATTTTAGCATGGCAAAACAGAGCGGAAGCATATGTCTCCGCTATTTTGTGCCGTCTTTAAATATTTCAAAAAAGTAATATCGCTAGTAGAACTTTTTTATGATACAATGTTTCCTTCATCTTTATAACATCAGTATTGTTAAAAATTTGTTATGTTTTGATGGCTTTCTATTCTTGATTAGAGAAACAATGTTGATGTCACTTAGAAATAAAGTTATTTTATCTTTTTCCTTATCAGAAACCTGCAGCAATCGTGAATTCAAATGCAGGGATGGAAAATGTCTCCTGAAAGGCTGGCGCTGCGATGGCGAAAAAGACTGCTTTGATGGGTCTGATGAAGTGAATTGTGAGAATTTTGATGTTTTTCCTTCGTTCCAGTCAGGTCATCCTCCTATCGTTTTGATATTTTCCTTCGTTTAAGTCAAATCATCCTCCTATCGTTTTGATGTTTTTTTGTTCAAGTCAGGTCATCCTCCTATCGTTTTGATCTTTTTCTTCGTTCAAGTCAGGTCATCCTTTATCATTTTGAAGTTTTTCTTTGTTCAAGGCAGGTCATCCTCCTATCATTTTGATGTATTTGATCGTTCAAGTCAGGTCATCCTTTATCATTTTGATGTTTTTTTTCGTTCAAGTCAGGACATTCTCCTATCGTTTTGATCTATTTCTTCGTTCAAGTCAGGTCATCCTCCTATCGTTTTGATGTATTTCTTCGTTCAAGCCAGGTCATCCTCCTTTCGTTTTGATGTTTTTTTCGTTCAAGTCAGGTCATCCTCCTATCATTTTGATCTATTTCTTTGTTCAAGTCAGGTCATCCTCCTATCGTTTTGATATTTTCCTTCGTTTAAGTGAAATCATCCTCCTATCGTTTTGATGTTTTTTTGTTCAAGTCAGGTCATCCTCCTATCGTTTTGATCTTTTTCTTCGTTCAAGTCAGGTCATCCTTTATCATTTTGAAGTTTTTCTTTGTTCAAGTCAGGTCATCCTCTTATCATTTTGATGTATTTGATCGTTCAAGTCAGGTCATCCTTTATCATTTTGATGTTTTTTTTCGTTCAAGTCAGGACATTCTCCTATCGTTTTGATCTATTTCTTCGTTCAAGTCAGGTCATCCTCCTATCGTTTTGATGTATTTCTTCGTTCAAGCCAGGTCATTCTCCTATCGTTTTGATCTATTTCTTCGTTCAAGTCAGGTCATCCTCCTATCGTTTTGATGTTTTTCTTTGTTCAAGTCAGGTCATCCTCCTATCGTTTTGATGTTTTTTTCGTTCAAGTCAGTTCATCCTCCTATCATTTTGATGTATTTCTTCGTTCAAGTCAGGTCATCCCTTTATCGTTTTGATGTTTTTCTTTGTTCAAGTCAGGTCATCCTCCTATCGTTTTGATGTTTTTATTCATTCAAGTTAGGTCATCCTTTATCATTTTGATGTTTTTCTTTGTTCAAGTCAGGTCATCCTCCTATCGTTTTGATGTTTTTTTCGTGCAAGTCAGGTCATCCTCTCATCGTTTTGATGTTTTTTTCGTTCAAGTCAGGTCATCCTCCTATCGTTTTGATCTTTTTTTTCGTTCAAGTCAGGTCATCCTCCTATCGTTTTGATCTTTTTCTTCGTTCAAGTCAGGTCATCCTCCTATCGTTTTGATGTTTTTTTCGTTCAAGTCATGTCATCCTCCTATCGTTTTGATGTTTTTTTCGTTCAAGTCAGGTCATCCTCTCATCGTTTTGATGTTTTTTTCGTTCAAGTCAGGTCATCCTCTCATCATTTTGAAGTTTTTCTTTGTTCAAGTCAGGTCATCCTCCTATCATTTTGATGTATTTGATCGTTCAAGTCAGGTCATCCTCCTATCGTTTTGATGTTTTTTTCGTTCCAGTCAGGTCATTCTCCTATCGTTTTGATGTTTTTTTCGTTCAAGTCAGGTCATCCTCTTATCGTTTTGATGTTTTTTTCGTTCAAGTCAGGTCATCCTCCTATCATTTTGATGTATTTCTTCGTTCAAGTCAGGTCATCCTCCTATCGTTTTGATATTTTCCTTCGTTTAAATGAAATCATCCTCCTATCGTTTTGATGTTTTTTTGTTCAAGTCAGGTCATCCTCCTATCGTTTTGATCTTTTTCTTCGTTCAAGTCAGGTCATCCTTTATCATTTTGAAGTTTTTCTTTGTTCAAGTCAGGTCATCCTCCTATCATTTTGATGTATTTGATCGTTCAAGTCAGGTCATCCTTTATCATTTTGATGTTTTTTTCGTTCAAGTCAGGTCATCCTCCTATCATTTTGATGTATTTCTTCATTCAAGTCAGGTCATCCTCCTATCGTTTTGATATTTTCCTTCGTTTAAGTGAAATCATCCTCCTATCGTTTTGATGTTTTTTTCGTTCAAGTCAGGTCATCCTTTATCATTTTGATGTATTTCTTCGTTCAAGTCAGGTCATCCTCCTATCGTTTTGATCTATTTCTTCGTTCAAGCCAGGTCATCCTCCTTTCGTTTTGATGTTTTTTTTCGTTCAAGTCAGGTCATCCTCTTATCGTTTTGATGTTTTTTTCGTTCAAGTCAGGTCATCCTCCTATCATTTTGATGTATTTCTTCGTTCAAGTCAGGTCATCCTCCTATCGTTTTGATATTTTCCTTCGTTTAAGTGAAATCATCCTCCTATCGTTTTGATGTTTTTTCGTTCAAGTCAGGTCATCCTCCTATCGTTTTGATCTTTTTCTTCGTTCAAGTCAGGTCATCCTTTATCATTTTGAAGTTTTTCTTTGTTCAAGGCAGGTCATCCTCCTATCATTTTGATGTATTTGATCGTTCAAGTCAGGTCATCCTTTATCATTTTGATGTTTTTTTTCGTTCAAGTCAGGACATTCTCCTATCGTTTTGATCTATTTCTTCGTTCAAGTCAGGTCATCCTCCTATCGTTTTGATGTATTTCTTCGTTCAAGCCAGGTCATTCTCCTATCGTTTTGATCTATTTCTTCGTTCAAGTCAGGTCATCCTCCTATCGTTTTGATGTTTTTCTTTGTTCAAGTCAGGTCATCCTCCTATCGTTTTGATGTTTTTTTCGTTCAAGTCAGTTCATCCTCCTATCATTTTGATGTATTTCTTCGTTCAAGTCAGGTCATCCCTTTATCGTTTTGATGTTTTTCTTTGTTCAAGTCAGGTCATCCTCTCATCGTTTTGATGTTTTTTTCGTTCAAGTCAGGTCATCCTCCTATCGTTTTGATGTTTTTTTCGTTCAAGTCAGGTCATCCTCCTTCCTATCGTTTTTGATCTTTTTTTTCGTTCAAGTCAGGTCATACTCCTATCGTTTTTGATCTTTTTTCTTCTTCGTTCAGTCAGGCATCCTCCTAGTCGTTTTTGATGTTTTTTTTCGTTCAACGTCATGTCATCCTCCTATCGTTTTGATGTTTTTTTCGTTCAGTAGTTCATCTCTCATCGTTTTGATGTTTTTCTTTCGTTCAAGTCAGTCATCCTCTCATCGTTTTTGATGTTTTTTTGTTCAAGATCAGGTCATGCCGCTTATCGTTTTGAATCGTTTTTCTTCCGGTATCAAGTCAGGTCATCCTCTAATCGTTTTGTGTTTTTGTTTCGTTCAAGTCTAAGGTTCATCCTCCTATCCGTTTTGATGTTTTTTTGTTCACGTCAGGTCATGCCTCCTTCGTTTTGAAATTTTTTTCTTTCGTTCAACTGTCAGGTCATCCTTTAATCATTTTTGAAGCTTTTACTTTGTTCAAGGTCAAGGTCATCCTCTTATCAATTTTGATGTATTTGATCGTTCAAGTCAGGTCATCCTTTATACATTTTTTTGGATGTTTTTTCGTTCAAGTCAGGACATTCTCATCATCGTTTTTGATCTATTTCTTCGTTCAAGCTCAGGTCATCTCCTCATCGTTTTGATGGTATTTCTTCGTTCAAGCTAAGGTCATTCTCCTATGTCGTTTTGACTATTTCTTCTTTCAGTCAAGAGTCATCCTCCTATCGTTTTGATGTTTTTCTTTGTTCAAAGTCAAGTCATCTCCTATCGTTTTGATGTTTTTTTCGTTCAAGTCAGCTTCATCCTCCTATCATCTTTGAAATGTATTTCTTCGTTCAAGTGGGTCATCCTTTTATCGTTTTGATGTTTTCCTTTGTTCAAGTCCAGGTATCTCTCATCGTTTTGGAGTTTTTTTTATCGTTCAAGTCAGGTCATCCCCTATTCGTTTTTGATGTTTTTCGTCAAGTCAGGTCATCTCCTATCGTTTTGATGTTTTTTTCGTTCAGTCGGTTCATACCTCTCATCGTTTTGATGTTTTTCGTTTCAAGTCAGGTCATCTCTTCATCGTTTTGATGTTTTTTTTTTCGTTCAAGAGTCAGGTATTCCTCTTTAACTGTTTGATGTTTTTCTCGTATCAATGTCAGGTCAATCCTCCTATCGTTTTGATGTTTCTTCTTTCGTTAAAGTCAGGTCATCCTCCTATGTTTTTGATGTTTTTCGTTCAAGTCAGTAATCTTCTAGTGTTTTGAAGAATGTTTTATATTTTTCGTTTCAAGTAGGTAGCTTCTCATCGTTTTGATGTTTTCCATTGTTGAGTAGGTCATCCTGACTAATATATTTGATGTTTTTCCTCGTTAAAAGTTAGGTGGTCTTCTACTTTTGTTCTGAATTGTATGATTTCTATTGTTCTGTTTTCTTTTCATTTTTCAATATACTTGTTTTACGAGAATTCGTTATGATCTATTTTAATAATTTTTCATCATCGTTTTTTTCATTTTCATCATGTGGGTTAGTGCGAGTTTTCATTTTCATGTACTGTTTTTTCAGCTAACCGTCGTAGATAATGTTCCTGTCTCGTAGAATAAGTGTGACGTAGTATAATAGATGTGTCCTGTCGTATGAAGTGTGATCTTCGACCCAGGGATAGTGTTATTGAGTAGGTTTGTTTTAATCACCTTCCAGGCAATTTGTAATTTCTTATTATCGTTTTGGTTTACATTCACGTTTTCCCATCAACCAGTTTAGGATTTACGCATTAGAGACTTCATGTTTCACGAAATTCTTTTCACTTTTCAGCTCAGAAGTAGTGTGCCCAAAAGGTCACATTTGTGCCGGGACCGTTGTTACCAGGGACTCAATTACTCAGACATTTGCATAAAAAATGAATCACCTTTGCAACGGCCATTGCAGATTGTTAGATGTCAGTGATGAAATGAAACTGTCTGTTTCAGGCAATGGACTATATCAGAAATGACTGTTTCATCCTAAGCTATCTCACTTGTCTTGGATAACGATTGTTGAATGATAGGAGTTTTCAAGGCATCTTCTATGGAGAAAAATTGCTCAAATTATATTAGAAATGGCTTGAGAAATCGTGATTTCTGTGATTAAATGTCGACTTTCATCAAAAAGTAGAAAGACAGATATGAATGATATAGGGCAGAATCCATTAGCATTGATTTTTAACAAATAAGTGCTCAATATCGTAGCGGATTAGTTTTCACACCAGGTTGAAGACCAGAAATTAAATAATTGTCACGAAACGACATATCGCAGTTACATTGCAGGAAATATATTCAGTTGGAAATGTATCACAGATGTGTGTGAATGCAGAAGGACCAACAATTGATAATTATTGTTAAATCAAAGAATGTCAATGGTGAAATGTACGGAAAGGAAGGAAG